ATGAAGCTACTCACGGAAAATTAGCTTGATAGTAATCAAGTGACAAAATAGGCCCCGGATCCTGTACTATTATTTTACATTGTATTTATTAATAAAGAAATGTTAAGAAATATTTTGTCTTATGCTGTACCCCTTCTATCATTTCAGGTACAGGTCTCTAAGATAGTTCCCTCTCTCAGGGGATGATCCCCACTATAAAAATTGTTAAGGTATCCTGTATGATTTGTGTACTCCATCTTTCATTTCAGGTACAGGTCAGAACTTGTAAGAGTATTTTTAAGTGTCCCCTCTCTTGAGGCGACTTAAAACTTAGAAATATTTTACAAGTCCTTAAAAGGACATCCTTATAAGGAGTTCCCTCTCCCTGGGGATGATCCCCCACCATAAAAATTGTTGATATGCCTGAGTATTTCGGGGATGAAGCGCAGAGACTTCGTAGCTGTAGGATGGGCCGGGAGCAATGGACACATCGAAGCAGTGGGCCTAGACTGTCTTATAACGACACGTGCCAAAAAATTTAAAAATCTGATCCTCTCCTGTTCTCTTTCTTCTGCCTTCACTTATATTTCAATTTCTCTTATATTTCGTTGCAATTCATATATGCAACCCAAATTACACCAGATATTTTTATATTTGAGAAAAATGCCTTTTATACCTGAGATTCGATCCGTGTCTGCTAGCATGCCAGTAAGTGCACGTCTCCACTCGACCACCGAGTGTTTTTATCATTAAAATTTGATTCTTCTATTTATGTTTCTATTTTTATCATGTTTTAAAAACAACACAATTTAAGCAACACTTAGTTATCTTATACCCGCTGCTCACACATAAGGCTTATATGCCATATTATTTAAAACTGAAAACGACAAAGAGGATACCACAAAGAAATAAGAATTAGTTTACAATGTGTTTTATTGACAATATTTAAAATACATATATCATTCAAATCAAAAAAAACATGGACGAATCTCAAACCTCGTACCAGTAAAGACTTACCTTAAAATGTGCGCATCTTCAATACTTCTTTCATAGATATCGCAGATTCCATGACTCCCATAGTCAAAAACTGGGCACCAACGTTGTCTATCAGCAGGAATTAATATTAAATCCAAGTTTTGCCAATATTCGAGAAGATAAACGACTGCCGATGAACACGCACGCGGCGCACATAAAGACCAACACGGTTGCAGATAATTCCACATCCGAATAATATCTAGCGACGGCCGGCCGAACGAACATCCCAAGCGCACAGACAAACCGATAATTAATTGGGGTTGCGCCACATTAGCCTGTTACGAAAGGCCGATAAAGGCAATTACAGAATTAAAGTAAGAACGCGAAAAGTCGCTACGAAGATCGACTGACGAATAAGACACGTGCTAACCGTAGCACAGCGCGCGATCGACTAAAGTGTAAAAAGAATTAATATCAGGCGTAAACAAAGCAGATAGCCCCTACCAGTACTATCTAAATAAGCAAGAAAACTGACGCGCTGCGCCGACCAAGCAACATATCAGACACAAAACAAAATTAAAAACATCAGGGTAGTATTTATTACTTTTGATTCATTCGATTTGATTTGAGTAACGCTCTGCTTGTGTGCCAAAAATCCTAAATAATTAAGTAAAATTCCTAAAACCAGCAAAAATTAGTCCTTCAAACATAAAAATGCAATTTTAGTGGTTAATTTGTAAGATAATCGCAAACGTTATGCAGGAAAATGATAAAGGCATTAAATACTTACCATCTAATGCAAGAAGGATCCATCTACGATGTCAGACTCAGGTGCAAAATCCCGAAAACAATAAAAAATTAGTCCTTCGAACATAAAAATACAATTTTGGGGATTAATTTGTGCGATAATCACAAAATTTATTGATGAAAATGATAGAGAAATTTAATATTTACCATCTGGTGTAAGAATGGTTCGAATTATTTTGTAAAAATTTTTTTGGTCGAATTTTTTTGTTAAAATTTTTTCGGTCGAATTTTTTTGTAAACATTTTTCTGGTTGAATTTTTTTTGTAAAAAATTTTTGTGACAAATTTTTTTTGGAAACATTTTTTCGCTCGAATTTTTTTGTAAAAACTTTTACGGTCGAAAAACAGGGTCGAACATTTTTACTTAAAATTTTTCGTACAAAGTATTCAAAATGACATATAGTTACAAGTTACCGACATAACAAAGTTCAAAACGAAATTTAGGAAAATTGATCGTTCGCAACCTATTCACAAAAAGTATGGATGAAAATGATATGGAAATTTAATCCCTACAATCTGATGTAAGAATCAAAAGTTAGCCCTCCGCAACACAAAAATGCAATTGTAAGGGTTAATTCGTGAGATAATCACATTTCTTTATGACAATGATATGGAAATTTAATACCTACAATCTGATGTAAGAATGGTTTATCTATGATATCGGACTCAGGTGGGAAATCCCTAAAACCATCAAAAATTGATCCTTCACCCCACAAAAATTCAATTTTAAGGGATAATTCTTGAGATAATCACGAAATTTATTGATGAAAATAATAGAGAAATTTAATATTTACCATCTGGTGTAAGAATGGTTTTTCTACGATATCGGACTCAAGTGGAAAATCCCTAAATCCATCAAAAATTAGTCCTTCGCAACACAAAAATGCAATTTTAAGGGATAATTCGTGAGATAATCACCAAATTTATTAATGAAAATGATAGAGAAATTTAATATTTACCATCTGGTGTAAGAATGGTTCTTCTACGATATCGGACTCAAGTGGAAAATCCCTAAAACCATCAAAAATTAGTCCTTCGCAACACAAAAATGCAATTTTAAGGGTTAATTCGTGAAATAATCACAACATTTCTTTATGAAAATGATAGGGAAATGTATTACGTACAAGTTGATGTAAGAATGGTTGTTCTACAATATCGGACTCAGGTGAAAAATCCCTAAAACCATCAAAAATTATTCCTTCGCAACACAAATATGCAATTTAAAAAGGTTAATTCGTGAAATAATCACAACATTTCTTTATGAAAATGATAGGAAATTTATTACCTACAATTTGATGTAAGAATGGTTCTTCTACGATATTGGACTCGGGTGGAAAATCTCTAAAACCATCAAAAATTAGTCCTTCGCAACACAAAAATGCAATTTTAAGGGTAAAATTGTGAGATAATCACCTCATTTATAGATGAAAATTATAGAGAAATTTAATACCTACAATCTGATCTAAGAATGGTTCTTCTACGATATCGGACTCAAGTGGAAAATCCCTAAAACCATCAAAAATTAGTCCTTCGCAACACAAAAATGCAATTTTAAGGGTTAATTCGTGAAATAATCACAACATTTCTATATGGAAATGATAGGGAAATTTAATACCTACAATCTGATTTAAGAATGGTTCATCTACGATATCGGATTCAGGTGGAAAATCCTAAAACCATCAAAAATTAGTCCTTCGCAACACAAAAATGCAATTTAAAGGGGTTAATTCGTGAAATAATCAGAACATTTCTTTATGGAAATGATAGGGAAATATAATACTTACAATCTGGTGAAAGAATGGTTCTTCTACGATATCGGACACAAGTGGAAAATCTCTAAACCAATCAAAAATTAGTCCTTCGCAACACAAAAATGCAATTTTAAGGGTCAATTCGTGAGATAATCACAACATTTCTTTATGGAAATGATAGGGAAATATAATACCTACGATCTGATTTGAGAATGGTTCATCTACGATATCGGATTCAGGTGGAAAATCCTGAAAACAATCAAAAATTAGTCCTTCGCAACACAAAAATGCAATTTTAGGGGTCAATTCGTGAGATAATCACAATATTTACTTGTGAATATAATATAGAAATGTAATACCTACTTACAATCTAATGTAAGAATGGTTCATCTACGATATCGGATTCAGGCGGAAAATCCCTAAATCAAACAAAAATTAGTGACCCGAAATACAAAAATGGCCCTTTTGTGACTTTCCGAGGAGATAATTACAAATGTTATCTACGGAAATGATAAAGAATTTCAATACGAACAATCTGATGCAAAACTTGTCACCCTACGAAGTCGGGTTCTGTTGCTAGAACCCTAAAACCAACAGAAAGTGCCCCAAAACACAAAAATTACAAGTCCAATCCATGAAAATAATAAAAGTTCCAAAACTTACTTTCTGATACCAAAATGGTTAACCTACGCGATCGGATTCAGTTGCTGCACCGCAAAAACAAACAAAATTAGTGGCTCGAAACGCAAAAATGCCATTTTGTGAGTTTCCCGAGAGTTAATTTAAAATGTTATCTATAATAGTATATCAAGTGCGCTAATCGACACTTTAACCGGTTTTTTTTTCTTCTTCCTCTCTATTTCCACGTTTAGGTTTTTGTTTGAATCTTCTGTATTTTAAACTTGAAACTTCGTTCGCACTCTACTGGAAAATATAAGGTTATAAATGCATGGGAGTTCGTGCACGCACTCGATATCACTTATATTCCAATAATATACGAGTACAAGTGCTGCATGCTGCTTTGTTTGACTGACTGTGCGTGGCATATCATATGGCTTTGTACTGCACCGTAGGACATATGTGCAGGCGTAAGTTCCACCCCGTGACTTAAGATAACACCGATATTTATAAAATTGTTCAATTAATTAATTAGAAATGTTTTCAAATTTTGTAAGCATGCTAAATAATAACACAAAAACACTTGATTGATAAAATATTAACATAGAATTTGATAAATTCACTTTCAATATTAATTGGGAGTTTCATACTTACATATTATTTCTACTCCAAAAACTATCAATTCACTTCAGTAATTAAATAGTTCAGTTCTAACATTTTATTAGATCTTTTCTTGTGAAAATGATAAAATTATTAATTATAAATATATGTGGACACTTTGTTTCAGTTGCATATTCGTGATTCAAATGACATTTGGATTAAATAAAAATTATATTGCGGACTCAGACAATCTTCTCAAAATTAAGCAATATTGTTTTCATAGTTTGTTTATTAGTGAAAAATTAAAATATATTACATGAGTTTTGATACAAAACATTTGGTAAACATTCGTCAAAAAAGTTCTTAAGAGAGCGCAACATACATGTACATTTCACACCTGTTCAAACTCCCTATATGTCGAATTTAATTGCTTCAAAAGAGCGGATTCTTCGCTGTCGACAATGAAATCTTCTAGTTCCTGCACAGACTTGAGCGAATTGAAGGCAATGTCGGCTCCCTTAAATACATTCTTCACCTTCTCGCTGGGGTTGAGGAAATACAGAGGTTGTTTTCTACCCGCAAAGTCCCTAATCATTGCCGATACCCCTCTGGCAGCTGTAAAGTCGGCGGCGAGAATAAATCGACAATCTATGACAACGGGCAAATGCACTGAATTCAATCCGGCGTTGTCCACATAGGACTTGATAAATTCCACCGCCGGGAAGTACAGACTGTTACTCGGAGTGATTAGTAAACATTCAACCCCATTGGGCGTCGTCAATTTTTCGACGGTCACTTGCGGGCGTGCGCTTGGATACAGGAGCAGTATAATGTTGATAAACACACCAATAACAATTCCTAACTCCACGCCGATGGATAAACATAGTATAAATGTGACGCTCATAGGAATGAGGTCTTTCCGATTGGACTTCCACATTGGCCGTACAACTTCGTATTCAATCATGAAGATTACCGCACAGATGATAACAGCGCCAAGAGATGCTTTCGGAATGTAGCGAAATGCTGGGGTCACAAAGGACAGCGCGAGCAAAACCAAAATGCCAGTAAATATACCGCCAACAGTAGTTTTCACACCGCTTGCGTGGTTCACAGCCGAGCGTGAAAAAGAGCCGGTAATAGGTATAGACGAGAAAAATGATCCAATTACGTTGCAAAAGCTGAGTGCAATTAGTTCCTGGGTGGCGTCCACACTTTTATTATTAGCTGTGGAATAATTTTTTAATTAAAAAAAAGTTAAAACAAAAAATAAACTTACCAAAAGCCTTGGCAATTGCAACATTTCCAAGCACAGCAATAATAGGTACCATTACAACGGACCCTCCAAGATCTGCCAGCATTTCTGATAACTCCACTGTGCGATTGTTGTATGTTGTACTGAATGGTGGTGGACCAAAATTGGGCATGCCCGGTTTTACTTTCCCGGTCAGTAAGAATGGTACGGCTCCAGTGGTGGTTTCGTAGTAATACGCCAATAACGAACTACAAACAACCACCAAAGCATTCCTGGACGTGGAAATCACCCAGATGGTCTTCTCTAACGGCTTGCGTTTCAGCTTAATATCCTTTATTTTCCTCAGCCCCAGCAGTAGAACAATACATACCAATGCCATCTGAAAGTCTGCATAACGCGACTTATCGATATTCGCGTACGCTTGATAAAGTGTATCGAAAAATCCATTTGACTTGTACTTCAACCCCAATATATACTTTAGCTGCGATGAGATAATGATCATCGAAGTGGCCGAGGTGAAGCCCACCGTCACCGGAATTGATATAAAGTCTACAAGAAGACCGAGGTTTAGCACGGCCATTAACAACTGCATGATTCCGGAGATGAAACATAGTAATATAGCGTAGTCGCTGTTGCGGTTGACAACTTGTTGGTAAGTCATGAGGGACATTAGAGCAGTAGGCCCGATGGTAATATCTTTGCACGATCCGAAGACGACGTAAACGAAGCAGCCCGCGAACGCCGAGTACAAGCCAAACTGGGGTTCAACACCGGCAAGTGTCGCATACGCCAGGGCCTGCGGCATCACTGTGAGGCCCACGGTGACGCCGGCAATTAGATCGCAGAGGAACGTGTGGGTATCATAGCCACGCACATGCCCGAAGATTGGCAGGTGACGTTGCAGAGCGGCGCGCATTCTTTCTCTTCGCATCTTCTGACCTGAAACCGCAAACGTGCGTGCGTGTTGGAGAAAGTTCACATTGTAAATCAATAGACAGGCACAGCTCAACGCAACCAGTAGTTAAAACGTAATTACCTAAACTCGCATTGGTGTGACACGCACTTTAACAAAAGAGTTTCGCGTAGTAATTGACTATGAAGCACATACTTTGTTTGTTTACGTTGATAATTAAGCCGCGCCAGCAAACACCGAACGAGGCGGTCGCGAGCACGATGTGTTTGCGAATGCTGCGTGCTTCGCAGCTTTCCGTTTTTAAAACAATTTCACTCTGCACGAGCGCCACATCTCGCACATTTCGCAAAGTCGGCTCCATTCTTGCGCTAGCTTGGCATACGGGTTATAATTCTCGGCGGCAGATCAATGTGCTCGCCGATTCTCTCAATTAAAAATATTGTCTACCATCAATTGAAGCTATTTTTAATTAGTCGCCGATTGTGATACGCAACGAGTTAAACCAACTAGTAAACAACGGAATGTTTCGATTGTATATGAAGGAAATGGCGGATTTGTTACGTGCGCCACTCACTTTCAATCTTGTTTTAATTGCAGATCAAACTTCGTACAACGAGTCTGCGGATAAGGTGCGCATCGTGATTACAAGTAAAATAATGAATGATGCAATTGTTAATTTCCGTAAGCTTGATGTAAAATGAATCTTATCGGTCAAAGTCGAATGCGATTGCGCCAACTAATTGCAGAAATCGAAGAAATCGCAGCGACCATCGCTGTTGACCTATAAATCACTAAGCGGAAAATTAATAACTTTATCGCTTTTTATGTGCACTTACGAAAGCCAATCCGTCTGCAGCAAGAACTGCTGCTTAAAGTCGTTATAATTAAAGTGCAATCGAGCATTAAGCATATTGCATGTTTACAAGTTGCTACTTAAACAAGTTGGCAGCACATTCATAAATAATTATTAAATTGTAGAATGAAATGAAGCAAAAATGTTACAATGTCGATATAACGCTGAAAATAGCAATAATTTGACTACACAAAAGCAATAATTGCGTGCGTAACAAATTAAGAAGACCTTGATTTAAGTGTTGACTCAAGTACTTAAATGAACTTTAATTTCGATTATATTATACAAGAAAAAAAATCTAATAACTTGTTTCGTATTTTTCGTACAACTTTAAAAATATTTATTTTAAGCACAGTTTTTCATTTACATTCGTCCTTCCTTGTCAACTCACCCAATGATTGACTCGTGCATCTTTCAATTTTTCATATTTTTTACTTTAAATGCGTGATTTTGTACTGCCATGTTCACGTCAATCTCTAGATAAAATTGTTTATAGCAAAAATACACGTATCGAACTATTTTCTTGAAATTTTTAATCTTTGTTATTAATTTTTTTATTACTGGTGCAGTATTAACACAAATATTTACTATGCATAAGAAAGCAATTATTTAAATATCATAGTAAACTCTGTTGTGATCAAAGGACATGTTACCTTAAACCTAAAACCTGTTTTATGCAATTTTGTGGAATATGCGGCTAGGTATTTTATAACGCTGTGTGCATTGATAGAAAAAATTGGCTAATAGCGCTAAAATAATAAATAGCAAGAAAGTATTTTACTATCATATGTTTACGCACAAATATTATATCCCATTTATGCCGAGTGAATGTAAACATTCGATAAACGAGAATCATTACAAACATTCCAAAATATCATATTTTATACATTGCTGCGTTGAGATATATTATATTTTCGTTGGCATAACAGCACAATGTTTTCTATCCAAACGCAACTTTACTTTAGGCAACTCTTCGCACAAATACGCGTTCGATAAAATTCTAACTCTGGGACTAGGCGCTTCTGCCCACCAAATTCCTGCCACATTTCCCGTTTTTGCACGAGCGTATATAAAGCTGATCTGACATTAGATGAGCAACACGTGAGCAACACTTAGCAAACAGACCTACAAGTATACACGTCATTTTTGCGGTTATAATCATATTAAAGTTAAATCGCTGACCTTGTGCTGCGAGAAATAACGCATTACAGTTACTAATCGCGCCTTAATGTCCACGTAAAATGATATTAATTCGTATAGTCTGTGGGACTGGTTTGTTTTCGCTGTACTTGTACATGCCACGAAAATACAATTTCAAAATTACTCACTTGTGATATTTTCGTAAATTTGCAATTGCTAGTCAGTTTCGTCCGTGGAATACCAAGGGCCACTTCGAAATGACGCACATTCTCGAATTCATATCGTCGCGTGGGAGCTCGCTAGCAGATGTTATTATTAAAGCCTAGGGTCGAACGTTCGAATGGGGTTGCGCTGGCGTGCGCCTTGCGCGCACGGGAGTCGCGGGACATGTGCGACGTGCGGCGTCGAGGGCCGCGTCAAGAGCCGTGCTTTTCGCCGTCCCGGCCCTGCGCACTACATTCCGATCAAACTTACAGCGATCTCATATCGAACGCGGCGAAAAATTCACCATTTGCATAGTTGTATCATTAAAGGCTACGTTGAGTCATGGATTGATTTCGACACATTTATCGAGAGCATAAATTACATTTTAATAGAAATATTATTCTACGGTTAACAAGGCGTCGTCTCAAACCCTGGCGATATTGATGTATTTGTATATCGTTGAACAACATCATGCAGATTATCCTTATTCACACAATTAAGCGTATTACCAATAATACTCTCCATTTTGATACGCAGTTTTTCATTCAAGTCCAGAAACACAATCTCGACCTTTTCCTTCGAGTTTCGATTGGTTTCTACAAAATCAGCCATGAGTGCCCCCAGCGCCTAAAACAAATATTAATATTATTAATACATTAACATAAGTAATTTAACAATAAATTAAATATAATGTAATACTTTAGTTGCACTGTAATCGACTCGTTGCAGCTTATTGCAATCAAAAACGATGAGCAAACATTTTATTTCTGGATTGTTTGCGTTCGGGCCGGAGTCTGTGACTGTTACGTTGTGGCACTTCTTCACGACACGGTGAGTCTTCTCACGAACAGATTCTCCTGATATGTAAGTAAGGCTACCAACTAAAGCCAGTTGGAGGTAACTGATATGATCCTAAGAAATAAAATCAGATGTGCAAGCGTGTGAATTTGGATATTTTTACCATGACAACAATTTCATCTTTAATTTTTGGTTTCGAGATAAACCAAACTATTAAAAGGAGATCCACAACCACGCCCACGAGTATTCCTCGCTCGATCGAATCAGCCAGAGACCATAGGAATGTCGCTGCTAATGGTATAAGTTCAATTCCTAAAAATAAATAAGAAAATGTTATAAAACAATATCGTTTCGTGAGTGATTACTTCTCATACTAGTCGTCTGCCACAAATTCTTCACTATCTCAATTTCTACCATGTAGATAACTGCGCAAAAGATGACTGACGCCAGAGCAGCTTTGGGAATAAAGATGAAATACTTGGTTAAGAATGTAAGAGATAAAATCACCATGATTCCTACAACAAGTTAAGACAGGCAATAAACTTAAAATTTTATGCTAATTCTCTGTAATCTGACGTTACTGACTGAATTTTAAATTTAGGCCGAAACTAACCGGTGTAAATACCCCCAAAAGTAGTACGAGCCCCACTGGCATGGTTGAGCGCCGCTCGTGAAAACGAAGCGTTGACCGGAAACGACCCGAAGAATGATCCAACGATATTGCACAATCCGAGCGTGGACATTTCCTGAGATGCATTCAAAACTTTTCCACTTGCTAAAAATAAACATCGATCCGAATTATAGGTTACTATTATATATTACAAACTATCAATTCAGAAATAATTGACTATGTACTTACAGAATGATTTGGCGATCGCCATATTACTTAATATCGCTACTAACGCCACGACAAGAATCCCCGTGTACAACTGCCGCACGTGCTCGCCAACATCCGCCAGTTTGAAGGGCGGCGCAAATTGTGGGAGACCATCCGGAACGGTGTTCGTCAGCGTGAAAACATCGCTGTGCAGGAAGTATGCGCACACCGACGTTGTGATCACGATCAGCGCGTTGCGTCCTACCGAGATGAACCAAATGGCAATTTTGTTCCTGCTAGCGTTGGGTACGGACGGTGCCAGACCCCAGCGACGGACTTCGCGCAAACCTATGAGAAGCACGCAACATACGAGACTGAGAGCCGTATCACCCAGCTTCGCTTTGGTGATATTTGCGAAGACATGGTAGACCACTTCGATGAAGCTTTCAGCACGGAATTTCAACCCTAACATGCTTTTCACTTGGGAAGCGGCGATGGTGATGGCACCCGCGGAGGTGAAGCCGGAGACAACCGGCGCAGACACAAAGTCTACCAGAAATCCCAACTTGAACACACCGAAGAGAAACTGTAGAAGTCCGGCGGAGAAGCAAAGGAATATTGCTACTTCTGGTGAAGATGTATCTTTGATGTATGAGTATGTTAATAAGGATATGAGTGCGGTCGGAGCAATGTTTAAATCTTTCACGGTTCCAAAACAAGCGTAAATGAAACCGCCACAAAGTGATGAGTACAATCCATACTGAAAACAAATTCAGAAAAATCAAAGATTTTCATCATTATTTTAAACTAAAAAAAAAAATGTTTGAAAAAGCTTGAATCAAAAATCTCACCTGTGGTTCTAACCCAGCGAGAGCAGCGTAAGCAATACTCTGTGGAATTAACGTTAATCCGACTGTAATGCCAGCAATTAAATCACCCAAAGCTGTTTCGGTATTGTAATGCGGCAGCCATCCTAAAATCGGCACCACTTCTTTCACTCCATTGAAGATACGCGCTTTTCTCATCACACAATGTAATAAATTTCCAGCTTTCAGCACAGAATCGCAAATGATCCGGCAGAGCGGCGGATAAACTATGGTAGAGCTGAGACACGGAATAACCGACTTTTACAGTTCCGTGTTTAAATCGAACATGGCAAATTACCGAGCTGTCGCTTCGGGCTGCGTGGACGTCCTTGTTTTTTACTTCATACATTAAATGGTGTGTTTGAGTACGTACTTACGTTAAACAGTACGACGGAATGTGCCGGACAATACAGTTCGCAAAATTCATCACTGCGCTGGTCCACCTGCGTCGCGTAATCATAATCTGCCTTACATAATATCAACGATGTAATGTTGATGTGATTACCGGAATATATTTATTTATATGTGTATGATTTACAAAGCAAGTCATTATTTGTCGGTTATTTCTGGTTCTACACATTGCTTGGATGTCGCACCACAAACAAACGCCGAGATTTCGAGAGGGTTTGTAACGGGGCCGCGAAGTGTCTTTGATGAACTCAATTGAAGTTGATTGGCACGCCGACACGATTTTCGTCGTTGTTGGTTTGCTTTATTGTACACCGACTCCTTATAACACTAATATAAAATTCGAAGAAATACCAGAAACACGTCAGCTTTAGCACACAAGCCAGGTACGTTGATATTTACCTACTTGAGGCGAATGATGTGACTCGAAACTTAATGTGGTAATGACATCGATTGAATACAATGCCTTGGATTATTTTTTATATTCATTCTCGCTTGTTATTTTGATTGGAAGCAATATGTTTGTTTGATATTTTTTACAGTGTGGCCTACGATGGAAATTTTCACGTTCTAGGTACGAGTACATTGTGTTTATGCGTTTGATGATATGTACGTAGAATAATGGGATTGCGTGATTGTTTTTTCAATTGAAAATATCGGAGATCAGGTGATTGTTACGTCGGTATAAGTATATTTAGCAATAGGTAATCAAATTACCTATTAACTAAGTTATTAACTAAGAAAAATAGTTTTACTTATTTTTTTTTATTGTATCGGCAGGTATAATCGGCCGTAATATAATTCGATTAATGAAAGAAACATAAAGCAAAAATGCCGAGCACATTCTGGTATGTAATGACTCAAGTACGAACGAATGTGTCATACGTATTAGCAATATGTATACTTTATAACTTTACATACTGGTATTATTTAATTAGCACCATTTTATTTGCCTGTAAATAATTACAAAGTTTCTGATAAGCGTCCACTGTTACTTGCGTTACTTGCAGCGCGTATTTAATTTTTCTAAAAATATTCTGGACGGTATACTGTGTATACATGAGTTGCTAAACGCATAAATCACACACTATTGGGAAATGCTAAAGTACTTTAGTCACGCCCTTGGCAGGTGGTGATTAAAATGCCAGTGTTTCGAAATCGTAGGAAAAGTGGCACTTTTAAGGTGGAAACAGAAAATAGTATATTAAGTATCAAGTGGTCAAACGAGAGTTTTAGTCACGAGATTAAATGAGAACGAGCGTAGCGAGCGTTTAATTAATCAAGTGTTTAACAACATTTAGTCATGTTATGCTTACGCTATTTTTTCAATTTATTTCCACGTTGAAGTTTTGTAATTTAACTTTTCATTTTAAATCTGATCTAACGCTCGCACACTACTGGGAAATGTAAGGTTATAAATGCCGTGCCGCGCCGACAAGAGCAGAAGCAGCGCCCGCAAGCTCCGCCCCGTGACTAAAGCCCGTAATTAAAGTACTTTAGTCACAGCCTTGATCATCCGCGTCTAAAGTAACACTTTTTGTGTTTAAAATGTGAAAAAACTGACGCTTTAAAAGTGGAAGTCGAAAAAATAAAGTTATCACTGTGAACAGGTGAATCACTATCAATACATCAAAGCAGTCAATACAAGGAATTATGCAGAATATAACTGATTTGAATTTAACGGAAGTGATACATTTTCGTGTGAAGCTGGGCGGACATAAATACCAAAGAAACTTTTCAAAACTTTCGAAAATATTCACAACAAAAAAAACAGCGTCACAAAATTTGCCTTGCCTGCTAATATCGTATTTAAATGTTCTATCTTCTGATAAACATAGTTACTATTTATTGAAATTATGAATAGATATCACCATGACAATAATAATATCAATAATAAAATAAAATTGACGTTATTCTTTCAATTTAAGTTAAATTCCAATAATAACACGATGTTTCCGAAATGGTTCCGCGCTTTCCTGCTCCTAAACATTTTGCTCTTTGTCGAATTATACGCATTCGGTAAGTGTTCCTTTCCTAATGAAACATTAACATTCAGATATGTTCCTACATAGAGCCTCGGCTACGATGCTACGACTGCACCAACTGTGAAGACAGCTACCTGAAATCGGCAAAAAGTTGCGATCCCCGATTCTTCTTCTGTGTGTACTTCCAAAAACCAACGAATGAAGTGGACAGATACTGTGGCATCAACGGCAATTGCACCGCACTTGTCGCACTTGCCGGGGGTGGCAACTGCTCTATGTGCTCGTCGGATCTATGCAATTACAAGTTCTACACGGATCGCGCGCACCCGTCACTCGCCGCCAACATTCTTGTCACCTTACTCTCAGCATTCATTGGCGTAATAGTCGCCTGAGGATCAGATCATTACCATGCATTGTTAATATTTTTCAATCGCAACATTTAATAAAAAGATAATCGGCTAAAACAGATGTGATTCATGGATTTTGGAGGTCTGTTATCACCGGATGCGCGCTCCCGCAATCGTTAGAACGACGCATGCGAAGTACGGCATGGAGCGGACTCGGCCCGCAGTCCTCTCGCATTCGCTTCGTGTGTGTTGCTGCCGCTGGACAAGTGCACCCCCGACGGCTGCAGGAATGTTAGCGGTGTTCGGTATGTCGCGCCTTTTTCGATAATAATTCCGCACTTCGACAACAGGTCGAAAATCATCATCGCAAGTCGCGCTCAAAGCAATAACATTCACCGCTTTTCATCTTACGAACGCTATTTTACATCAATTCCTTCTCGTGGGAACTCACTGGAAATCAACAGGTACGTTTATCGATTGCGCTATATCTCCTAACCGAATTTTACAACTTCACACGCTCAAAGTAATTAACAATCATTTTTATTAAACCACACCATTTTTTAAGAGTATTTATATTAAATTTTAAGTTTTTTATCATTTAACTAAATTTTTATCATTTGCAGTTAAAAAAGTTTGCAAATTTTTGCTTTTCATATTAACTGAAGCTGGTCCTTGACAGAATTGACAGCTGGATGCGACTTTTTGCGCCTGGAAAGAAATGTCCTTGGCCTATACTTGGGACCTTCATGCATGCCCCGCTGAAACACAGCAACTCCCCAAGGCGTCACGCAAAAATGAACACGTGGAACTTGCACTCATGCTATGACACACCTTTAAACATTTATTGTTTGCAGCGTCGCGCGTAACTTCCGCATTCGTCAGTAACCCGCAAACCACTCGTTTCCGTGCGTCTGATAAGAGTTCATGCGCTTTTGATGTTTCAGATGCCGGAGAGCCTGCTGCTGCCGACCTACAACGCGATGGCGGAGGCCGAGCCCGACCTAAGCACCTTCGAGAACAAGACTGGGCTCGCCGAAGACATGAAGTTCCTCGCGTCCATGCCGGAGTTGTGCGATGTGACGTTCCTCGTCGGCGACACCAGGGAGCCGGTGTGCGCCGTTAAGGCCGTGCTGGCTGCACGCTCGCGTGTTTTCCACAAGATGCTTTATCAGGTATGCAAAGAACAAGTCAATTGTCACTGGAGAGGTGAAACTCACGCGTGTCCCACTTTCAGGCCCCCAGCCCGCAACGCAAGAAGGAGGCGGCGCCGCGCGAGAATAAGCTGCGTCTGTTCCTGAAGCGCTCCTCCGAGCCGCTGCTGAATCTACAGAATGCGTCGCAACAGGTAATTGTAGAGTTACCGCTGCAGGCCTGCGCCCTGCGCCCCCGCCCCACGCGAGGCGTGACGCTGCACGCGTCACCGCATCGCGACGCCTCTTTTTGATCCAGATTTAACTAATTAGCGATGTTGTGCACCCAATTCAGAGAGGCTACACACAGCAGTTGGCTCCCATCCAAGAGGTAACCTTCCTCGGCCGTCCGACTCTTCCGTCATACGTTTATTTTGTATCCGATATGCGATTATTTGCGGGGCAACACAATGAATCAAATTGGTGCCGAAAATGTTAGATCAGGTTGACCCAATCTGTTTTTATTTAGATCAGTGGTCTTCACTTGTTTCATTTGCGTTTTGTACATACGTATATTGTGTTGAGTGTGATACATTCAAAAAGTAAACTTGGTAGTTTATTACAAAATTGAAGTGAATCAGTAGAGTTCATCATTTTCGGCACAGATTTAGAGATCTACTTAAGAGTGGATTTCGGTACACAACAGCGCTACTAAAAACAAGTTTTTTTAAGTTTCATTCTTAAAGAAATGCAATTATTTAAAAACCACAGTGCGCCTACGATGAAAAATTAATTTTTCTTTAATATAGTATTGATACCAATGCTAAACATTTAGTATTTTCTTAGATATTTCAGTTTTTTCAAAAACAGATTTTTGCATTTTATTCAAAAAAAATGGTTGTTTGTAAAGTAGGTTTACGATCGAGATGTTTACGTGATAACGTCTTATTGGTGATATAAGTTTTTTTTGTTGCAATTGTTGTAACACTTCACTTGCACTTCACATTTTGTTTTACTGTTAAATATTCAACGAAAACTTAACCGCACGAGAAAATCTCCATTCGTTTGTATGCCGCTAGAGTGAGAGAGACGGAAGATCGGTCAACTCACTCGAACGCTATGCCTGCCTCCGCTCGTGTGGATTCCGCGTGACAAGTTTCACGGAATGACTGGCAGCGCTCGAGATGAGACGGGAGATCGGTCCGTCTCTCTCTCTCTCGTTATACCTGCGATCGGAGGCCTCGTGACACAAGTTTCTGAACATGTCACCCTAAAACGATTTTAAAGACGTTATCACGTCAAAACTATTGAATATCTTATCACCAATAATGATCTGATAAATGGTTACATAGTTTTTGATTAAAATGCAAAAGTCTGTTTTCGTTTAAATTAAAATATCTAAGAGATAAACTAATTTTTCTAGGGGAATGCAAACCAAAAATTGTTTTTTTCTACTGTGGAGCTGTTGTACTTCGAAACCCTCTCTGAATCTATTATTTGACTTAAAGCAAACCTCTGGATTAACATTGCAGGCACCAAAAACACCAACGTGTTCGTCCTATATTTTATCTTCACAAACGGATCTTAAAATTGCGTTGCGTTTTCAGCTTTGTCATGTTTTCGAATTTCCGAATAATCTATTACATGCGTGCGTGTTCTTTCACTTGACTCATTCAGTATAGCGTAGGCACTGCTCTCTCCACTATACGTAGCCATTGAGATCGATTTCGCACCCATCCACGTAGTGCGTTGATCAACTGCAGATGACTCAATGCCGCATGCTCGCATAGTCTCATACTCGCATCCCCACATATCTGTGCATGCAAGGGTAATGTGATTTGCCCACCGCCACACACGCGACCCGCGTGGCGCACGTGCCGGGCGCGTTACTAATGTATTCTTGCATAGCCACAGTCGCAGCAGCACCAGACGCTCATTATCGAGGAGTTTGAACCAGACGTGTTCCGCCAGCTCATCGAGTACATCCACACCGGCTGCGTCACCCTCCAACCGCGCACACTGCTAGGTGAGTATCCGCATGCATGCTTCGTTAGCTCCGCGAGCGCAGCGTCCCTTGAACCTTTGTGATTTTAGGCGTAATGAACGCGGCAGACTACTACGGCCTGGATGAGTTGCGGCGAGCGTGCGCCGGATTCGTTCAGTGCTGCATTAACGTTGATACTGTCTGCGCCCTGCTGGCATCAGCCGAACGATACATACAGTATAAGTGCACCAAGTCGCTGGTGCAGAAGGTACACATCGCTGATATTTATTTCCTTAACTACTCACTTCAATATATGATTATGTATTAGGTGTTGGAATTTGTTGACGAACATGGCAATGAAGTGCTCAACCTGGGCTCCTTCACACTTCTGCCGCAACACGTCGTCAGGTTGATTCTGGCACGCGATGAACTGCAAGCGGATGAATTCACCAAGTTCCAGGCCGCACTCATGTGGGGCAAGAAATACTGCGACAGCAATCCCAACACCAATCTGAAAGATGTCATCGGCAATTTCCTCGAGTACATCCAATTCCACAAGATACCCGCAAACGTTTTGATGCGGGAGATCCATCCGCTCGGCCTGGTGCCCTACAGCATTATCATGAACGCACTGGCTTACCAGGTTATAACACCATCCACATACCTCGAGGCTCGTCTTTCAAGCCGCCGCTTGTTTTAGGCAGACCCGGCAAGCGTCGACCCCGGAAAGCTGTCCCCGAATCGAGTGAGGCGCAACGCGCAAGGACGCTCCATGTCCGTGCAGAGCTCCCTCGACCCGTACGGCTCGAACACGACGCTGAGCTCGAGCGGCTCCAGCGAACTGGCGTCCTCCGAGGGCAAGCATTCGACGTCCAATTAGCATACGGCCACTGGCGCGCCGCACCACAGCCATCATCATCACACACACCCGCCCCCAGCGCACCCGGGCCCCATGCATCATTCCGCCCCACCGACCACCCACTCATCTCCCGCTCACTCCTTCACATTCACGATCGTTCTCAAGAAAGTGACGCCCATTCAGCGGCATTAAGCCGCCTCCACACACACACACACCCCGCATGACCACCCTGGACCGGGACCAAACGATTTCACCAGCACCACACGCCCTCGTGTTTACCATGACTTCCGAACTCTTTCCTTTCGTTGGTTACCTTCTCCTCGTTTGTTGCGCGGCGCAACAGTGGCTTTTAAGAAACATGATGTACATAGAGAATTGTACATTAGCAATGGATATTGTTTCCACGTATATGCTCGCTCTGCGAGCTCTATTTATCGGTCTGTTTTTGGTTTTGTACTTTTTGATACGTAATATTGCGGTCTTCTATGCTTCAACACGCATTACTAACTGGGTCGTCAACAACTACTTTTGATTGTATATTTATCTTTGCTGTTTTTTTCTCGAATAAGTTGTTGTGGTAAATACGAAATACGCCAAAGTATTGATTGCAATTATAAAAATAGGTGTGCGTAACTTCGTCAAGTCGTCTGTGTCTGTACTAAAAGGAATACCAAACATACATTAATTGCGCGCGGAGAAGGCGGCGGCAGGGCACGGGCAATGAGTATTTTTGATAAATATAAATTATTTTTGTTACGCGTATATTCAGACATTCACCAGGAACCTCATCTCAATTCCGGCTGCGTCGAAATTATGCCGTTACCCACGCAGTGAGCGCGCGCGCATCACCGCGCGATTCATCCGCCGCCTTTTGCAATAAGAAATGCTATTTTGCTAACATGTTACAAGGGGTAAAAAAGCGTCAATCTGATATGTACATTGTATATTCATGTACTCATTACACATAAACTATCGTATGTTGCAGACAGTGTGTGTGTGTATTACATTTTCAATCAAAATCATTTTAATTCGTGCTTGTAGTGCTGTCCTGTTGGCCGTAGTAGGTCTGCCAACGCTTCCACACGTCAATCCGTCTATTGTGCCAGCCGCCGATGTTAGCGAAGTGATTCACGTCGATGAGAATCTTCGTCCACAGATGATTAGACAGCAGGTTCAACTTGGACTCCATCTTGTACTCGTCGACGATTGTGTTGTTTTCGTGATATTTGACAACATTGTAGCCGTTGCGACAGAAGTGCCATTCGCTTTCCTCTGAAAAATTGCTCATATTAAACACAACAATTATTATTTATTATTATAATATCATACCTGAATTGGATGCAAGCGCACCACTCGCGATGGCAATCACCATGGTAAATATGTGAACGTGCATGGTATGACGCGATGATCAAACATTAACTTAATAAGCTCCGAAAAGCACTCTTAGCTTTTTCTAAGCCGTTTGTGCAAAATATAGATTTTAACTGCGCTTCTTATGGTCCTTTGTTCTTTGTTTCATAATTTCGAACAATAGAACAATCCGCACTCAATTTCTAATCAATTCTATAGACTTGCACACTTTTTACGAACGTATTTGATAACTTAACTTAATTGATATTAAAGTTTAAAGTAATCAAACCAATAAAATCAAATGCGATTTATTTATTATTATCAGTGTGGGTTTCAATTAAAACATTTAGCCTGAAAGACGTGGCATTACAAACATTGGAGTGAAACCCGAAATACCATAGCGATGGACTTGGTAGTCTCTTTGCAGCTTCATTTTTCGCAGAATCGTTTCCAAATCGAAAATAATGTATGGCTCCGTTGGGCTTGGCAACGCTTGAATTGTAGAAATGTCGAGGGCAGTCCAGCAAGGCGGCATTGTAAAGTAATGGTCGGTCCAGTTTTCAATATCTTCCTCAGTTTTCGGCATCGTTGTTGGGGTGGCATCGGTCGCATCGGTGGCATCATCTTCGGTGCTTGGTGGCTCTGATGTATCAGATTCATTTGCTTCGGTTACCTCTTCGTCTTCTGTGTCTTCTGGCGCGTCGGTTGTAGGCTCATCTGCATTTTCCTCGTCGCCTTCGTCGGTTTCCTCGGGAGCTTCAGTAGCTTCTTCGTCAGTTGCTGTCATTTCGGTAGTCATATCAGTTTCAGCGGTTGTCTCATCTTCTGCTTCTGCATCGCCTGCTTCTGCATCATCTGCTTCGGCATTTTCTGCTTCTGCATCTTCTGCATCTTCATCGCGTGCTTCTGCATCGTCTCCTTCTGCATCTCCGGCTTCATCATCGCGTGCTTCGGCATCTTCTTCTTCATCATCGCGTGCTTCGGCATCCTCGGCATCTGCATCGTCTGCTTCATCATCGCGTGCTTCTGCATCGTCAGCTTCATCGTCGCGTGCTTCTGCATCTTCTGCATCTGCATCATCTGCTTCTCCATCGCGTGCTTCTGCATCCTCAGCATCTGCATTTTCGGCTTCATCATCGCGTGTTTCTGCATCATCAGCTGCTAATTCAGAGGCGTCAGCAGCTGCTTCATCTTCCTGGGCTGCCGCAATAAATACAACAGCCAGAATAATCGCCAAATTCACAATTAAATGCCGCATACTGGAAGTTTTGTTGTTGATTTCCAACTGACAGAAAACACTGCAGGACGCAGCATTTAATACTCTCTCAGCTTAGATATTTGCATATCAGCGAAAGAGTTGGTGGAGGCGCGCAGATAAGCAAATGTTTTATTACGTTTTATTATGTTTTATTATATTTTAACACTTATTCGACGTGGATTCATTTTTAAATATTTTTTGGAACAAAATTAAATGGAAGGATTCAAATTCGCAATCACACACAAAGATTCGAGTTGGTTATATATTTATTTAACCTATTTCAAGACATGAGAAAAACGCAAGCGCTAACTACAATTGATGCGGCTAGTGTTGCTATTCTTGGCTCTCTGGCTGTGCCTCTGCCTCTTCCTCTTGCTTTGCCACGGCATCCAGGACTGCGTTTTCCATATCTTGGTGCGCGGCGGGGCCTTCTTCTTCATCGCAAGGTTCCTCTTCGGCATGTTTGCGCTCAGCATCCTCAGCGTTGTCCTCATCATCCTGCCTGGCAGCGGCGTCATCTCCTTCTTCGGCGGTGTCACCATCGGGCCTAGCCTCCGCCCACTGCACGTGCACGATGACTGCAAGTGCGCACAACAGGAAGATGGCGTACAATTTCATCTTGAAAATTGATTGCTTATCGTTTGACTGTGCAGGAAACCACAGAAGTGTTTTTACCAGCCTGGATGCGTGGCTTAAATACACCGCGAAAGCATGTCGCAAAACGCTGCCGAACAAAGGATCACAAAATTGTGTACAATTCGTCACTACACGAACAATCGAAGCATTTCTATTGAAACTCGTAAAAAGCCAGTAAAATGGAAAAATCAAACAAAGTTTATTTAGGAAATCTTTTGATTGTTTCAAATCGCGAATTAATTATTTTATTCGAAATGTAAGAGTGGGTTTTTTATGTGCTTATTGTTTTAGAGAGATTAGAACAAAAGGGTATACTATTCTTTTGTAAACTTATCGGTTTGAACGAATTATTACTTTTTTATAGTAATATTTGATTAATGCGCAAGGAGAAGATTAGTCAACTTTTAATGCCAGAAATAATGCTTTAGCATTGCACAAAATCTTACATATCAATTAGTTAAAAAGTACTAGTTAGAAGTTATAAGATAAAAGGACAGTTTTGGAAAGTACGACTTAAATAGTGATTTTCCAAAATGTCGGCACTTTTTCTTTTAGCATCTTTATATAAATGCAGTCAAATTATTTGTTTAAAAAAGATTCTTTGCGCACATTAACAGAAACCATATAATTTTTACATATTTTCTTTATTCTCTTCTGTCGAAGAGTTGTTCAAATCAACCTGACTACTCCCCGCGGATGCAACCTTCTGTTCTTTTACTGCGATTAATCTTTTGGCAAAGTTCTCAATACTACTCAATGTCCTGGCTGTCATTTCATTTGTTTCAATCACCTTCTTTAGCAAATTATTGTTATAATCAATCTCGTCAGTTTGGATACCCACTTCTCGTACGTCCTTCAGTGCAAGGGCCTGTTTTTGACTAGATGCAGTTCCTGCAGGTCCTGCCGAAGTGGTGGTTTGGTTTACTACTTTCAATAATTTAATGCGTTTCAATGATATGAGAGCGGGCAACTCAGGTAGTGATCGGGCGGGTTTTTTAGCACGACGCTTCGTCCTACCGCTTTGTGTTTGGTTGTTCTCTTTTGCCGCTGCTTTGATGTTTTGACCTTGAGCTTGCTGGGAAGTCATCGGGGTTGGCTTGTTCGCCACTGTCAAAGATAATACTTGTTCGGCAGGGTGTTCCGCAGGTTTTTTCTTTAAGGCAGTCAATGGTACGATCGAAATTTGCGGATTTGATGAAGTCGGTTTGCGTGGAGGAGTCGCTATAAATGGATTGATTACATTATTCTTTGAGATATGCTATTTTCATTGCAATTGTCTCAATCTCGTATTGCAAACATATTTTTCAAATTTACAAATGTGACAAATGCAATAAATTGAATTATTCTTTAGGAGTTTGACGTAGAATACGTACGAGCCATGTTCGGTTTTGTTGATGTTCTTCAAGGAATTGCAGACTTTAACTTTTTCACACACACACAGCGATCGCGTCTCTGCCCAAAAGATTCAAATAAACAAAAGAAACATAAAACATTCATGCGTTGTCATGACAACCAATCAGAAGTAGCGCCCTCTATTATATCACACAAATGAAATTTGCATCAATCCTGTGAACGACGTCGGCATCCATGCGATTCTCTTTGGTTCTACTGATACATTGAGGTGTTTCTTATTCACGCGTGCAGTTGTTTTGTATAAATTTCCCAAATCTTCAAATTGTTCAAATTGGCCTGGTTTCTAAATAAGTTGGCGAAAAGTAATTGAATATTTAAATAAATAAATTCGTAAAAATATAACAAGCTTCATAATATTATTTGCCAGTTTCAAACTCGTACGATGGGTTGCCTACGATATATATTTACCAAATCAGCTGAGAATTGAAAGGACTGAAGTGCGGAATAGGAGGCTCGGACAATTTTGCTTGACACATTGGTCAGTGCTGTGGGTCAGTGGTTGTAATAGATTGAGAGTGGTGTTGACAATTGTTTAAGTATCTAATTAAAAACAATCTGAACTAAACACAGCACAATGGAGAAGCCATTAGAACGAGTTATGGACGAAACGTTAGTTGATTTCATATTTATCTCTAAAGATCAATAAATGTATCTTGTAATTTCAATCTTGTAATTCCAGCATGGCAGTACCTCAAGTCTTGGGCTGTATTTTTGCGGATCATCAGGGTCTTTGTCTCGGAGGTATCATTTATCTAAACTGCATTGATTGTTCATTTGAAAATGAGTGTTTTTAGCCAAAGGTAACGCATCCACGGAAAGCGCTGGCATTCTCGGCGCGATTGCCGAACAAGCATCCAAACTGGAGCCACATAATCGAGCACCAGTTATAACACTTGAGTCAGACAACAAGATCTGCATTATACAACGGTCGGGGACAATTACAGGGGCTGTTTATAAGAGTATATAATTCCTATAAGAATTCCATGCATGTGTATGAAGTCATTGTCAATATCTAAAAACTTTATTTTTTCATTGTCTTGAGACCAAATTGCATTCAAAGTCAAATCAAAAATATTAAGATACAATTACTTGTTTGCTAACTTGATGATGTTTCTTGCCTGTTTCATTAAAGGAGCATCAATCATGTTCCCTCTGAATGTGAAGGCACCCTGAAAGAATCCCAATCAATTTCTCCACGTCAAAAATTATATAAATTGCTGATTTACCGCGCCTTTTGCTTCGTGAGCGGTGAATTCACTGATGAGCGCCGTCGCCCATTCAATCTGCTCGGAATTCGGCGAGAAACATTTGTGAACGGTCTCTACCTGCATTGGATGAATAACCTGTTTGCCAGTATATCCCATTCTCATTCCCTGCTTACACTGCTCTTCCAGCGCGTTCAGATCTTTATAATTGATGTGGACGATGTCTATCGCTTGTAAGCCAAATGCCTTCGCCACGTTGACGAGTTTCTGCCGTGCGTAGATGATTTCCATGTGGTCAGACGTCTTCGTCGCCCCGATACTGGCTAAATAATCATCTCCGCCGAAAAGTAGACCGACCGGCGCGAAATTACATCTATCTGCTTGCTTGAAAGCCTCTGCACAGATTTCTTGCAGCAGCATTACTGCTTTGGCACTCTCAATGCAGATGATAATGTCTGGTATATGATTTGATTTGTACTTGTGGAAGATTCCAGCAATCTACAAAAGTCTATGTGCAATATCAAGACTACAGAGGGTTGTCTATACTTTACTTTGGACATTTCTGCTGGATCATTTACTTTTGGTATGATGATCATTTCAGGTTTCTGGTTTGCAGTCAGAATTGACTTGAAATCATCTTCAAAAAATGGTGTGGCCAGATCATTCACTCGCACGCTTACGATATCTGCGGCAAATTTTGCTCTTTGGTCATTGTTAAGTATATCCAACACATTTTTCCTAGCTACATCCTTAAAGTGTAAAAATGTTGTGTGGTTAGCAAGAAGCAGCTATCCATGCATGTTTTAATGTACTTTCTGGTTGAGAGCAACGCCATCCTCACAGTTTAACACCAGGCAATCAACTTTCAGGTCGTAAGCTTTTGCTAGCTTCCTTGTATCGGATGCAGGCACATAAAGAAACGCTCGAGATGGAATGTTGTCGGTATTGGTTATATTGGTGGAAAATTTTCGCAAAGGCTATAATAATTACATTAATACAATATCATTTTCACTGATAAGAAAAAGAAAGTAATGATTTACTTTTGCGAATTTGAGTCCAATTGCTCTACAACAGGCGTGCATTGCGGATAACTACGCAGTAAATCAGCACGAAGAATAACAGAATCTAATAAGAATGAAGTGGTAGGAATTTAACCAACAAACGGTTATGGTCGAATTCAAACAACTGAAATGTTGAATAATCTTGAACCTGCCTAAAATAGTAGTAGTATTATCTATTTTTATTTAGTTTCGACAAATATGTATTTGGTCATTTGCATTATTTCGAATATCTTGGTTGTCATGAAGAAATTATATGTACAACTGCACCCGCGTGAATTGCGGGTTGCGGCAATTTGCGTTGTAGTTTGTGTAGTGTGTGAGCGTTAAGTAGGCAAGCGCAGCCGAACTCTACGCTGCTCTATGCTATGCTGCAGACCTTGCATATGTTCCGTGGTGCAGAGTGCCTGTTTCTTAGCGTGATATAGTGGATATTGTTCAAAGTTCCAAGTTACTAGCAGCAGTAAACAACGACGAGCGCTAGACAGCGCTGTGGATCGCAATAATCGCTGCGTAAGTATGTAGATCGAGCACTTTAGGCTGTTGGTGTGTAGTGTTTTTTGTGGCGCGTTATTTCGCGAAGCCTTCATTTCGTGAACTATGTCAGTGAGTCGTTTACATACTCGATTGTAATCATATGATTCCACCAGTGGGCTCCTCCGAAAGCGGCAGTTGCATGCTGCGACGGTGACTCACACGTGCCACCTTTTCGCTCGTATGCTTCGCTGGCGGCGATGGTGTTGGTTTTCCTTCGGAATGCCACAAGTCAATGCCAGCAGCGTGCGCACAATCAATACCGATTTGTTTATTTTCGAGTGGTCTTGTTGCCGAGCTAGAAATCGCGCTATCGCCGCCGTCACCTAGCGCGTCTCTAAGCAAAACAGCGCATCAACACGTCCGTCAGTTTCAATCGATTCCCAAATTCATGCGAATCCAAAATTCACGTTTATGAAGCGGTACTGAGTGTGCACAGGGGCAGCTGCTGTGTTTTCGCGCGCCCGAAATTACCGATTTATAATCGAGTGTCGCGTTGCAGCTGAGATGCACTCCAGCCATTAGAGGACTACAGGTTTTCTGAGGTGTACTGCTTTTCACGCATTTGAAGCACAAGTCACTCCAGCGAACATGGACTCCGGCGATCACATCCACTTTTCCACACAATTTGAAGAAATTCAGTACTTAAAGGATTTTGTGCAGCGATTGATGAACGAGTAAGCTAATAAGCATTACAAATGCAGCAGATTACTTCAAATCAACACTTATCTGATGTTTGTATTGCAGGAAGGATGCTTTACAGATGGAATTTGATGACTACACATCCAGTTCAGAACAATTGGAGAAAGAGTACGAGGCTACAATTGAACAGAATGAAAAGACTATCAAGGACCTGCGCTCCATGCACCATAGAGAACAGAAGGAAAAGGATTCCTTAAAAGTAAAACATTGTGTAAACTGTGCAAGATGTAATACTAATTGCCTTTTTTCTTGTCCTAGTTAAAGCTGGAACAAACAGTACACGAAAATGAGCAGCTCCAGAGTGAAGCCGAACATCTAAAAGAAGAGAAGCTGCAGTTGCAGCGGACTGTGCGAATACTGGAGCAGAAGAACGATGATTTGGAACGCGCGGAGCGAATGCGCGCCGAGACCGTGGCGGCATTCGAATCGTCATTAAACAACGCGATTGAACGCAACGCCATTCTGGAGTCGGAGATTGACGAGAAGGAATCGCTCAAGGAGAAACTACAGCGACTAGTCGACGAGACCAGGGGTAATTGCGCGTTGCGTTGCGTTTTATACACTATTAGAAGATGATGTAATGTGATGTTGCTTTCTTCATAGATCTCAAGCAGGAGCTACACATTAAAGAGCGCTGCCCGGACAACGAGCGCTTGCTTAACCGACCACCACCGCCTCCGACGATGGCGGTGAACGGCAATGAGAATGGCTTGCCGACTGCCAGCCGCGCCTTCGTTGATTCGAACCGACTCAAGGTCGAGTGCGAGACGCAAACGACGCCGACGAAACGTAAGCTCAGAAAAGCCCTTTTAAACTTCTTCTTTTGTACGAAAACATTCGCGATCGCGAGCCCCTGAGCAGCTGGGCACTAGAGAGGTGCGGCAACCAGCTTTGCGCCACCGACGAGCATTCCAAAAATGCCTAGTTTTATATTCGTATTATTAACTTGACTAATTTAAGCAGTAACATTTTAACTGTGATCAATTCGTATTAGTGCCTTTAGGCGGGCGCGCGCCTTGCTCACCGCCAAACCAAATCCTAACAAGACTCGACTATAACACAATAAACCATGTTTCGCTCTTTCTTGTAAACGACATGCACTCGTGGCAGTTGTTGTAAATAAATTGTGGATACGATGAGAAAACTTATTTGATTTCTACCCCATCTGTCGGTTACATGTTTGTGATTGTGTTAAAGTTGGGTCTTTGTTGGTTTTGGATTTTTCGTACGCTGCTAACTCGATGCCCTTGCAGGTGAGACCACCTCAAAGATTTCCTTGCTGGATACACCGATGACGGCATCATCGCGTGTGTTGGCGCTCAACATTATCGGCGACCTGATGCGTAAGATCGGCGTAAGTATCGGATTGTTTCCACCGCGGCAGACACGTAGGACGTACCCGGACGTCGCAACCTCGCCATCCTTCCTTGCTACAAGTTAGAGAAATTCCTCATCCGATGGAACGTTCATGTACCCCATTCATTCGATCCTTTTCACATGACTTTGTTCAAGTAGCGCAATGTAGCGAGCTTCGATTACCTATTCATGTACATTTCATAACGTATTCAGCACATTTTCTCATTCGATCGATGTTTTGTTGTTTATTTTTCGTCTGTTTGTTGTACATTGGTGAGCATGTGCATGGGTGTAATTGTGCTTGCAGTTGTCACGTTTCCTGTGCGAGCACTGCGGGCAGGTGAAGTGCACGACGTTTTGCCAGCCGCCGCCCGCGCGGCCATCGCAATTTCCAAGGTGCGTTCAGCATCCCGATGCGACCCCGTCCCATTCCACAGGGCACACACTAACCACCGAACCAGCCGCTTTGTATTCATAGACTTGTCACGTCTTCAACGTCGAATATAACTGATCGTAGATGGGCGTTGCTTTCTCTTGCAGCAACTCGAGGCCAAGCTAGCGCATCGCCGACCGGAGTATCGTAGCAGCACGGAGAATGTCAGGCGGCGGCATACGAGTCGAGGCAGATCATCGCCATCTTTGCAGTCCATCAACAAATAGGCTGCACGTGCAGCGCTTGCAATCTGGCATGTAAATACGAACGGTGTACATATTTATGTAGGACTATCTGCAGTATAGTCCAAAGGGATGATGTTACATTCGGGCGCGAGATTGGAATATTCGGCGACCGCAGCGTGTGAAATAATAATTTATGTTTTATATTTTAATTTATTGTAATTCAGTGCTTCTTTGTTACTGATTGCTGTCTAGCAAGTTAAGAATCTAACATTAGGCACCACAAGTGAACACTGACACACCCACACACATTGCAACACTGAAACACCAAGTTTAGCATAATACAAACTTTGAGATAAACCCTACTTGCATTTACTTGTTGATTAATGTATCTAACGTTCCTGTAATTTTGAAGTAGGCTGTGCCCATCCAGTGGTGCTTTTGTTTTTTGTTTTTGTTTTGTTTTTAATTCGTGCATTGCTGCCTGGGAAACTTGCAAATATAAAATAACACTCCATGCCAGTGGTGGTGTTGTGTGGTGATTTTGTGCTCCTCCGTTTTTCGCTGAATCTCGGCTAAATGTCGGAGGAAATACCAGGGCGAACACTGGGCCGGAGCACCTCTCATGGACCCACATTGGTAAGGCAAAATATGCGTTATAAGCGCGCCTATGTATTAATCATTATAATGTTCACAGTCGCGCACCGGCACGCAGGTGACATTCGACAGTGTCGAGTATGTGCCGACGCTCTACTCCTATGAGAAGGGCCCCCCGCATGTCGTGTCTGCTAAATACGAGGTACGTTTAAGCAAATGGTTGTCTGTAGCCCATGTTTCATGTGATTATGCCTGTTTTTATTTAGAGCTTGGACTACGACCTCCTGGAGAACGAGTTTCGCATCCAGGAGGAGGATCTGCGAGGCTATCGATACCTAATCATCAAGAATCTGATGAAATGGTTGGCGTTTCTGCAAATTGGGATTTTCACGGCACTTGTCGGCGCGCTCGTCGATTTGGCCATCAGCATGATGATAACGAAGAAGTATGAGATTCTTATAAAACGTAAGTTTGTTTTGCTATTGCCAGCATGAATAATAACGTTTAGATTGTGCTTTCTTCCGCAGTGATCAAGGAACATGAGACGGAGCAGCAATACTATGTGATGTTGATGTGGATGATGCTGAATGCACTGCCCTTCACCCTTGGCTGCGTTCTGGTGACGTATATTGAGCCAATGGCAGCAGGATCGGGCATTCCCCTGGTTAAGTGCTACCTCAACGGCGTCTACATCCCACGCATCCTACGCCTCAAGACACTGGTTATCAAGGCAGCTGGTCTAGCATTCTCAATCATTGGCGGCGTGGCCAGCGGCAAGGAAGGGCCTATGATTCATGTGGGCGCCTGTGTCGCGAACTTGGTCGGGGCTGGACAGGTGAGCATTTGGGGCTGGAAATGGGACATGTACAAGTTCTTCCGCGATGATCAAGAGAAGCGCGATCTTGTATCGGCCGGTGCCGCGGCTGGCGTCTCAGCTGCATTTGGCGCATCGGTGGGCGGCGTGCTTTTCAGCTTGGAGGAAGGCGCATCCTTCTGGAACCAGACACTTACATGGCGCATCTTTTTCACTTCGGTGGTGAGCAAGTTCTTCGTAAACTTCCTACTCTCGGCGCTGAAGGGCCATCCCGGTGAGCTGGAGCACCCCAGTCTAATCAACATGGGAACCGTTGATTTCACCTACACCATATACGAGGTGCCCATCTTCGCATTCATGGGCTGCATTGGGGGCGTTATGGGATGCATGTGGAACCTGTTGAACATCCGGTTGTCTCAACTGCGTAAACGATTTATATACCAGAACTGGGCCCGCGTGCTTGAGGGCATCGTTGTCGCTGCTCTCCACGGTGTCATTGCTTTTGCAATGACATACTACGTTAACGAATGCAACGATAGGCCGTATACCAAGGATTACTCGCTAGATGCTCTGTGTGGTAACCAGAAGGGAACCTCCAACGTGGTTGGGACTATGTGGCTGGCCCCGCCGCAAAAGTCTGTCAATGCTCTTGTGCATGATCCCGCAGGTACTTACAAGTATCTCTCCCTGATATCATTTGCAGTGGCTTACTACTTCCTTTCATGCCTGACATTCGGACTGTCTTCCTCCAACGGTATTTTTGTACCATCCCTGTTAACCGGCGCTGCGTGGGGAAGACTCCTCTCTGTAATTGTGCGTGAGCTGTTACCCCCCGAATGGAAGGGCTCTGTTGACAGCGGAAAGTATGCGTTAATTGGCGCGTGCGCCCAGCTGGGCGGCATTGTCCGGATGACCATCAGCCTCACCGTCATTATGATGGAAACCAGCGACAATATCTCATTCAGCTTTCCCATTATCATCACGCTCATTTGCGCCAAGTGGATCGGAGACTTTTTCTCCGAGGGCATTTACAACATCAACATTCAAGTAAAGAATATCCCGTTCCTGCCGCCCGAGCCACCACCGCTAGCTCACAGCGTACTGGCGACCGGTATTATGAATGCACCTCCAATCTGCGTCAAAGGTATCGAACGCATAGGCTACTTGTGGTCCATGCTCAACAAGACTACGCACAATGGGTTTCCGATCGTTGAGGAGGAGGGGATGCGTATTTTGCGCGACTATCGGGATGCTGGCGATGCGCGCAAAGGACGCATAAAGGGGTTGATTCTGCGCTCGCAGATCATTTTCCTTCTCTATTACAAGCTGTATTACGAACACGAGGATGAGTGGATGTCAACCATCACGATGAATTCCTTCCGTGACTATTATCTCAATGAGATAGCTATGAAAGACTTGCAGGTCCTGCCCGAGGACATGAGGTTCCACTTGGATCTACGTCCATTTATGAACAACTCGCCGTACACCCTGCTCAAGGTTAGTGGTTGATCATATCTATGTACTCTAAGTATATACTTAGTATATACAATTTTATTCTTCTGATTTCAGAACACGTCGCTACCTCGCATCTATGTATTGTTTCGAGCATTGGGATTGCGTCATTTGCCAATTGTTAACGAGTCCAACGAGGTAGTTGGCATGATTACGCGAAAGGATCTATCGAAATTCAGGGTGATCAACCGCATGTGCCAGCTTCGGCAAAATGAACTAGTACTGGTTGACTAAGCATGAAACAATCTCCTGAAAAATTGTTTAGTTTATATTACATCAGCAGTGAGACTGTAATTATACAGGTTTATATGAGGTTCATCAATTCGCGACAAGTTAAAAAAAAAAACAAGATAAAAATGTGGATATACAAACTACTCAGACATTCAAAAAAACAGATCAATCCTTCAGGATTTATCCTACTTTGCTATTTGCTTGAAAAAAATTGTTGTGCTTTCTGGTTTAAGCATACTACTTCTGAAAACTCTTTGAGGATGATCAACAGTTTAAGCTCACCAAAATATTTTGTAGTTATTTACTTGAAATTAAATGTTAATAAACTATAACTAAAACTATTGAATATGTATCTGTTACGAGAAAAGGACGAAGATGGTAATTGTACATTCATTGTGCAGTGTTGCATTTCTGCTTCTGCACAACCTTGGAACATCCAAGAAACCTATGTTTAAACTGCTATTTTTTTTTTAATATAAACACAATTCTTATTTCCTCTCATCCAAATTCGCCATTGTAGTGATTATAAAGTTTATTTATTTATTTATTCAGGTGTTATTCCTATTATGCATAATCCGTGCATCATCGTTTCACATCGTGCGGGCCGCGGTGTCGCGAATGTCAAGTTACGCCTGCGCTTTTAAATTGCATTTCTTTTTCATCCCGTATGAAATAATACATTTATTTTAAAGTGAAATGTATAATTTCAGTTAAACTCTAATGCTATATACCTTAAAATATACCTTAGCTATCTTGTTACACACTACATTTGCGGATATTTGCACGATGACTTTGAATGAATGTATGCAGCGTTGCCAAGTGTACGGTGTGTGTGATCCAGAAAATTCGTTAACCTACCTGCCTGAATACATGGCTCGAATGGCGTCGTGTGGTGTATAGGAGAGCTAATAAGTAAGCTGTTGAGTGCTATTAGTGAAGACGGTTGTTTCGCGCCGCCTGCTTGAAGCTATTGAAACCCTGCAGCAGCGGGTCCCGATCGCTAGCGTGCAAGCTAGCGCAAAATGTCGAACTTCATCGAATCGGAAGCGGAGGAGAGCGAGGTATGTGCCAGCCGCGACATTTCCGCTCATTTATTGCTCACTGCATGCCATTTTTGATATGCATTTCTCAATTGGAGCTAAAGACCGATACGGACTCCAGATTGTCCTCATGCATGCTATTAAATCTCTTATAACTTATTTTTTTGATGTAATGGGGATTGGGTGATTGTTTTTTTTCTAATTGTTGCTTGTAGGATGAGGAGGAGCTGACCTCAGCAGAACGCAAAAAGTTGAAGCGTGCGAAGAAAATGGATGATAGCTCTGAAGAGGAGGAAGGTAATTATAACCATGTGAGGCAACTGCATGCAATCTAGCTAATTTGATAAATGTTTATATTATCACAGATGATGATGAAAGGCTGAGGGAAGAGCTGAAGGATCTTATTGATGACAGAGAAATTGAGAGTGGTGAAGATTCGGATGCATCCGGAGGTGAAAAACGGAAGAAAAGCGATGATGAGGAATATGACGACCGACTTGAAGATGAAGATTATGACCTCATTGAGGAGAACTTGGGTGTCAAAGTGGAAAGAAGAGTCAGTTGATAATGCATGCATGTGTTTCATGCCTAGTAAACTATGCTTGTTGCAGAGATTCAAACGGTTGCGACGAATACAAGATGAAGAAAGTGACAATGAAGATGATGCTGACCAGAGTCAAGATCGCGACGCGATTGCCATGGAGATATTCTCCGAGGATGTAAGTGTTTTATATTGTTTACTCTAGTCAGTAAGACATTATTGCGCATAACCATGCATTTGTTTCCGTCGTTCTTGCTTCTCCAAAGGATAAAGATGAAACACAGGTAGTAGCTGCGTTTTACATTTTGCTTGGCTGAGTATTGAGTGTAATTTAAGATTATTTATGCATCTAGGATGACGAGAGGCGGTCTGAGCGTAGCCATGCGCCTGTTCAAGAGCCTGACCATTTCGGCGAAGAGGAAGACGAGGGAGAGTATTCGGACACGGATGATTTTATCGTTGACGACGATGGTCGGCCAATTGCTGACAAGAAGAAGAAACGCAAACCTATATTCACCGATGCGTAAGTTGATTTCGGCTCAAAACATTGACATCCAATCATTGTTTTTACTATTTTGAATTGCAGCGCTTTGCAAGAAGCACAGGAGACGTTCGGCGTTGATTTTGACTATGATGAGTTCTCCAAGTATGAACAAGACGACTACGAGGATGAAGAAGACGAGGAGGACGAGTACGTGGATGAAGACGATGAAGTGCGCCGGCAGCGACCGAAGAAAGCAGCGCGACAGAAGCCGACACGCAAATCTATTTTCGAAGTGTACGAACCAAGCGAGCTGAAACGCGGTTTCTTCACCGACCAGGATAATGAGATTCGTAACACCGATATTCCTGAGCGCATGCAGTTGCGTGAGGTGCCGCTGACATCCGTGCCGGAGGACTCCACCGAATTAGACGACGAGGCTGAATGGATCTACAAGCAGGCCTTCTGTAAGCCGCCCGTGTCGAACCAGAACGCCGACTTGAGTGCGGAGGCACGCGAACGTCAGAAAAAAGGCCCGCAGACGATCGGGAAAATCCGCAAAGCTTTGGACTTCATGCGCAACCAGCATCTTGAGGTGCCCTTCATTGCCTTCTACCGCAAGGAGTACGTGCAGCCTGAACTCAATATATCCGACCTGTGGAAAGTTTACAAATTTGACGCCAAATGGTGTCAACTGCGTTCGCGCAAACAAAACCTCCTCACTCTCTTTGAGAAAATGCGGTCGTACCAGCTGGATCAGTTGATGAAGAACCCTGACGCACCTATTCCAGATAACGTACGTGTCATGAAGGACTCGGACGTAGAACGGCTGCGCAATGTTCAAACACAAAAGGAATTACAAGATTTGTACAATCATTTTATTTTGTACTATGGCGGAGATCTGCCCGGTATGCATGCTGCGTGGCGTGCTAAGGAACGAGAGGCACGCCGTGCGGAAAAACGACAGGCACGTCTCAACCGGCTGGATGCCGATGAGGCGGAGGCTCCCGAAGATGTCGATGATGAGCCGGATGATCAGGAACCGGAGAAGCTCAAGTATGCCAACCGCTCTAGCAACTACGTGTTGTGTATGCGTGCTGGTCTGGATGGTCTGGCTAAGAAATTCGGTCTTTCACCGGAGCATTTCGCTGAGAATGTGCGTGACAACTATCAGCGTCACGAGGTGGAGCAAGAGTGCATTGATCCGATGGAACTCGCCAAGGAATACGTGTGTGCTAACTTTCCTACTGTGGAAGAGGTTCTGCAGGCAGCAAAACTTATGGTTTCAATGCAGCTGGCCGGTGAGCCTCTCTTACGCAAAACTATGCGTGAGGTTTTCTACGAACGCGCCAAGATCACCATTAGGCCGACTAAGAAGGGTCTGAAGGTGATAGACGAGTCGCACAACTGCTACAGCATGAAATATGTGAAGAGTAAGCCAGTGCGTGATCTTGTGCATGAGCAGTTTCTCAAGTTGTCCATGGCTGAGGAGGACAAATTAATCACAATCACCTTCGACGAGCACATCGAGGGTAACACCAGCGGTTCATACCTTGACGAAGCGAAGCAGCTGTACATTAAGGACGAGTTCAGCAAGAACGTGCAGGATTGGAACGCATTGCGGCTGGAATGCGTAGAGCGCGCTGTCTTGCGCTATGTTCTTCCTGATCTGCGCTCTGAACTGCGGCGCACACTGCTTGATGAGGCAAAGGAAGCGGTTCTAAAAGCGTGTTGTCGTAAATTGTACAACTGGATCCGCGTCGCACCTTACAAAGTGGACTTTGCCGACGAAGAAGACGACGAGTGGGACACGTCGCGCGGTATCCGCGTGATGGCTGTGGCATACGTACCAGACTACTCGCAGTCAGCGTTCACGTGCATAGCCAATCATGATGGTGAGATTTCCGAATACTTGCGCTTGCCACACTTACTCAAGCGGAAAAATTCGTATCGTGACGACGAGAAACGCCTCAAGGAATCGGATCTGGCGGCACTGCGTAATTTCATTTATACTAAGAAACCGCAGGTGATTGCAGTGGGCGGCGAATCGCGAGAAGCGCAAATGATTGTCGAGGATCTCAAAGGTATCATCGCCGATCTTGTCGACAACGAGCAGTTCCCTTCGATCGCCGTGGAGATAATCGACAATGAGCTAGCTAAAGTATACAGCAATTCGCGTAAGAGCGAGACCGACTTTCGCGAATTTCCCGAGTTGTTGCGGCAGGCGATCTCACTGGCGCGCCGCATGCAGGATCCTCTCGTTGAATTTTCGCAATTGTGCACTTCCGATGAAGAGCTGCTTAGCTTGCGCTACCACCCACTGCAGGAGCAGGTTGCAAAGGAAGAATTGCTTGAGAATTTGTATCTGGAGTTTGTCAACCGCACTAATGAGGTCGGCGTTGATGTCAATCTAGCGGTGCAACAAGCACATAAAAGCTTCCTTGTGCAGTTCATATGTGGGCTGGGACCGCGTAAAGGTCAGGCATTGATGCGCGTGCTGAAGCAGACTAATCAACGCCTTGAAAATCGTACACAATTGGTAACCGCCTGCCACATGGGCCCGAAAGTATTCATCAACTGTTCTGGTTTTGTTAAAATCGACACCAATAGTTTGGGCGATAGTACTGAGGCGTACGTTGAGATTCTCGACGGTTCTCGCGTGCATCCCGAGACATACGAGTGGGCCCGCAAGATGGCTGTAGACGCATTGGAGTACGATGACGACGAGGGAGCCAACCCTGCTGGAGCCCTGGAGGAAATTCTAGAAACGCCTGAGCGTCTCAAGGATCTTGATCTGGACGCGTTCGCTGAGGAGTTGGAGCGACAGGGCTTTGGCAACAAAAGTATCACGCTCTACGATATCCGCGCAGAGCTGAATTGCCGCTATAAAGATCTCCGCACGCCGTTTGCGAGCGCCAATGCCGAGGAGCTCTTTGACATTCTCACCAAAGAGTCTCCGGAGACATTCTACGTGGGCAAGTTGATCACCACGGTCGTGGTTGGTATCTCGCGCCGCAAACCGCAGGGCGATCAATTGGACCAGGCTAACCCCGTGCGAAACGACGACACTGGCCTCTGGCAGTGCCCATTCTGTCATCAGAATGATTTCCCTGAGTTGTCCGATGTGTGGAATCATTTTGATGCGGGCTCGTGTTGTGGGCAGGCCACTGGAGTCAAGCTGCGCTTGGACAATGGCCTATCCGGTTATATTCACATCAAGAACCTCAGTGACAAACACGTCGCCATTCCAGAGGAGCGTGTCAGCGCGGGCCAGCTCATTCATTGTCGTATACTCAAGATAGACGTGGAGCGCTTTTCCGTTGACTGCACTTCTAAGTCAAGCGATCTGACAGACAAAAAGAACGAGTTTCGTCCCGCCAAGGATCCTTACTATGATCACGAGTTAGAGGAGCGCGACATGCGGCTGGAACTGAACAAGAAGCTCGCAAAGCAGAAACAGACATACATGAAGCGCGTCATCATTCACCCATGCTTCCACAACATTAACTTTGTCGAAGCTGAGAAACTGATGCAGGACGCCGATCAGGGCGAGGTGGTGATACGTCCGTCAAGTAAGGGCGCCGATCACCTTACCGTTACTTGGAAAGTAGTCGACAAGATCTTCCAGCATATTGATGTACGCGAGGAGGGCAAAAAGAACGCCTTTTCCATCGGCTCGTCGCTCTGGATCGGAAACGAAGAATTCGAAGATTTGGACGAAATTATTGCACGCCACATCCATCCGATGGCGACGTATGCACGTGAAGTAATCAATTACCGGTACTATCGCGACACAGAAGGTGGACTAAAGGATCTTGCAGAGGAGTTTCTCAAGGATGAGCGCAAGAAAAATGCTACTAAGATTCACTACGTAATCAGCGCATCCAAGACCTATCCTGGCAAGTTTCTGTTGTCGTATTTGCCACGACACAAGGTGCGCCATGAATACATGACGGTCACCACGGAGGGCATCCGTTTCCGCAACCAGGTGTTCGACAGCGTGCTAAACCTATTCAAGTGGTTCAAGGAGCATTTCCGGGACCCTATTCCCGGTGGTCAGACACCTGGCACACCACGTGGACATGCCGCTCGCTCATCGTACGCTGGTAATACCACACCCGGAGGTTATGGCGGCGTGCATCCAGATGCAATTCACCGCGTGGCACAGAATCTGCCCTCGCATATGATGCAAACCCTGTCGGCCGTAGCCACGCAGACTCCGCACTATCCTCAAACGCCCGGCGCTTATGCAGCCAATAATTACGTTAACACTGTAAGTAATCACAGATTTGTTTTGTATTTTTGTATTTAAAATATTTTTTGTTTCTATTATAGCCTTACACACCAAGTGGACAGACACCGTACATGACACCGTACCAAACGCCACAGCAGACACCTCGCTACGGTCAGCAAACGCCGTCGCAACATATTCCTAGTACTGCACCACACATGAACGGTCCCTTCTTGCATCCGGGCGCCGTCACTCCAGCGCAGCGCAGTTCGTCGTATCGTAACGTGCCGCCGCAATCGCCCCTCGTCAACTCCAGCCCGCATCCAAGCCCACGCGCCAGCTATGATCACCACCACCACAGCAAGGGAGCGCCGCCTGATTCACCGCGTAGTTATTCAGGCAATGGTAGCCGACGTGGTTACGGCACGCACAACGAACCCACCGACTGGCAGAAGGCGGCCGAGGCATGGGCAACGCGTAGAAGCAGCGTACCCCGTGGCAGCGCCAGCGGCAGCAGCACCCCGCGTTCACAGGGCCATCGCACGCCGCGTTTCGAGGATATTCGCAGTGACCTGGAGCGCACACGCATGAAGAACGTTAGTAAGAGCCCTCGGTCTGCGCGCAGCACACCGCGCACGAACACCTCGCCGCACTCCATGTCGCTCGGCGATGCCACCCCTCTGTATGATGAGAGCATTTAAATTTTAGTTAGAAAATTAGTCAGTACACTTTCTTTGAATTAAGTTATCTGCCACTTACTTATTGGCATTGATTTATTTATTTCACACACCCCCTGGCGGACGCCTCCGTATATTTGTCCTAGGAAGTGAGTGGGCTACATTTGAGCCCGAGTCCAAATTGGGAATCTTGGGAATTCCTTCTGTGCCATTAGCGCTAATCGAAAGTGAATATATTAACTTGTCGGTGCGATCGGCTTGCACGTCTGAAAAATGTTCGATGCAGACGCGGCCGAGTGGAAAGTCTTATCTGTCGTTTGCACTCCTCACGCTGTCTTGAATCGCCTGAAAGGCAGTGCGTACCCTTTTCTGCCACCGCATCGTATTTCTTCCCCTCTTACTCGCTTCGGTCCCAAATCGCATTATCGGGGCGCAGGTGAAGTTACAGCGGTCCGTTGTTGGGTAGTGGGACAACAGCGCGCGTATGGTTGGTTGCATATAATTGGATTAGCAAATTGCGCCCCACGAGTGGTTGCATACGCGTGACGCAAAATGAAAATTTATGGTTGCTACACTAGCTGGAACGATCGAGCAAATCGAACACGCGCGCCGATTTTATCTGTTTAACAATGTACAATAGTTACGATCATTTTTTATATAGCCACATTGTGTCGACTCGTCGCGGTTGAAAAATTAATGAAAAGTTATAAATCTGGCCGTTTACGATCGTCGCGGAGTTTTTCGTAAATGGAGTTTCTTGCCATATTCGAACCAAACGCTGCGATCGCTTTTATCCGAACGCAGATAATTTATGGAGCATAGATAAATTGGCATTGTTGTGGCCGGGTGTGTTCGGGGCGATTTCGGCGCGTCTCGACGTATCAACAATTGAAAAATTGGAGTGTCCGCTTGACCCGCAACAAGTTGTGTTACGAAAGCATGGACAGTTCTTTCGCTCAGTCTTTCATTACTAATTACAATGCAACGCGTGAGCAGAAGAAGGCCGTCGGAGGCCGAGGACGCGACGAGCGCGTAAAAAACCGTTAGCGTTCGAATTAACCTTTAATCGATCGCATTCTTCACCGTATCCCGTAAACCAATTGCGGGAGCGCAACTCAATTTCGGCTTTGGCAGAAAGCACGCGGGACGCGCGCCGCTTGTTTCTCATCAGCCGGGCTCGATGGCAATCTGCTGGCTGCAATAAAACTTCCAACAAGCAACAAGTGATCGCGCTAATTGTGCGCTGCGGCACTACCCGCCGACTTTCTCCCGACCCGATCATAATAGAAACTTAATTCGCATTCGCTTCGTGCGCCGCGCTCCGTGATTCAATTGGGCTCTCACGCGTGAGCTTCTCACACAAATGTGCAATTAACCGACGACCAATTCGTTGTGTTTACGCGCCTCTAACGGTGTGCAGATTCGAATTGGATCAAGGTGGCGGAACAATATAAGTGAAAGTACATTACGGACACGCAGTCGGCGCTAAACGGGAACGCGCACGGCACTTAATGAGCTGCACCAAGTCTGAAATCTGCGGGTGAAGTTTTGCGAGCGTCGTCCGTGCGCGCAAAGCTGGCGATGATTTGCTTCGACAGAATGCCGCGAGCGACGTCATTGTGTCAGCGCGACGTGGATACGCCTGGCGCGCGTGAAAAGAATCGATGCGGACGACGGGGTTGGGCGACGTACGCCCCCGCCGACGTGCAACAAGTGCGGCGCCGTCGCCGCCGTCGCACTGATTCTTAATTGATTGACGTTATTGTTTCGGCGTAACGCGTTGCCCCACGCGCCGCTCCCGCACGCCCGCCGCCAGCGCTCTCCCTCGGGATCATTGGAAATGGGCAACGCATCGTGATTAGCGTGACGCGGCGGCGGCGGCGTCGCACGGATTAAAGCGTATTTACGTATTACGTATTCTGTCGCTGAGTTTCATTAGCGGGACGTGCGGCGAATGTCAACCGTGACGGACTGACTCATGGAGCGGCCGTACTTCGAAGGGACGCTCACTGCTGGCCGCCACTATTTTTCATCATTTCGCAGCGCCGCACACCGCCCGAATTTGCGCTTGTGACGCAATCGAGCTAATGCACTGCCATTCGAATTCTCCCATCGGCGCTGAGCGCGTTTTTCTGTGGTGTTGTTTTGAGTCGCAATTTCTTTGCGCGAGGCGCGCGCGCTTGCTTTGGAAACGGGTGCGGCGAACTCTTTCTTCGTTGCTGCATTGGGTCCGAAATAGAAAAGTGTAACGGCGAACGGCGCGGAGTGGCAAGGCCGGCCGTTTGTTGCGTTTCTCATTTCTCGCCGTCACGCGGCGTGTTTTTTCTCGCCTTTGTGCCGTACCATGGCCGCGCTTTGCGTTTTTAGATTGATCACGCACGATTATACGCAAATCAAACCTGCATTCAAATTAATAACCACACCGAAATTCGGTTTCTTTTTTTTTCTTTGAACACTTCGGCCTGGTTTTGCAGCGCGATTCAACTCAATCAACTCAGGTGATGCAACAGGTACATTCGTACTTTCCAAGGATTTCCAGTTTTATCATTGCAATCCACCGCCACCCTCCTTCAAATCCCTTTCTTGCAACGGGCATAATCCGCTAGTAATGTGTTCGTGCGTCAGCGCGCTCCAACAGCGTAGTTAATAAAACTGTTTGAGTTGATGTAATGCGAGCGGCATTTAACACCGGACCGGGGGATGTTTTCGTGCGCAAACACTCCAAAAACCGTCAGCGCCACAGAAATGAACATGCCACGTTCATTTACGTCGATCGCTGCAAAACACACACATTACAAACTTTTTTATTGCTTTTATTTATTGGAGCAACAGGTAAGCATGCAGGAGAACATTAAAAAGTTTTATGCCATGCATTAGATGTGCTGATTCGACGATAATCACGTAGATAACTTGCTGTATAGTTAACGTGCGGGGGTGTTTACTGCCGGCGTCGCTCGGTCGGCGTTTGGCGGCGTGTGAAAAGACGAAAATGGGCGCCCAGCCGATGATGTTTATCCATTCGTCGGCATCGCGAAATTCAAGTGCACGCGCGGTGCACCTGGAAGTCGGGTCGGCGAGGGCGAGGGCGAGCGCTGCGAGGAGTGCGACGCGAGGCCGGGCGCTCCGTCATCGCCAGTCGCGCTCGTCTCGGCCGGCACTGGCTCGCGCGCCGCGCGCACGTTTCCGTCGCGTCCGCGGGTGCTCGCGGGCTCGCGAGTCGTGGAGGCTCGCGTCGCGGCCCGTTCGGCGCTTGCCGTTCATAGTATCGCGCGCGCCGTCGAAAAACGCACACCGCAGCCGGGCGCTCGCGTCCACGACTCGTTCGTTGACATTGCGCATCGCGCCGCAAAGAGATCGCGCATAGCTTCGCTCAGTTCGCTCGCAAGCACGCGTCGGTTTGCTTCGCGCACCCCCTGTAGAATAGGACTCCTTCAGTGCGCGCGTCAACTACTCAGACTGCCCTAACAACCCCGAAACTTTGCATTTCACTTCTCTCTCGACGGACTCGAAAGGTAAGAGACCGCCAGCGATTGTTTCTGATTGTTAATAGAAGCACGGAGTGCCGTGCCGCTCCGACGAGCGAAGAGAAAGTGCAAAAAAGGCGAAATAGTTCGCATTCCTCACCAGCGGACAACCACGTTCACCGTTGAACACCAAAAAGGTTTCTTTATGTCTGTATTATGTTTTTTTTTTTTTGCACACGCACTCAACTTACCCCGAGTAGCACATGTCATTATTATCGTTGCAGTCAAAGTCAATTTTGCGCCGAAAAATACACTTCATGCATGCTTTCGTGCGCTGTCAGAGTTTGCGGGGGTTCGTGTCGAGGGTAGAATGAGTGCGAGCATGTGAACAAGTGTTTCACCCTTTCGCCGTTCCCGAGGACGCGCAAGTGTTGGTGGTTCGCCACTTCCTCCTACGCGAATGTGGCTCAGGCGTATGCCGCGGCATGAATGAAAACGAAATCACGGCGCTTGACGTCAAACGTGGATTCGGAGCGTTTACCTTGGTCACGATGCATGCATTCGCATACACGGATGAATGCTATTGTTGCGCACAACCCGCAAAACATTACGCTACATCGCTAAATATTTGATTCACGAATGTCAATAAAAGTGGAAAATAGAGCCGCGCGGCGTTCTTAAACAAACGTCTCCGCGAGCAACAAGTCATTTGTTTGTCAAAAGTGTTGTGTTGTGGAGAGTTAATGCAAGCGGAATTTGACGCTTCTGTATCACACACACGAACGGCCAAATTAATAATACACTGCATAATCGCGATGCGGCCTTGCCTCGCAAATCGGCCAAACGTATAATAGACGCACGCGGTGAGGTGCACGACACGCGACCACCCGCAAAAGACAAACAAACAACAATCTCGCGTAACGCTGGAAATCCGTGATTAAACACATGCTCGGAGCAATCTCGAGCACATGTAGTGTACAATGGAAGTGCAATGACGCTATCGCGCGGAATCGCGATCCACGGCTTTATCACAACCAACGTCATGCAAAAACGAAAAACAAGGGCTGAGCGGATTTGCGTACGGTGATTATTTCCGTGACATTGCCCGAACACATCGACAAGGTTTTCGCGCTGGGAAAAGGGGACAGTGCGCATATTTTAAGCAAGTGTAGGCGTAAAATAAAACTCGACACTTTCGTTGATTCGATCATGATTAGTGATTAAGAGAGATAGCGAGCGGGGGAGAGAGAGAACCAACCAGCGCAACACCGTTCGTTTCAACCGCGTACGAACGAGTCAATCCAAAAAGAATGCATGCCAACCACATTTCACTCGCAACTATCAATCGCATAAACAAATTACACATCGTTGCTAATGTTTAGCCAACTGCGGCGGCTGCGCGCACACTCGGTCTCGCATGTCACCGATAACTACCTGCGCGCACGCGTAAGTACACATGTTCCGGAATGTTTATTTGTTTCTCTTGGTGCCGCATTCGCATAATTTGAATTATCGATAAGCGCTTTAAGTTTCGGCAGCTACTCGACAAGGCCTTGAGTGTTAAAGGTGGCGAACGCAGAAGGTATTTATATAACACACTAGACAATATTATAGGTATCAGCGTAGAATGTTGCGAATCATTAATTCGCCACTGCTCGAATCGAATTTCTTAAATATGCAATTCTACAGCACCTTCGGTAAGCATGCAACTCAACACTCAATTACCACCACTGACCACTGACCAGTCTTGTAATGGATGCGTTACGACTGTCACATGCGTAATAGTGATTTTATTACGCGCTGCAAATAAGAAAACCTTAAAATGTTGAAATGTTTCGTCGGTATTTTGTGGTTTCCGAAGCGCAAATCGGGAAATACGCATTTGATAAGTAAGATGAATATGGAGACAATCAATTCAAAGTTCTACAAGCTCCGCGTATAGAATTTGCCGAATTATCAGAAATAGTGCATTGCAAATATGTAATCTCATTGTTCGGTATTGACGTGTTATCGCTCGTGAATTACAGCGAGCGATCGTGATTATTGAATGTGCGTTCGAACGTAAACATAAAAAATTATCAAATTCAACATTTCAATAGGCCGATAAGCCAATTGTTTGTTTGTGCGCGCTCGTGGTGGCCCACACCTCTGCTTCACGCGGATAATCTTGAAAATACCGCGCACCTCGAGCATTAGTAGGCCACTTAAGTTATGCTCGCGCTCGAATTCGGCTTCTCTAAAAAAAATCGAAATGCAAATATGTACTAACGCGTACGCGATATGTACTAGCGATCAGATCTGGCCAAGGTCGTTGTCGGTTTCGAGCTCTTGTGTTAGATCGAGCTCGCGCGTTAACGAAGTCGAAAAGGCACAAAACGATTGTTGTTGTAGTGGTCAAAGTTATGCGATTCGATCTTGTCGAACCAGAACGTTTAAGATCAAATCCACTTTTTTGCGATGTGATTTTGTTTTATAATGTCACTTGTCTAACTATCCGCGGGCGATGTGCGTGTATTGGTTGTCGCACACGGCGCGAGCGCCGAGAAAAGGAAGGTGTAGCTCCACACCTGAAACCGATTGTGTTGTGAGTAAAAGTTTCAAAATTGCAATCCGAGTATTCGTCGAAAGTAAGTTGGCCTTGGCATTATGCGCTCATTTTTATGCCGAAATTCGCGCTTATCGTATATTTATCACTGTCATTATTTACTAGCTCGGCGTTTATTACATAAACACCGTTCAAGAGAAGACTACGACTGAAAGGTTACCGATGTGACACCAGACTTAATGCGCTTGCACAAATGTGTCGTAAATCGCGTGGTGCTGATCATCAAATTTGCAATTGTTGCCGTCTCGTCAGCCACATCCCGAAACTGTGGCTCCACGAGTGCAATCCTGAGCAGACAAAAAACCATACTGCCTTGCGAAATGAAAATCGCGTCCGTGCTACCGACCGGTAGCAAATTATAAACGCGGTGCAACTTTTACTCTTGCGACGCGTTCTTTCACTTCGCTCAGCAATTACCCATACCAGTGGTATTAGAATTAAAGCTCTATAAGGACCACTTGTCAGCCACTACTGATTTTCATTATCTTGCTTATCAATTGTACACGAAGCGCATGATAAGGTGACGGCGCACATTAGCTGCCGACGGGACACGATGCGGATTCAGATCGATCAGCTGATTGCGGTGTTCGCATATGACAAATCATCAAGTTCACGACCTTGCGTTTGCGGTTCATCACAAACCACCGAATTGCCATCGAATTGCCATCACTCGCGCGGCATTAATCTCGAAATTTGAGGCGCGCAGCGCCGCGGGTGCTGGCGGATAGGTGATAGTTGTTTGGTTACTTTCTTGCACACGTCGAATGGGTTATTGTACTATAAAGTCAGTCAGTCAGTCGGTAGCCGAATGCGACCGGCCAAAACTCGTTTACGCGATTGACCGTTTGGCATTTCCTGCGCCGAGCGGAGCGCACTCGACCTTATAGCGTACCAGCTCCAGCCGCCGAGGCAACCGCCGCCCTTTCCAACTGCAACTTTCTAAAGCCTCAGAGCGACGGCGGCGACGTCGTCGTCGCTTTTACCGGCCGCGCGTGAAGCGCTCGTATGGCCCGATTAAAATTTCCAATTATACGGTGAGAAAAATACGTTGACGCTGGATTTGCATGGTTGACAATTAATTGTTTTACATGCGTGCAGCAGGTTGCTAGGGAACTTGGTTGTCGGAGCCTGTGGATAATCTTATTTCCAGTTTACCCCAGATCTAGTTTACGGCATCTCAATCCTATAATTTCCTAATTTTATTTCATATAATTAGACATGGACCGACCGTGGGCTTCGCTCAGTCGAAATTAGGAAATTGTAGGACCGTCGGATGGGGATTATTTAAAACAAAGAGAACATTTATCTTTTGTTGTCAAATGGTATTTAGAAAGACTAAAATGCTTCAGGAATAATGTATTTTTCTACTTCCACTTTTTCAACGGTTTTGCGACACGAAAAGTGGCACTTTAATCACGGCTTTAGTACTTTAGTCACGGGGTGGAGCTTGCGCATGCGCATTTGCCTACGGTTCAGTGCACGGCACAGTTAGTTCTAATTTATTAATACAACTAAAATTATAATCACAAAAATCAAAGTCAAATACTAACTTACACAATAGGTCTCCGGATTTTGTAAAATTCATTTAGTATGCATCTGTGGATAATTGAAAAAATTGCCGCCCTGTTTTATAAGCCGTACACACGTAGCCACGTAACGAGATATTGCGTAAATGCATTTCCACATCTATAGTCTACTTAGTAATTTTTTCTAGGATTGTATAAAGCAAGGAACAATAGATTGAATTAGGACACTGCTGAAAAAAAATGGTGTTGATTGCGAAAAAATGTAGATTATTTACCATGGTATATGGTAAATAATAATATGGTAAATAATAATATTTTAATAATATTTAATCAGATACGACTTTGGTGATACGAGTTAAATAACAAATTTTCAAAGTCTTCAAATCTCCCTTTATTGTTAAATTGAATTCTGAAGAAAAATCAATAAAGATGAAATGTGTCATTTTTAAAATAATATAATAAACTAATATAATATGTAATATTGAAGTAAAATCACGTTTCGTAACAAATTTCTTAATTAATTTTGATATAATCTTGCATAAGCTGTGGCAATCATCCCTTAAATACAGTTTTTTTTAGTCTATATCGAATTTAGTACTGCTGTTTATTTGGTTGAATTCTAATTTGGCATTTAAAATAGCAGAGCAAAGTGAAATTTCGTATTTAAAAATAATACGCCGCTTGATTGCAATCTGTGGTCAGAATCAACAACCTCTCCGTTCCAAAAGAAACATGAAAATCAACGCGCCGATGCATAGCGATTGGTTCTGCCGCCTCTACCGGCCTATCCCTCGCTCTCTTCCGATGCCTTGTCATGCCCCGATAACCGATTTCAGATCTGGCGCCTTATTTGCAATCAACTTGAGAAATGTTGTCACATTAAAAATCTATGATTGTTGCATAAATCTAATCTATTTATTTTTACTCTTGTGCGCACGCTAGGGGACGTGGGCGTTATTCATTCCAAGAGGGAAATTGCGCAATTTGTAGACTTATTCCATCCAGTCGTCAACTTCCTTTTTGTTTTCGTCCTATTTCTAGACAGGCCTGAAACTACTTCAGTGCTACATGTTTTGAATATTGCGTTTCGTTTTATTTCAAATCTGTAATTTAATCACGATTAGGTCTTTTTGGGGTGACAAAGATCAAGTCCTATTTTACACCTGCACTCGTTAAAGTCGCATAATGAGAAAATATTCATCAGAAATGTGTTTCTCTTAAAGTTATTCGGTGGAACAAAATGTGTTAACAATTTTACTTTGCCGCTGCTGATCGCAATCGCGACAGTGCACGTCAAGTTTTCCAACTTGCTCGCTTCAAACTAACCACTCTTAAACTTTTCAGAATACCGCAGATACTTCAGGGTTGGTGGGGAATTAGAGACGCCTGCGGAATTGCCGATCCACCAAGTTCGTAGTGGTTGCGCTGCTCAATAAACTAATTAAAATTTGTACGCTCATTATTTCCGCCAAGTGGGCAATCGAGAAACCTTTATTTTATAGCCGAGCTAGTTACAGTAAACACGATTTAAATTCCATTGAGACGAAATTGTGCTCATTATTTAACGCGTACCACGGCATTATATTGGAATATAAGCGTCTATAAATAAACTATGCGGGGAAATATTAGACGTAATTACAAGTGAAATGCATGAATGCCTAAGTTTACAAGGTCAGGAGCAGAACAAAGAAAGAAGGAATCAGTTCCGGCTGTACTTCAGTCCTGAAAGCGACTAGAAACTTAAAAATACTTTCCGATAAAAAAGGAGGCTGTTTTAGATAACTTGATAAACCGTAATAAATATGTGGACATTTAAAAAATATTGAAATAGAGGTAATAAACCTTTAAAAAATGTAATTGGGACCTGCCTCTAAGCACAAAGAGAAGACACATTTTGCTCCTAACAGCTTAGTGCACGAAGCACCCGATTACAGCTCGAAAATTTCCGAATTTTTTTGCCAAAAAACAAGGCTTTGGTTTTTTTATTTTGATTAGTCTTTAAGGGTTGTGGTCATGTAATAAACTATATTATGTACGAGCACAAACGTGATAAAACGCCGGAAATTAATGTGCTCTTCCCTTTTAAGTATTGATGATAAATATATCTGCTTGCGCATTCTAATTTATTTAAGTTTCTATTAAATGCATTGTAACGGAAACTAAAGAAGGTCAAGTGAAAGCAGATTTTTTGGAAAGTTTGGCAGTTATTGAACTAAAGTTGAAGCACTTTAAGCCCTGGGGCTTTAGGGGTGGTTTTGAATTATACTCCTGTTGGTTTATTATTGCGACTACTGTCTTTACGTGTTTCAAGTTGAAGTATATTATATTATATTATATTTGAACTTTTTATGCTAAATTAAGATAATTGTTGATGTCGATTAATTTGGGGCACAAAGTGTTCATTGCAATAAGTAATTTGAATTAAATTGACGATATGGATATATTGATAAAGCAATTCGATAATATCGAACGATACGATAAAGGAATCGAAATAACGATGTTGATCTTGAAATTCTTCTTCCTGATTTCTACTATTTCGTTTTCTTTCAGCTCTTCGGTAGAAATGCCTGCAAGGAAAAGTAAATTCCCGTCGTGTTACAATAATATGTTTAACAGTTTTCACGTGCTCATTCAATTCAATCGTTCAATTAAAAAAATTGTAAAATGTTTGAATTCTTCTTACTTCCGCTTTGTTTTCCGCAAATTTTTTGGTAAGATCAAATAACAAAATTCGAGTTTAATTTTAGTTTCAGTCCGAAATATTGACCAAAAAATGAATTTAAATTGAATAGTGTTATTGGCAAAGACAAGGGTTATTCAAACTGGTAGCATTTCGCTGAGTGAGTAGGTACTTGCCACAGTTCACTTTGCAAACAAAGAAACAACGTATCCGTGAATTTGTAGGTGGTTCGCAAAACATTAAAATCTTGTCACTCAGTGGAAAATCATTGTGGCGTCGCCTACGTGCGCGCATCTTGAAAGTACTCGCCAGACGTAAATTTATATGCAAGTTTGTTGAAATGTGAAAGCGCTCGAGAATACACACGGACTCCATCTGCGTCTACAGCTCAACGATATATAGTGCGAGGCACAATTAAAGGGCAAAGCGGGGGAACAAGTTTACAAAACTCCGAATGTAAAGCACATACGTACATTGAAGTATTTCTAAAATGTGCTCAATGCATTGCACAGTTCCATGCATATCTGTATAACGCGTCATATATTTTTTCCATCATGGACCCGATACAGATAGAGCAAAATCGTTCACGACCACTTGCTTATTTTTATGACATATTGTTTATTGTTAAACTCATTTAAATGGCAGAGGTAATATTATTTATGGTAACATATCGTGACATTTTTATCATCGCCTCGTGCATCAGGCGCGCGCGCGCGCTACCTGATTTTCTATGACGTTATCGAATATTTTCGCGCGGTACAACACGCAAGCCCATCATGTAGCGCTGTGCTCACCTTGTGTCATTGTGCGATAGGAGCTTTTGAACCAGCAAAACACCAAACAAAATTCAATTAACGCGCCAATATAGGTAGGGTAGACTGGGTACGGTAGTACCAGGGGGGCGGTAGTACCAAAGCAAATATCTCGTGAATAGTTGAGCACAGCCCTATGCGTTCAAGGAGTGATAGTAGCCGCATACAAGTTGAAGTATGTAAGTTGTAAGTTGAGTCACACAAAGCCAGTTACACGCGTGTAGGACGTGTTTTTGATTTTTTGAGATCAAAAGTAAATATTTGATGATGAATTGTTTTTAGTTTTTAAATCTTGTCTTGCGTGTTATATTATTCATGTGTGTTTATTGAAAATAAATGGTTTTTGAAGAATAAAGGTATGTTAATCAAATTCTTGTATCTCTATTATTTTTTTTATTATTAAATATAATTTGGAAAATGTCCACATGGGGACGGTTGTACCAAATAATATGGGGACAGTTGTACCGGTATAAACGACCCCATGCCTTGTATTATTTTAAAGTAAAATTTCTTTTTCTTTCTAAACGTAAAACGTTTGCTTTATATTAGATGCCACGAGTACGTATTCACAAAACAGGAAAAGGCCAACATGATGATAGCGCTTATATCAATGCCTATGAGTGTATATTGAGTGTAAGAACTGGGCTCATGAGCAATGCACTGACGGAGAACCCAGCTACGTATGCAATAATTGTGATTCCAACTAATTTTATTGTTGCACACATAGCAGGACATTTAAGTATAATTTTAAAAGTGTTTTCTTTATTGTAATAAATACGTTTATTGTCATAAATAAGTTTTATTTCTGTATGGTACAATCGACCCCACCCCTGGTACAACCGTCCTGAGGTCTGAGGTCGGTTGTACCATTTCTCACCCACAACAAAATTTAGATTTATGAAGGTACTTGTAACCTTGAGGGATTAAAAATATGGGCAAAACGTAGCCAGATGATTAGGCATTAAACTATGACAAGTACCATTGGGCTAAGTAAAATCCTATTAAGCCTACAGGCAAAAATCTAAAAAATGGTACAACCGTACCCAGTCTACCCTAAACATGCTTTTTGCGACAGGGCCCTTGGTCCTTGAACTGTAATTCCCACTTTAATTACTCCGAGGAATTCAATTACAATTGATTATGGTTACACGAGGTGAGAAATGTTAATCGCGCATCATTTGAAAAACGGCTTTCTCCTCGAGGTGTACACGTATGTACTTTAATACTTCGTCGATTCATAAGTGTTTATTATTTTTAGCGCTCGCATGGGGTGAAGGGTTGCGATGGAGAGAGCAACGGCGTTAAACTTCCGCGCGGCGACACGGAACATAAATTACGGGAACAAGCGGATCCTCCGCGACACTTTTAATGCTTCGCGCCGTTGCTCTCGTTTTATTATGTTCGCAGTCCTTTTCGCTGTCCTGCCTCTGCCCCAGCCCAACGCCCCACACTAAAAGCATCGTTATCGATATTATTGTTTCATTATTGCCTTCGGTGTGTCACAGTGTGCTTACAGTAATCGCATAAAATACAAACGATTGTTAACTGTCACTACCACATTCGCGGTTGCATAAGTAGAGCTCCGAGAATAATTTAGCTCGGGACCTAGTTTTTCTGATTGCGTGCGGTGCACTAATTGATGCAGTGAAGACGTCGTGATGCAACAATGAATGGTGGAAGACATTTTTACTCGAATACACTGCACACACACACACACACTTTCCACCCCGTTTCGCAATTCGTGCGTCCTTTTCATGGCGCTGATTCTCATCTAACCGATTGCGCGCTGTGTGCACAACGTTATAAAATGGGTTTACACAATCGATTCGTTTGTTTACATGGATTCAGATTCGCTTTGAGAATGAAATACTGCGCGCTCTTATCAGTCGCGAGTGAAAAACGCCGAATCGAAGGCGGCAGAGCGAGTTGGCCAGAAGAGATTTTACGGATTGAGCTGGACTTGTTTGTCAAACATGTACTAAGATACCGGTGAAATTGACACAAAGCAAATTAAGAATTTTTTGCACTATGTGTATTTTATTTCGAAAATTTCATAAAATAATGTCAATTTGGAGATAAAAATATTTCTTGTTTTATTTTAATGAAACAAGAAGTGCAAGTACTGATTATAAGTTTTTTTTCTTTTTCTTTAGCTAATAACATCTCTGTAATAAATTTAATAAAAATGTGACTCATAAGGAAGATTAGCCTAGGATGAACCGTTTTGACGTTTTTTTTTTTCAATTTCATAATTTGCACTTCTTGATCTACGAGAATCTAGCTTTAGTATTTGCAACTCATTTTTATAAATTGTGAATACACGCAATCGATTCTCTCGATGCACGTTTGTCGTTTAATGTTGGAATTGAAATTGTAAATATTGAGGCGAGCTATATTCTACAATTGCTAGATGCCAGCCAAAAGCTTATGCAGTGTATTTTGTATGCGGAGAACAAGCAAGGTGTTAAAGTTAATTTTCCATTTTTCAAACGCTATTCAAAGCGTATTCCGAATGTCATGTAATTTCTTTATTCCTCGGGCGCTGACGTCTTATTTCTCCAGCGGCGCTGAAGCACGCCGCGCGGATGGATTCGACTTAACAATGTCTTATCTGCTTGGCAGGCGCGCGAGTCTCTTTCTACAAGCGTGCATAAAAATGCGTTTCTTTCGTTGGGCAGCGCGATGTGCTCGCACTCGCAATGTTTTATTCCTTTCCGCGATAAAATTTGCGTTTTTTTGAGTGACATGCGACGTGAGAGCGTTGATACTCGCACACAAACTCGGGGGGCAGCGGTACGAAGTGATGAGCGAATTTTGCAGATGAAATATTTATTTTAAATTGGATGCGAAATAATGTGCTACAACTATTACTCGCCGCATCAAAGTAGAAAGCATACGCGTTCACCGCGACGGCCGACAGGGCACAAAATACTCAAGAAATAAATTACGTAGCGAAATTTCGCAGTTACAAGCACAATATTTCTAGTTGAATGAGAAAAATTCAACGTTATAATTATGGCCACAATCGAAACACCGCCATTCCGGGCATTTGACACTTTAATTGCAAAGTGAAAGCTTTCTTTGAAGCGAATCAGTGAGAGGGTGACGAAATTGGCGAATATTTATGTACATATATGCAAAATGATCATTTTTGCATCTTATATGCCCGTGCGGAAAACGAGTATTTATCGCCATTAGATTGTAGCCATCGATTTGATGACGCCGCGCTTAATGCGATATCTTCATGCGGAAATTGGATATAGTTTAAGCGAATCACCGCCTATTTCAGGCGGCGCACCTAATTCGCAATGACACTTGGACGCGCATATGGAAGACACATCTTGCGAAATCCAATAATGTTGACGTTATGTCGGGCATGAAGTGCACGGGTCCAAGTGGCGCTGGTAGATCAAAGGCGCTGCATGTACTGCTCTTTCAGTGGACATTCTACACATCCTGACTTTGCCTCCCTTTGTGCCCGAAATGCATAAAGGCAGAGAGCAGCGTACCATGCGCGTCTATTGTTGATGCATACGAAAAATGCCAGATACATCATTGTGTGTGTGTGATATGAGGATTGTTTATCAGTCAGCTGGAAAACTGACTTCTTTTTCGCACAGTTAGAAAAAGTGAAAACTTTGTTTTGAAGTGTAAGTGTAAACTGATTTGGGTGTGTCGCGCAAAAATTTGATATTTGAGAAAGAATGTTGGCGGACCTTGATTGTGACGACTTGTAGTTCTTGACCATGCGTTCGAAGTGTATCGCCTTGTGTTTATAGTGTTAATAAAGTTAAGAGACAAACAAATTATTAATAATATATCATTCTACAAGAGCATTTTTTATATTTTTACACTTTTTAAGTCGTATTCATTGTCAAATCATTGAAATAATTACATTTATTTGATTGTAAATTTTATCAATGTGTAATTACACTCAAAAATGTAATTAATCAATGAAAATTGTCACTCGAAAGCATAAAACTTTCATTGTGTGCATAACAGATACAATTTAATACAATCTTACATCTAATATGAATATTGTGTCACATTTGTCACGCTATAACACACTGCTTCAGTTTCAGGCCACGACGCCCTTTCGATAATGCGGTCTCTGGAGATGACGTCGTGGCGCGAGGAGGAGGAAGAGGAGGAGGACGTGGAAGTGGAGGATATGGAGATGAAGCATGACGGAGACATGTCCGAGTCGAGTAGCGACGAGGCAACAAGCCGTAAGCGACGAAAGCACGGCGGCAGCGCTAGCAGCGGCGGCGGCTCGTCGGGCGGTGGGTCAGCCACGCGTCGCAGGAAGACATGCATTAGCGCACGCGAACGGAATCTGCGACGGCTGGAGAGCAATGAGCGCGAGCGCATGCGAATGCATTCCTTGAACGACGCGTTTGAAGTATGTCCATCTTGTCCATTTTTCATTTTCTGAGAAAAATAAAACTTATCTTTTCGTATTTTCCAGCAATTGCGTGAAGTGATACCACACATCAAGATGGAGCGAAAACTGTCCAAAATAGAAACGCTTACCCTTGCAAAAAACTATATAATGGCGTTGACCAACGTCATATGTGAGATGCGTGGGGCCGAGAAGCACTACACGTAAGCATTGAATATTAGTCCTTAAGACATTTAATATAAGAGTATATAATATAAGGGTAAATAACATGGTAATCAGTTCAGGCCATCAAACTTTGCTTACGCACGCAGTTCGTTTCATTTAACGCTGCATTATTCAGGAACTTTTAAACTAAATTTAAAAAAGTTTTATGTAAGCATTACGTATGACGGTCCTTTAGCTACTAGCCTTTATACTTGCACAAATTAACGACTTATAGTATGGATTGAAATTGATGGAATCCTTTTGGAAGTCAGCTACTTGGTTAGAGTTAGGTTGATTTGGCGTTTTTTTGTTCCGATTTTGCGTGTTTTTGCGAATTTTTTCGATTTTTACATCTTCAGCAGTTATTGGTACACAACCATTATTAATCAGAGTATAGAAAACATTCAGTTTCAGACCAAATTGGCAATTTTGAATTATTAGCTACATAACTATGTATCTCAACAAGGACTACAGCGAAAATACATAGTTGCTGGTACTTGAGAAGGATTGCAAGCATGATTTATTTATGTTCGAAACTAAATAATGATTTAGCATTATAATGATATATTTAAATGATATCATTATAATATGTTGCGATACTTGCATAGTTTCAACTGTAAATGCATAAGATGCGTAACGTGGCACAACATGTTGTGATAAAACACGTTATTATTGAATCATTTGAATGCTAAAATCAAAAACTCAAGATTTGTTATAGGTATATTGGAATATCTAGTTAGAAACAAGTTTAGAAACAAACTTGAACTTATCGCAAACATTGCATGCATGTTTTAATAACAACAGACAACAATCGTCTTTAATTACTGGTGTTTCAAGCAGTAGTGTATTGATTAAGAGGGAGTGTAGCGAGAGTTTAATCAATCGACGGTTTCACATAATTTTTCTACTTTCACCCTTAAAGAGCCGGTTTTTCCACTGTTTTGTGACATAAAAAGTAGTGTTTTAAAGACTTTAAAGCTGTGACTAAAGTACTTTAGCCACAGGTTTTAGTCACGGGGTAGAGCTTGCGTCTGCGCATTTGCCTACGTTGCACCGTAAGACTATATGAAATGTCATGCGCCGTCAGTCAAGCATTTCCCAGTAGTGTGCGAGCGATTTTCGAAGATTTAAAGTACAAAACTTCAAATACCAAAACCTAAACGTGGGAATTGAGTGGAAGTAGAAAAAGTAGGTACCGTAAGCGTCACGTGGCTAAACTTTGTTAAACACTCGATTAATTAAACGCTTGCTACACTCACTCTCAATCAATCTCGTGATAAAAACTTCGGTTTAGCCACTTGATATTTATTATACTTTAGTCACGGTCTTGGCCCTCCGTGTTTTAATTGCCCCTTTTTGTATCTCAAAACCGTAAGAAAAGGAAATAAACCTTTAATGAATAAACGATTTTAAACGTTTATAAGATACTAACTCTCATTATTTGCAGATTTCAAGATGCCGAGGGTGAAAGCACCGTAGATCTACCCGATGGCCAAACGGAGCGAGCGCCGACCATCGGGCCGGGCGTCCTGCGCGAGCCCAACAACAACTCGATGTTCCAGCAGAATCTAGAGCTGCAGGTTGTGGACGCAACGCTGATGGCCACCCGCTGAACACCTCTGAACTCACACACTCTTTAGTTTCGTTCCAAACATGACTTATATTAAGTTGTCTCCGACTGAGTGCGGAGTCTTCGGCCTGTTCTGTGCAACAAACACACACATCACCTGACAACTGGCAACGTTTCATTACTCTCGTATCTACGATCATTTGTCTTGATGGCCATGGCACTAGTTGAATTACCTTAATGACGAGGCTTAGATTAATTTGTTTTTGTTATATAAATCTATATGTATACATTGCGTTCGGCGACGGGCGCGCTTGCAGGACACGGACCTCAGCTCAAACCAACTCGCGCACGGATGATGGTGCTTCCCGAGAACGAGAACGGCGACCATGCACAAACATGAATATGTACATATTATATCAAATTGTAATGGTGTCCCTTCAATTACTTAATGTTAAACCTAGCCTAGCGCCGCGCTGCGGATTATTATACTTAATTAATCAGTGTGCTGGAAGTTACCTGACGAAGAAGGCGAGATGCGCGCGTTCTGCTGACTAACGGGTACTTGTTGATCTACTCATCCAAGCGTCGACTGCGTTTACCGTTATTATGTTATGATGTTATTATTGTTCTTTTCTCCATTCGTGGGCTGATTACTCGGCGTGCTCAAGAAGCCATCCATTTCCATCGACTGTCGATCGGTAGCCGTAGAAATCACTTTCTGTTTCGTATCTTATTTATTGATGAACGCCAAGCGACGCACCGCTATGATGACCTGTTATAGTAATTTTAGTATTTTGTATAGAATATAGTTTAGCTTATGTTATGTTCAAAACATAGTTTATGTATTAAGTCAAGTTCCAAATGCATAATGTGATATCCTCAATATGTAATTCGCTTCTAAAATCTGCGCGCTCATGACTAAAACCTGCGATACCGCGCGAAAGGAAACCAAGCTGAATTATATACTAAAAGATTAGGTCAATTTTTTTATTTTAAATCGATGACCGAAATATAAATATAGCATATTCATATATATATATATATATACTTCAAATAATTAAATATCTGTAAAATAAGAGAAGATAATATATTTTATGATGGATGGATTTTATGATTAAATGTATTTTCGTGTAATTATACAATGAAAGGCAAGTTGTGAATTGAATATTTAAGGGAGAAAATTAAATAAATTGGTTGCAACCGATGTGTTACCTTCGTTTTCTTGCACTTCCTCTACTACCACGCCGAAAGCCGAAAGGAAAGTTGGTAGTTTTATGAAAATGACGCCGTTTCCACTTCACGCGTCTGCAATTTTTATGTTTCTATGGAAAGTTATGACCTAGAAAGCCGCATTCGTCCGTAGATTCTCTTTCGATTCGAGCAGTGCAGTTCTCCACCGAGCTGATTCGATTCGATCCGCGCACAGCAACCTATTCTGTACGTGGCGCAAGTAAGTAGTTTAATCAGTTATTACTGGTTATTACGACAGTAACCTTCTTATTAGAGCGATGATTAGCGCGCATGCGCGCCGCGCATTTGCTCGCAGCCACTCGAAAAAATCATGCCCATGCTGATTTTGCTCATGAAAACATTTCGTGCTCGCCGTACGTGTGGTGCTGATGTGGTGTGTTGCGCATCGTGCTCACTGCGCTCACCTGTATTACACTAGGTCGTTTTGGTAAACACTTATACCGAGTGCATTTTCTGCGTAGGTATTCAAAACTTAAAAAGGCGACTGGGAACATTTTGAAAACATGTGGTTTTTTAATCAAGTACCAAATCATTTTCCGAAAGGAACAGGTAATGTATGCATATTAATATGTTGTATTTCTCATATTTGTTATTGCAATCATGTTGATTCATGTTGAATTTTACTTGCAGGAAAATTTATTCCTGGGGTCACCGATGTCATGCTTGATTACGAGCGGAGTGGTATATTCATGCGTTTCTACTATCCGAGCAATGCAAAAATTCGAATTCAGGTAATTAACAACGCGTGTAAATATGAACTTGAGCGTAATCGTTTGCTCTGCAGTCCGATTATTCGAATTGGATACCCGCAATGCCCGACTACGACTACATCGTCGGTTTGTCCAATGTGGCGATGATGCCGCCTTTTTTAATCAATTTAGCATGGCTTCGCTCAGGTGCTTTTACATGTACTATTCTGTATGGGTTTGGTGCTCACTGTGGTATTATAATTCCAGGAAAAATCAAAATTCCCGCAGAGTATGGTGCAAAGCTGCTGGAAGGCGATGAGCTGATCAAAGTGATTGTGTTTTCACATGGACTGGGCGCATTGCGCTCCTTTTACTCTTCGATTGCAGCCGAACTAGCGTCTCGCGGCTACTTGGTTGCTGTGGTGGAGCATCGAGATGAATCCGCTTGCCACACGTATTACTATGAGTCTACTGCAGCGGCCGCTGCCAAGAAGAAAACCAGCATTCCTTTCAAGAAAGTGTCGTTGGGTCCCGGTCATTTAGAAGCGCGCAAAAAGCAGGTAATATATCGTAAGGATGAGATACTACAGACCGTGGACTTTTTTGTACGCTTGAACGCCGGTACTGTACCGCATAATGTCATGGATGACGTACCCAACGCGCAACGCTCGGAGTTTTCACTGGAGGATCTCGTTGGTAGGATTGATGTGAAAAATATTTCGCTGGCTGGTCACTCGTTCGGTGCCGCAACAGCGCTGCTAGCCCTATCGGAACGTCCAGAACTTAAGTATGCTAAATTTAATCAATTCGGTATATCAGTAATTAAAATTTGTTTCTTGTTTATTACTTAGATGTGGCATCTTATTAGATCCATGGATGTTTCCCATAAAAGGCTTGCGATTGGATAAAAAAGTAAACCAGCCGCTGCTCTTTATCAACACGGAGACGTTCCACATCGACTCGAACGTTCGGGCTATGAGTCAGTTCTGGCGTGAAGATGATTCCAATCGCCAAATGTTTACTATTAAGTATATAGTTGAAGTGGTAGGTTGAATATAATTAATAAATAATTAATGAATGATTTTAGCAAATCCACACACGAGAATCAAACCGACTCGGTTCTCATTGCTGGTTACTGGCTGAATTGGTTCATGAAGAAAATTGATCCCAAGCTAGCTCTAAAAATAAATAACGCATTGATGTTGAAGCATTTGAATTTATACACGGGTGGAGAAGAAGCAACAACTGACATTGAAAAATTCCTCAGCGAAAATGAACAGCACTTTACGGCTGGATTGACTTTGCCGTGGGCGTAGTCGCCCATGCGACAGTTTGACAATGTTTATACAATCATGTATGGTATTAAGGCGCAACTTTTTTTTACGATTGAGGGTGATATGGCAAATAGGATATTTTTCTATAAACGTTTTCTACATTTAAACTGGCTTCGTTTTAGTATGCAACAAACTTGTTACTATCCTTCTATAATATTTACTTTTACGGTAATAATCCTTAGAAATCTTGCAAATATAAAAAGCAAACATAACTAAGCGGACGATACATGGGATAATCCAATAAACATACAATAACGCATTGTTAACGGTTTTGAGTCACAAAAAGTGCTACTTTAAATACGGACGGCTAAAGCCGTGAGTAAAGTACTTTATTCATGGGCATTATCTACGGGGCGGAGTATACGAAATGCCATGCGCCGTCATGCTCACGACATTCATAACCTTACATTTCCCTGTTGTGTGCAAGCAAATTTCGAAGATTTAAAATACAAAAATCTAAACATGGATATAGAGTGGAAGTAGAAAAAATAGCGTAAGTATCACGTGGCTATACGTTGAGTAAAGCCCTCGTTTAGCCACTTGATACTTAAGATACTCATACAACATAAAAATTAACATGGCGACAATACAACAATAGCAAAATTTATAAACACACGTGTAATGCAACTCAATATGCATAGAAAAAACTAACAGAAACATGCAAACACAATCCAAAAAACACACAAACGCGCTACAAAAACCAGCTTTTAACACACAGCCACCAACACAATGCAGGAGAAAAATACATTACGAATTCAAAAGGCCTCAATTGACAAATATTTAAACATTAAAGAAAACATACAAACTTATAAACACAAAATAACATTCAAATATTTCAATGAACAAACACACACAAGATACGACACAATATTTATAACCCTCCTTTCTATCTCTTTAAGTTTGCGGAGATAATCGCAATTGGAAAATAGGATAATAGGATAATTTAGGGGTTACAATTGCAATTTTTCATTATGAATTATTGTTTTTATCTCTTTTTAAAATCCATTCACTTAAGAAATTAAATAATAACAATAATTTAATTACATTAACAATAGTTGAATATTAGTGCAAAGAAATCAAGAGAAACGCTTTATTTTGCGCGTTGGTGAATTGATGAGATCCCTAAGGGTCGAAATAGCAATGCACATCATGTTTGACAAATACTTGCATTGATTTTCAATGATTTTGTTAATATATAATCATTTAACGACGATAACTTGTGAGGATTAAAGCGTTTCCTTTGATTCTAATAAGAATTTAAATATTTCCCGCGCGATTTTTTTCAAAAATAGCGCCTCCTGGAGTGTGCGAGTTCGCCGCCAGTCACTTTGCCGATCTATAGAATAAGCAATCTGTGAATTGCATCCAGTTCGTTGTCATAGCTTCCTAGACGCACGACACATCATGTCAACGACCTTGGTGAATAAATTGCAGCTGGGCCCCCAGGACTCAGTCTGCTACCCATTGCATGTCGTCTATTGCGGCAATTGCAGCATGCCCATTGAGGTTAGTACATAGTGCATAAGACTATACATCTGGAAATTACATCTCTTACCGCTTTAGTATTGCGAATACTATCCAGAGTACGACAAATGCAAAGTATGGCTGGAGAAAAATCTGCCATCGGAGTTTGCCAACTTAAAAGTGGGCGGTGAAGATTCAGGCGAAGGCAGTAATGAAGAAGAGAAAAAGCGGCAGAAACGTGGCGGTAAAGGAATGATAAAAGCCAAAAAGAAGGAAGATTTACCGAAACAAGTGTGTCTTTCAAGAGCACCCAGAGGGAAGAAGAAGAGTGTCACAGTAGTCACTGGCTTACACACATTTGGTATAAATAAAATCAGCTGTATTAACAACAAGAATATTAATTTATTCGTTTTGTTTAAGATATTGACCTGAAAGTGGCAGCGAAATATTTCGGGCAGAAATTTGCGTGTGGGTCATCAGTAACGGGCGAAAACGAAATTGTAATACAAGGCGACGTTAAGGACGACCTCTTCGATTTAATACCGGAAAAGTGGCCGGAGATCGACGAGGATTTCATTGAAGACTTAGGCGATCAGAAACGATAGAGTCAAGAGTAAGTTTTTACAATAGGCAAGCATAAGATGCGTTTTCAACAACAACAACACCAACACCGATTATTTTACGAACTTTTCTCTCAAAGCCGTGACCGGCTTTAATATTCTGTTTACATTTAAATTATGTTTTTAAATAATTGGCATTAAATAATGTCAATTCGGTGGAAAGTGTATTCACTTTTTATGCGAATATGTTATTTATACAGTTAAATTATGGTTAATAATGAAAATATGTTAATAGTGGGGTTGATTTGTCGATAACACCATTGCTGCACACTATAAAACAGACAAATACTTCAAAAAATGTATTTTTTATAGATAGGCGCATTTTATAACTTGATTGGCCTATAACTTATTGTGTAAACCTAATGAAAACCTCATATCTACACACTTGTGTTGCGATTTTAAGAATTAATAAACGTGTAACATAATGATTGATAAATTGCTAACTGTTATTGAGTCAATCATTGAAAACCCTTTCAAGACCATGGCCAAAGATGATACCATATTTTCCAGACATTTAATAAGTCATTATTAACATATTCATTCAAAAATATTTATAATTTTTGCTCCAAATAACAATTGAGATCATTTTTCTTTAGGAATGCCTAAATGGACATTAATAATGTTAAGAATTTCATTAACATGCGCGTCTGTAAGTCGCTCCTCACTGTTCTCCACAATCAATTGAATCTCTAATTCAGTTGTGGGTGGAGTATTGATAATCATCAGTTTTTCGGTTTTCTTGAGATTGTATGGTGCTAATGCTGACAGACATTTCCTGATTTTCTCTGGAATCTGTGTTTGACAGCCAGATGACTCCAGATATTTAAGTGCCTGTTAATAGTGCATATAATTTTAAATAATATACTAACTGAATTAATAGATTTATACTATTACTTCATATGTGATTGTTGCTAATTGTCCTTTTCCTGAAGTTCTTTGTTCTTTTATTTGTTGCAGATGTACCATGACTTCGTAGTTGGAGAGATTAGTGATTTCGTATTGCTTGCTGTAACATAGCAGGGCACATTGACAGGTAAAAAAATTTAATTCATAAATTTTAAGTTGCTTACACATCCATTTTAAATTTTGCGTAAATTTCGACAATGTTTTCGGAAGATAAAATTCATTGAGGTTAATTTTGAGAATGTGAACAAGTGGCGCACTCTCAGATGGCTGAATATGTTTAAATCTTTAATTTAAATGATAAAATAGATTAGAATTATTAAACTACATTAGAAAAATTTGAAAGAACAAAGCCTTTCATGTTATAATCTTCAAAGTTTTACTTATTTTGTCATATTTCATCATTTTTCAGTATTACACGTCAGTCTGTCAAAGGCGACTATAATGTTTGTGTCGACTTGCGGCATCAGCTGAGTCAACCAAATTCAATTTCTCGTGGCTAATGTTGATAACAAGCATCCATCTGTTCAATTACAATTAGTCAGTGTATTAGATTCAAAATTCCAGTGCAAGCACCACAATGGTGCGTGATTTTTTCGTCTTCGTGTAAGTTTTTCAAGTTCTAACCTCTATTCACTTAAAAATTAATTAAAGTTTAAATAATGGGAATGTTATTCAAATAATTCCATTCACCACATTATATTATACTTGATTAATTCATGTTCTTTGGATTTCTTAGCCTGGACACGCTCCTAACAATCAAAATGCTTTTCATGCTGGTGATCTTTGCCACAACTGTAACATTTCTCATCATCCCAGTGATTCTCCTCTTTATGAAGTGGCGTTTTTCTTACCGGCGCAAGAAAGATCTAGCGACACGCACAACAACACGCGTTGGACTCTTCCATCCGTACTGTAACGCCGGCGGAGGCGGCGAGAAAGTGCTTTGGGTTGCACTGCAAAGCATGAAAGAGAAGTATCCAGATGCAGAGTACTACATCTACACTGGTGATGCTGAAGCCACACCAACAGAGATCATTGACAAAGTCAACAAGAACTTGAATGTGAAGCTGGATATGAAAAACATCCACTTTGTATATTTAACAAGAAGAGTGTGGATTGAAGCTCAGATGTATCCCTACTTCACATTACTTGGGCAAAGCCTAGGCTCAATTTACTTGGGATATGAGGCGCTTTGTCAACTACATCCTGATATTTTCATTGACACCACTGGTTTTGCGTTCACGCTGCCGTTATTTAAATATTTAGGCGAGTGTCGCACTGGTTGCTACGTGCACTACCCGACTATTACCACGGACATGTTGAAACGCGTCGCGAATCGACGCGCAATGTACAACAACCGGAATATTATTGCGCGGAGTCCATTTTTGACAACTGGAAAACTGTTTTACTATCGTATTTTTGCATGGGTAGGTTTTCAACAAAAGAAAAAATAATTTTTATGTGATTTATAATATTTTGTTTAATTTTATTTCTAGTTGTACTCATTTGCTGGTCAGTGCTCAGATATCAGCACAGTGAACTCAACATTCACAATGGAACACCTCACGGATCTCTGGAACCGGCCCTTGCACTTAGTCTACCCACCATGCGACGTCGACCATCTTGTTTTAATGACGCGCGACAATCCCCGACCGAAAACCATCAAAATCCTATCACTTTCACAATTCCGCCCGGAAAAAGACCACGCAATGCAATTGCAAGCTCTCTACGAGCTGCGTGAAATCATCCCCGATGATCTTTTCGAACACATCACGCTTGTACTCGCAGGAAGCTGCCGTAACGATGACGACAGTAATCGTGTGCGCGACCTACGTGACCTTTCCAAACACTTGAGTCTCGAGAATAATGTCGAGTTCAAAATCAATATTCCCTATGATCAACTACTGGAAGAACTGCGCACGGCACACATTGGTATCCACACCATGGTGGACGAACATTTTGGCATCGGTGTGGTGGAATTAATGGCGGCCGGGTTAATCACAGTCGCGAATCGTTCCGGTGGGCCGTTATTAGACATCATCGAAACTTCCGAAGCATCACGACTCGGTTTTCTCGCGACGACAGCCGAGGAATACGCGCACACGCTGAAATTTATACTTTATTTGTCCGAGGAGGAGTTGGATGAGATCCGGACGAGAGCCAAAGCGTCCGTGGATCGCTTCTCAACGCGAAAATTCAAGGAAGACTTCCTGCGCGCAGTCGAACCCCTTTTTAAATCCGAGTATTGACAAATACGCTGTTCTCCTAGTCATAATTCGCATTTTTTTACTTGGGTACATAGCATAGGTATAAAAATCAAGTTATATACGAGTCTTGTTAATATTAATTTAATTTTGAATCATGACTTTAACTAAACCTGATGAAATTTTTGTAGTAATTGTCTAACTCCATCTGTAATGCGCATACGCGCGATTTGCTTCGCATTGTTTATGCAAGTCCTGCTTTTTCTTGATGACTTTCCCCGTGTTGTTGGACGCATCGATGAGTTCGATTGCCAAACGATCCCAGAACGACATCGGTGCTTCCTTGTCGCAGCCGGCATCAATCAACCAATTCATAGATAAAAATTGCGCTCGTCGGTCGGAGATCGGAACTGGTACCTGATACCGCACGCCACCGCGTTTTATCGGAGTAAGATGCATGATTGGTTTGCAGTTTTCCACCGCCACGTGGAAGATTTTCTTCGCATCTAGCAGGATCTTCTCTTTGTCCGCGTCGTCGGCTTTGTGGTAACGCGCGATTTGCGAGCGTTTGATTTTTTCGAATGTTTTTTCAACGAGTTTACGTGCGAGTTGTTTGTCGCCGTTGCGCATTAGATAGTTGGTGAAGAGGGCTACTTTATCGTCGTAGAACGGCGAGGAGGTTTGGTCTATGAGGGCGGCTCGCGTTGGAACGTGAGCGATTTTGCTAGCCTCTCCAGATTTGTATAGTGCTTCCTGTTCGGCTTTGTTGAAGACTGGTTTGATGTAATAAGGCGGGTATTGGGACATGCCATTTTGTTGTGTCACTAAACTAATGAGATATATAGATTAGTAATTTATGTTTGGGTGTTTTTCGAAGGGTTTTACCATGTTGTTGCTTGAAAAATTCGAGTTCTATGCAGAATTCGATGCAGGCAAGACATTTTTAAGGTTACCACTGTGATTTACACACTGATGTAACCTGGGTTGCCTATGCGCGTAAATTAAAACAATTTATTTATTATTAGACGTCTAAAAACACTCCGAAACAAATTTTTAACCAAAGAAATCAACAAAATATTTACTGATAAACTTGTTTAGTGCGATTATTTATTATATTGCAATGCAACAAAGTTATTTAAATTGTTTTTGAATTTCCGTACGATGCAATAAATGAAAGTCAAAAACATTGACTTTAACATTGTTATTTCTGTACTGATTGTTAAATTAGTAATAAGTAAATGATTTAAACACAAAAATATGTTTTAAAATTGTTTCCGCTGCCGTGAGTGAATCATGCCATTCATGCCACGAAGAATCGCGAAGCGACCGGCAGTCACGCCCACCGGCCGACCGGACCAGACGTAATGTCAGACGAAGTCCTGTAGGCAGTGTTGTGTCCCGGCTTCCTCGCGCAGCAGGATAATTCGTCGCAGCCGCTAACAATACACACGCCGGAAGCGTTCGGACAGGCGAGCCGGTGAGTGATAATCAGCTCCAGCATTCGGAAGCTGCGAATCGCAGCGTATTCCTCCCGCCACGATCGCAGTCGGCGCCGATTACCATATTCGGCAATAAGATATGGCCGACGAGCGCTGCCGCCTGACTAACCAGTGATAACATGCGTTTCAGGTGATAACGGTACTCCCGCTTTTATATAACGCTGAGCCGCCGCCCGCCGCGACGAGATCCACACTTGCCAAAGTTTTCTGTGATCTACTATTCATCTAAAATGAGTTACAATTGCAGTAAGTTGACTCAACTCTCATCTCCAAAGTGATTTTAATTTGCAAATATTTGGTGTGTTACAGAGTCAATTTACGCCACTTTGCCGCGAACGCAAAGAGGCCAACCCATCGTCCTCGGTGGTGATCCAAAGGGCAAGAATTTCCTCTACACCAATGGAAATTCCGTCATTATTCGTAACATTGAAGTAAGTGCAAAAGAAATGTACTGCATAGAAAAAGCATTACTCATTACTCATATGTTTGATTCGTTTTTGTTTGTTTATCACCTAGAATCCAGCAATCTCAGATGTGTACACTGAGCATTCATGCGCAGTCAACGTTGCGAAATATTCGCCGAGCGGTTTCTACATCGCGTCCGGCGATCAGAGCGGAAAAGTCCGCATCTGGGACACCGTCAACAAGGAGCACATTCTCAAGAATGAATTTCATCCAATTGGTGGACCGATCAAGGACATCGCATGGTCGCCTGACAATCAACGTATGGTCGTCGTCGGCGAAGGACGCGAACGTTTCGGGCATGTTTTCATGTCCGAGACGGGCACTTCGGTTGGTGAGATCTCCGGACAATCCAAACCGATCAACTCCTGCGATTTCAAACCAAGTCGGCCATTCCGCATCATCACCGGCTCGGAGGACAACACCATTGCCGTTTTCGAAGGTCCACCGTTCAAGTTCAAGATGACCAAACAGGAACACACCCGGTTCGTGCAGGCGGTGAAGTATTCGCCCAGCGGGAGTCATTTTGCGTCCGCCGGGTTCGACGGACATGTCTATCTCTACGACGGCAACACTTCTGATCTTATCGGGGAGATCGGATCACCCGCACATGCCGGAGGAGTTTACGGTGTTGCTTGGTCACCAGACGGCAAGCAGTTATTAACCTCCAGCGGTGATAAAACCGCTAAACTCTGGGACGTCGAAACACGCCAGGTTGTCTCCGAATTCAAAATGGGCGACACCGTTGACGATCAGCAAATCTCCTGCCTCTGGCAAGACAAATACCTGCTTAGCGTCTCCCTCAGCGGGCACATTAACTACCTTGATGTAAACAATCCGACCACTCCATTGCGCGTTATCAAAGGCCACAACAAGCCGATTACAGCGCTGACTTTATCTCAGGATCGCGCGTCTATCTTCACCGCGTCTCACGACGGTGTTGTGACTACATGGAACGCAGGATCAGGTGAGAATGATCGTATTAAAGGCACCGGACACGGTAATCAGGTGCAGGGCATGAAAGCCGACAATGAGACACTTTACACCTGCGGTATTGATGATTCACTGAAGCAGATCATCCTCGACGGCATCACTTACATCCCGGAAGATTTGAAATTGGGTGCACAGCCGAGGGGTATGGATATAATGCGTAAGAGTGGTACGAATATCACTGCCACCGTCAAGGAGGTGCATGTTATTCAAAGCAACAGAAAGGTGTCGTCCGTCCAGGCGAACTACGAGCCGTCGGCTGTTTCCGTCGCGGAAGGCATCTCGCACGTCGCTGTCGGCGGCAATGCCGATAATAAAGTGCACATTTATCAGCTGTCCAATGGGCAGTTGAGCGAGTTGAAGAGTTTGGAGCAGCTCGGACCCATCACGGATCTTGCATACTCACCGGATGAGAAATATCTGGTTGCGTGTGACGCGCATAGAAAGGTGGTGCTCTACGCTGTGCCAGAGTATGAACTTGCGAATAAACACGAATGGGGCTTCCATAACGCCAAGGTTAACTGCGTGGCGTGGTCACCGGACTCGACGCTGGTCGCCAGTGGAAGTTTGGACACCAGTATTATTATCTGGAGCGTGGAGAAACCTGCCAAGCATATTATCATCAAAAGTGAGTAGATTTGTTTCGGTATTCAGCAGGAAATGTTGAAATGGTTGATGCGCGGCGCGGTTTTCGGCTGTTACGCCTCCGCATGCGTTATTTTTGGCTCGTTTTATTGACCAGCTTTCCAGATATTTATTCAAGCTGATTGCCACGGTTTTATTTATATATATTTATAGATGATTTGTGCTTTTTGGGCGCACGCGGAAAAGATTCCAACTAAAAATAATCAAAGTGTAAAGCGTATTTTGTAATAGTTGTAATATGTTTGGTTGTTGCAGATGCGCATGCTCAAAGTCAAGTAACCCGCCTGGCATGGTTGGACAACAGCACATTGGTGTCCGTCGGGCAGGACTGCAACACCAAGCTGTGGACGGTTACACCGCCAGCCTAATTTCGATGTCAACGCAATCACCACGGCCGAAATATACACACCTACTACACACACACACGAACCCAATGTCTACGAAATATTTTACGAAACTTTATGGAACTGTTTTTGCGATGAACGTGAGTCCCGAATGTAGCGGCGGCGAGGGACGTTTTGCTACGCGCCACTCTATTTACATTTTCCTACCCGCTAGCGAATGCATTATTTTTGGTAACATGTTTCTTACTTCTTCCCATGGTGCGCCTAACACGATATGGCTTTAACAGACTCGTGTCAATTTCCCGTCATCTAACTATTTATCAATCATTGATAGCAATTATAATTTATACATAAGCATTTATTTTATCACCACTAATCGATTTATTTATGAATTCTACGAATGTGTATTGATATATATTGATGAATCATTTTTGGAGTGTTTATACAGATCAAAAAATAAATTAAAATCAATTTAATGCGTTGTTCAGGCGTTCGACCATTGAAACAAACGGGAAATTTCGTGATATCGAGCGCGTTTTTAAACATGGCGTCGCCAACGGTGGAAAACTGAACTAAGATTTTTAAGTACATCGTAAAAGTTGCGTAAAGCGCGAATAACTCAGGCAGTAAGACTCATTTGATAGATTTATACGCGTAAATCTATTTAAATGTTCTTAATTTAATTAATTATCATCTGAAACGCAGATGAATGTGTCTAGAAACGTAGTTTCCTGAACAAACATGAACAAATCTCATGTTTTTTCTAATTTTCACGATCACAGCGCCCTCTGCGTATTAATACGTCATTTCGTAACGTGATAAGACGGAACTAGCGATGACGTTTGTCGGTGTGCGCGTGCGTGTTGTTTGGCGCAGCGTACAACCGCTGTTATCGGCCGTGCGCGTATGCGAAGTGCGTCGACCGACCGTGCGGTGTTGGACAGTGTGAAAAAAAGGAGAGCGTGTGTTTTCGCCCAGCAGGTCCGCAGATCCGCACTCGTCGCCGCGCGGCTCGGCTAGCATCCACTCAGCAACGCTACGCTAGCAACCGCTGCCGCCGCCGCCGCCTCAGCCATGCACCGTCCATCGTAAACCCATGATAAACACAATGGTCGCCGCATCCGTCGCAACTGACGCGTGAACGAACGTCCCCGCCGCAACTACACACGGCACACGCGCCACCGCCGCCGAAGAAGTAAGTCTACAGACACTACACTTGCTCTGCTCCCGAAAATGCCTCCCCTTTTATACCCGCCCCCACTTGATTACATTCGATCTGGTATTTATTTGCGTTGATTTTTGATTTTTTTCACTTTTATTTGATTTTGATTTGATTGTGTTTTGTTGTCGTTAGGCGTTCGGTTTTGTTAGATTTGAGGTAGACCATAAGTTTTGTGGACTAGTCTGAAGCATGTCTGACCAGCAGCAAGGTATGTCTGATTTGGTTTTTGTTTTACTTGCAAATTTTATCTCCATATCTATCAAACTTGTTAGCCTTAATTGAATCTAATCTAATTTGAATCTTCTAGGTCCAAGGAGACCCGGCCTGAAGATGGACTTCCAGGCGCAAAACATTGAAGTCAAAAGACAAATGTTCCTGCCCAAGGTGAAGAAACCCATTGTGGATACCCTCCAGAATGAAATTCCAGTGTAAGTGGTGCGCTTTTATTTCTGTCGGCGTCAATTCGCTGCCGGGTTGTAATCACGCGCGAATAGTAAATATTTAGATAGTGTAATGCATGCAATGTTCACTTGCATTCATTTGTGATAACATTATTTGCCCATGAGGCTCATAGCTTGCATACTCATGCTTGAATTTAACGCGTTCGGTTGAAAACCCGACGGTGATTTTCATTTGACTATTTGGTAATTGTGCACTGTGTAAATTGTTGCGGAGTTATAGCATGTTACGATTTGTACAGTCAGTGGAATGTATGTATACTCGCGCAGCGTATCTATTGATTTGTTTTATCGTCGATTTTTCACTTGTTATCAACAATGGATGATTTATGGCTAATTTGAGAACTGTTTTCCGACGATATTCATGCATGTGTGCAGTCAGTAAATGTTTATGTTGAAGTTAATTGAATGTTCAGTGCATTTCCTGCAAATATTTAACTTTTAACACATGCTTTAAGCAATTGCAGCTAAATTGTGCTTTTCATCTTCTACGAATGTTTTTCTGTATATAGGGAAACGAAATTCACGATCGGTTCCTCGATGCAGGCGACCGGCAAGTTGAAATTCGCCTCGGCCGAGTACGAATTCTGCTCGGAGGACTTGCAGGACATCGGCGAGATCGGCCGAGGCGGCTTTGGCACCGTCAACAAGATGATCCACCGCAAGTCCGGTAATGTATTAGCCGTGAAACGCATTCGCTCGGCGGTGGACGAAGAGGAGCAGAAGTTGTTGCTGATGGATCTGGAGGTGGTGATGAAAAGCAATGCGTGTCCGTTCATCGTGCAGTTCTACGGCGCATTGTTCAAAGAGGGCGATTGTTGGATTTGCATGGAGCTGATGGACACCTCACTCGATAAATTCTACAAGTTTATCGACGAAAAACTCCAGAAGCATATTCCCGAGCCGGTGCTCGGCAAGATAACGGTGGCGACCGTGAAGGCACTCAACTACCTCAAGGAGGAGCTGCAGATAATTCATCGCGACGTTAAACCGAGCAATATTCTTCTTGATAAGGAAGGAAACATTAAGCTATGTGACTTTGGCATCTCAGGGCAATTGGTGGATTCTATTGCAAAGACGCGCGATGCTGGTTGTAGGCCATACATGGCTGTAAGTTGAATTTTCTCTGCGTAAATAAAAAAAATTATATAATTTCTTTATTTACCTTCTAGCCGGAGAGGATAGATCCGAAGGATCGCGGATACGATGTGCGCAGCGATGTATGGTCATTGGGTATTACGTTGATGGAGGTGGCGACCGGCCATTTTCCATATCCGCGATGGAGTTCAGTGTTTGATCAACTACACCAAGTGGTAAACGGCGAACCGCCGCGGCTTACTGCCAACGGCAATACGTTCACTTCCGAATTTGTCGATTTTGTAAATACTTGGTAAGTTTATTCACTTTCTTCTAAAATTTTGTACTAATTCATTATTGTTTTTATTAGTTTGATTAAAGAAGAAACCGAAAGACCTAAGTACAATCGACTCTTGAAGATGCCCTTCATCCAGCGGGCGAGCAACGAAGATGTGGACGTCGCCGCCTACGTCACGGAAATCATGGACGAAATGACTAATAATGGCATCAGCGCATTCACCACCAATGTCCAGTGAACGCCGCCGCAGCCGCCTCCTCCCTCCCGTAAGTCTCACGGTAACAAAATCAACCTGCAGCAACCTCGTAAACTACCACTTAGACGAACCAAAACCAACTCATCCACGCGGAGCAATCACTCAGCACGCCGCAGCGACTGCGCAACAGGTGACAGGTCAAACAAACAAATAATAGTCATAAGCAGCAGCACGCAGGTAGTCGCAGAATACAGACGGGAGAAAAACGCGCCGAGTTCAGCAAACAAAAAAAACACGTCCATGAAACACTTCGATTCGTTTTGCGTTCCGCTTTGTTTTCTCCGCTCGGGTGTTTTCAATGCAATTGAAGCAAATATTTTTCAAAACATTGCCCCGGCCCGTTCGACGAACAGTCGAAATTATTGCGTAACGAGTAAATTAATGATGATAAATTATGATTAATCAAAACTATAAGCGTAGCTAATATGAAAGTATGAAATTGCAAGGCAAGGCAATGTGCGAGTACGCGCAGTGTATGCATTTATGTCTCAGGTACGCGCGGGGGCAGTCGCGCGTTCTCGATCGCACCCATCCTAATCCTTCGAATCCTAATAAACCACCCACACAAACACAATATCTTCCCCCTATCCTTATCTCCCTCCGAAACCTAACGCAATGGTAAGAAATTAGTTGTTTGTTGTTATTAACTATTATTATTACGCATTACTATTGATAACAAATGAATTAATTAACCATTGTGTACGATCACAAGTAGCAACTCTAAACTCCGCGCGCCGCAATTACTCGCCACACGCGAACGGTTCCCCTTTTTCGACTAGTCCTAGTCCGTACACTTTTCAAACTTAACACTTAACTAGTTACTAATTAATTGCTATTATTGCTCATTATTGATGATTCTATACTGTCATTGATATGTTCGACATACACGATATGAGAATGCGCCGCAAATAATTTTCATCTTGGAAGCGCGTGCGCGCACAGCAATAATTTGACACCAAAACTGATGAATGACAGCATTCGGATGAAAATTGTTTGCCTTTTGAATGATGAAGAAACAAAAACAAAACAAAAAAAAAAACGGAAATCATTGTAAAGTAGACTTTACACACTTGTACATGAATAACATTAAACTAAGCTAACATTTATATTAAAAATGGCGATGAAAAATTGAAACAATAAGCGGACAATCCGATACATTTAGTTTTGCGCAGGCGTGAGTACCACACATTCTCACCAATCTCATCATCATCAAAACTAATTTAATCATTTGTCAGTCAGCACGTGACACGGCAACCAATACGTTTAAGGTACACACTACAATATTATTAATACCAAGTAGTTGGTGCTAATTGATAAGTTAGAGAAACAATTTTAGCTGAGGACACAACTGCAACTGCAACTTGTTGAATGTGCAAGTTGGCGCGACTTGTAATTATGTATGTTTCAATTATTTGTTCGAGATGGACGACAAAATGGCAAAATGTTAATGATCGCAATGATATAATGGTCAAAAACGTGATTATAATAGTTGATGAAACTACATGTGCGTGTTTTACAAATGTTTTCTTACAGGTCGTAGCTCTTAGACTAGTTAAGCGAGGTTTAAATAACGAGTTTATTAAATATTTGTAACTTTAACAACAGCGAATTTAGTCTATCGACGAGATGCGATTCTCGATTGGGTTGTCGACGCGTCTCCGGCATAGAATCTGCACCGCCATCTGCGGTGTGAAGTTGTAAACGCCGACTTCTTGCAGGGCCAAGGGGCGTCTGTCTTCCACACCTGTCGCACCCTCCAGCGCGATAAGTGTCTCGCGCAGCAAGAGCGCCGAACCTCTGGAAATGTTTAATAATTCACAGCTTTCTTTCAATCTGAAACATAACAAAACATCTGTGTTGAACAAAACAAGAGTGATAAGATGAGTAAGTTAAACTTACTGTGAAAAATAATTTTCGGGTTTTTCGCTGAATTGCGAAAACAGCGGGAATAAATTACGCTGCACGTCGTATTTAAGCTGCATTGCGCCGCCCTCATTGAAGCTGTTGTAAAGGACAAGATCTTCAAAGAGGTAGTTGTCCAGTTCTTGGGCAATGTACCGCCACACAATCGTGAATAAGTTGACAGCGAGCGACTTTTGTAGTTGATGGAGGCGCCGCGCGAGTACTTCGAACATTGGACACGCGCTCGGCGTTAAACTGAACTCGCGCAAATCTCGATGGTACATCATTGTAGACCAACGTTCGCGTGTGTAACTGTACGCTTTCAGCTTCGCTTCATGTACCACCGCCTCTGCGAGAGTCCGTAGAAGATCCCGCCGCATATGTCTGAAGAGACTCAGCGTGTCCGCGAAGACTGTATCCATTTCTATTTCAAATCCTGGCCCGAAGCTATCATTATCATCAGGTGGCGGTTGCATTTCAGTTTTCGCCAATTCCAAGCGGTTCTTATAGTAATATAAGTTCAAGTAATGCTGGAAATGATAAAAACATAAGTTTTGTTTTATATTACAGCGTTAAGTTTTAACTAACCAGCATGTTTCCCCAGTCCAGTAAAACATTCTCAATGTAGTATGTGGTGTTCGCAATGGACGCGACCTTGCTCTCCATTAAGTCTTTGCGGTCATCGGCTGAATTCGCGAGTTGTAACAGTCTGATACGGAAATTGTCGAGCAATTCAATTTGTAGGTCCAAAAACTGCAGGCGATGGCCGGGTTGCGGTAGCGATTCATATCGCTCTGTGATTGTTTGCAGAAGAGTCACAAATGTATCAGCACAGATTGTAATTTTGAATTCTTCCTCTTCAGCCGCCAGCGGATCGAATGCAGTTGATAGGTGATTCAGCATGGTGTCCATCTTCTCCAAAGCGTCTGAAATTTAATTTTTTACAGTTGGCTATACGTTAGAACAAAACAAGATGGCTGATTGTAAGTAACGCGGCGCTACAATCGTACGATAAAAAGTGAGTTTTAAGTGTGGAAAAGTTAGAAATTATCAATCCATGTGATGTAAGTATGACTTCTACCTTGTTTCATATTTTGTCGTGAGAATTTCAATGCCCAAGTAGAATTTACTACTTAATATCGAGAATAATTGATATCACGTTTGTGCATGCGCATTGCCTAACTAACTAACGGATTGCGCTCGCTAAGTTGGTATCAATGCAAATAACTTACATTTTCGCTCCATTTTTATCCATTGGTTGAAAATAGAACCCTGCGTTAACACGTTGAGAATACTCGGTTCGTTATTCGGATAACAATAAGTTTCGCGCAGTTCTTTATCGAAACCAAGTGCTTCGTCAATCGAATGCGAGAAAGTGAAATCATCATAGCGCAGGTTCGGCAGTTCGGAATGCAATTTTTCGACGGCGAGTTGAACCAATCCACGCATAAGTTCCAACTGAAAACAAGTAATATCAATTATTATTATTTTTATTATGAATATTTAATTGCGCACCTTCGCATCTATGTGATGCAGGCCTAATTTATCAATAATAGGCTGTATCCACTTCGTAACGAAATCCACATGATCTCGTATCCACGACAGAACCTGTGTAAAATACCACTCAGGTTTGTCAATGCGATTTGTCTGCCGGCTGCCGTAGAAATGATACGAAAACCGCTTCCGCAGCGGTTGTAACAAATAATGTATCGGTAAACACAGCGGTGGAAAATCCGCGAGTAAACCCGGTACAATCAACGGCGTCTGATGCTCTTCAGGCATCTCAATTTGCAGTAAATACTCAGCGATGATTTGTAGCTTTGTTATATGCGCTTGTGAAGGCGAAATCAACGAAAAGTTGGCATTCACAAACGGCCATTTGATCGTTTTCAATATATCATCAAAAGCATCAACAAATTTATCCTTCAGAACCGTGTGCCAGTAAATAAGCACATCTTTCAGGTACTGCTTTAGGTGGCTAGCTTTACTTTCATGTAAAATTCGGCCAATCTCACATAAATTCGCAAACAAAGTGGCACACTTCTCATCGTCATTGCTCATGTACTCCTTTTTCAAGCCCACATTTAATTTGTCTATATCCTGCAATACTTTTGTGTACTGTATCTTGGTCTCTGCCAAGTACATTGTGCCAAGACACTTCTGCAGTTCTTCTTGGGTTTCATTCATTTCTAATAAATTAGTCTCCATTTTTTCAGAATATGATTCTGCTTCCTTAATAACATCATCAAGCACCACCAGTGATTCATTTACTAACTTGTTACTTTTTGACAATTGTGTTTCTTCATTTTCTATGTTTATCTACAAGCAATTGCAATGAAAACCAATAATTTATTGAAAAGTGCCTAGATAAATACCTTTTCCTGTAGTTGTTTCTTTTCTGCTTCCATCTGGGCGATAAGCGCCTGTAGTTTTGTGAAGTCGAGCAAGTCATCTTCATGCACTTTGACAAACTCCTCACGAGGGAGAAAGAAACTTGTGTTGTTTGAAGAAGCCATCGTGACATTACATTTGTTGTGCGGAGCAACAACATCCACACCACCGACAATTTAGTGCACTACGCGAGTTCGAGGTTAGCTATCAGCACAGTTATCGTGGATGACGACACGGATTAAGTTTACAAGACGTGTTACGTGTCCGAAAACAAATCGCGGTTGGGAATTATTTATTCTCATTCACGTGACAGTTAAAAATCAACAGTGATCACCTGCAATGGCAGAAATTTATCAAACAGAAGATAACATTTAAAAACTTTGTAGAAAGTAGTACAATAGAAATGTGCAGAAATTTATTATGACTTATTTAATGTTGTAACCATGTTTACAATCGGAAAAGTTTCGATTCGGGTGTAAATCGAGGTGCGCTTGGTTCAAACAAAATCTCCGATTTCTATAGAGATCAGATTTTTGTTTTCACACACTAAACAAATCGAACATAACCTGAAAAAATTCGTTACCGTGAGGTGGTCGGGTTTATCATCAAAATTAAATGTACGCTAAATTCATCAGGTTGTAAGCACATCGAGGATCCCGAATTTCAGGTAGGTGCATTCACGCCTAATACGGGATAATATTCGATCCGATAATGTGTAATTTTCATGAACAGCTTTCAATCTAATAACAACAAAAATGGACTATGACAATCCCATCATCCTCAATTTCCAAGAGTCACTGCTGCGCCTCTCCGACATAGAGCTGCTCTCCGGACCCTACTGGCTCAATGACACACTACTCTCGTTCTATTTCGAGTACCTAGAGACCTACAAGTACAAACAGTACTCCATGCTGTTCATCCCACCTCAGGTGACACAATGCATCAAAATAATGGAGCCGAGCGAAATCGGCGCATTCCTCAACCCGCTGGACGCCGAGTCTAAAGATTTCATCTTTTTCGCCTTGAACAACAACGAGCAGACAGAAGTCTCAGGCGGGTCACACTGGAGTCTGCTGGTGTATTCCTTTCCGGAACGTAAGTGCTTCCACTTCGATTCGTCGCGCGGCGCCAACCAGAAACAAGCTGTCGAGATGAGCAGCAAGGTGCTGAAGTTCCTCAAGGTGGACACCTATAATGGATTTGTGGAGGCACGAACCCTGCCGCAGGTGAACGGCTACGATTGCGGGGTTCATGTTCTAGCGCAATGCGAGATGCTCGCCGAATACATCTGCGATTACCGCCAGATTGACGGCGCACCATTGCTCCGGAGAGAACAAGTCGAGTCGAAGCGCACCGATATTTTCAACCTGATTACGTTTCTGCGCGGCGGCAATGAAATGATCTAAACACTGACAGAATCACCCGCGAAAAAATTCATGTACAAAATAATCAAACGAGAATAATAAAAAGAAACATTAGGATCCCCCGTACTGCCACTAATTTCTAGTACATTGGATGAGTTGAAATGTATTCTAATTTATTTACTTATTTATTGATGCAGATAATTTACATGTGATGTGGTTTTATTTATTTTTTTTAAGTTTCTAATTATAAGACTTGGTAGCATTTTATAAAAATTACAAAATCACTAAACACTGGCAACAGATACATTGAAAATTCTATTCTTCCACGAAGCTTAAACGATGACTATAAATAAGTAAATCATCGCTGGAGTGCGGGAAGCAAGCAGCTCTGCTGTGACGTCGCCTTGTGGACTTACCAAATAAAACTTAGCTAATTAAATAAATAATTAAACGTAATGTTAATAAAGTCTTTGAACGAACTGTACGTCTGTTTGTTTATGTATCAATGCCGAACATTGTCCATAAGCACACAACGTTGATGCTGGCGATGTTGGTTACATTAAACGCCCTCTATTTTACTACCGCTTTTACTAATGGCCATGGCATTATGTGTGGGCATGCTGGAGTTGGAGAAGTTCTTGTCTGGATTGTTCCAGTACTGTTCTTCTGCGGCCCCGCCCCATATGTAAATGACAGTGGTGGCGATAAACACCGCGAAGGCAATCCAGAATACAATTCGCCACTGCTCCGCGCTGTGGTCGGGCGTGAGCAGACCGACCAGGTATGGCGTGATGATGCCTGTAATGGCGCCGATGCCGTTGACGATGGCCATTACAGTTCCCGCATAGTTGGGCGCCAGATCCAATGCATTTACTTTCATACCGCAGTAGAATGTGCCCATGAAACCCATAGCGACGGTAAAGAGAGCGATGACGAGTGCCTCGTTGTTGCCGGCGTAGGATGCGGCCACAATGAAGATACCCGGCCCCACAGCGGCGATGGCCGTGAAGAATTTACGCGCGAACGTGACACCCATGTACTGCTTCGTAATCAGCCAGTCGCACAACGCGCCGGAGCTCATCGAGACAATCCACATGACAATGTAGGGCACCGAAGACCAAATGCCATTCTCCATTACATCAAAGTTTAGAATATCGGACATGAAAAGCGGCAGATCAGTGACCATGGTGAAGAAACCCCAGTCGTGACCAATTTGGGCTGCGACCAGCGCCCAGAGTGGGAAGGATGTGAACATTGCTTTCCATGGAACCGCGAGTGGTTCTTTTCTCTTTTCACCGAGTTCTTTACGCAGGAAGTCACGCTCTTCATCGGAGATGTACGGATGGACCTCGGGATCTGAGTAACAGAGCAGGGCAAAGGCAGCAAACCAGAGCATACCAATACCACCAAAGATATAAAAGACCGATGTCCATGTTCCCGTGGCTTCAATGATCAAACCACTGGCTGCGTTGCCAACCACTGTTCCAATTTGTCCTCCTGCATAGACCAAAGTACCAAGTTTGGCTCTTTCCGAACTAGGTACCCATTTAGATAGAATGCAATTGAGCGCGGGATACGTGGTACCCTATGAATTCAAAAATATTAGGTACTATGGTGTGAAGCCTAAGAAGGTTACAAAAATAACTCACCTCGCCCAAGCCTTCCAACACACGTAGAACAAGCAACCATGGCCAATCACCAGTTGTGACCACCCAAGGAGTGAGAAGCGTGAAAACTGCCGTGGAGAGTATTCCCAGGCCTAGGACCCATTTACCACCGAAGCGCTCCGCTAGCATACCACCAGGCATATGCGTGATGACATAGCCCCAGTAGAACGAGCTCAGGATCAACCCTTGCGTTTCCGAATCCCAATCGTATATTTTATCGTCGTCGACACCACGCGATGAGACGTGCCGCTTGATGGTACCATTAAATACATCATCAAAGTCATACATCATGGCACTCCGGTTGTTTTTCTTGGGTGTCATATCTGTGATGGCGATGCTGAGGGTGATACGCATCGTATACGCGTTAACCACCGCCAGAAAACCCATAATACCCACGACATATCGCTGTGGGATCAGGAATACTGCAATAGAAAAAAATCAAATTATTGTTGGTGACGATTTCATTCTTGAAATTCTTTCACATGCGCTTCAAGTTCACGAGCGTTTTTCGCTCGGCAAACATCCGTTACGCACGCTTTCGAATCGCGCGCAATTGTTTATGGCGCCGTTACGCAAGTATGAAAATATTTTCATGCGATGCGCACGCCTGGTCTGCCATAGCAAATAGTTTAGCATCGTGCGCGTCCAAAATGAATAAAATTGACAATGCATCACCGTTGAATCGCCGAATCAAACTTGACGAAGACATAATGACGTTTGTAATGATCGATAATTAGACTGCCGGCACTTCTGGGAATCAGGTGAAAACCGAAAGTGTCTTCGTCGGTCTGGGAAACAATTAAAAGGGCATTACGTCCACTTGATTTGATGCAAAATGTGCAGACATGCATTACTAGAATTTAGCGTCAACTTGACAAAAACAATATAACTGACAATAAATTGAAATTGATTTGTTGCTGTACGAAATTTGATGTTTATGACTAATTAACTACCCTTTAGTGTGTGACACAGACCATAAATCCCAGCAACGCCGCCGGTGATAAATAAACAATAATAACATAGGTTTTTTTTTTTTGTTAAAGCTTTGTCGTTCGAGCGCCTGCAGATGCAACTTTACAATCGGGCGGTATGATGTGAAAACATTCCGATAACAAAAGGTGAGAAACATGAGCATATTTCAATACGTTGTTTTTTTTTTCTTTTGTATGAAAAAAAAAGCGCGATAAATCGACACCTTTTTTGAATTATCAACCATCGATAGTTGCGATAAGGCGTATTTGTTTGGGTATTTGATTTTTCATGTTGCAACCGCTTATCTCAACTGCAACGATTTCATTCGAGAGAAAAAATATAAGTAATTATGTGTAATTTTCAACTCACGCTTTGATATGGTTTTCCTCCAGCCTGTCAGCATTTTGCCGCTTTTTCCTGGACCGCTCAACCGTGAAACTTGTACTTTTCAGTCTGATACACTTGATTTTACACTTCTCCCTGCGTTGCAACGAGTCTTATCGGGTTTTCATGGCACACCGACGTGTTTATACGTTGATTTAAATATTAATTAATATCACAGCCGATAAGGGACGGGCATTCACTTATTGCCAAGGCGAAAACTGTCAAACTTTCAAACTTGAACGAAAGTTTGGCGTTGAGGTAGTTTTGAATTTGAGCAGGTATTTTCAGGTATGCGATTGGTTGCACCAGGTGTAATTAAATCACACACTCGTATAATAATGGATAAAATTGAATAAAAATAAAAAAAAAATTCAGTGTCAACTGAGTCGCGGCGGCGTGCTGTCAACGCTGAGAGGTGATCTACTGAGCGCGTTCGCTCGCGATCAGAGAACTTGGATGACGGTTTCACCGAGCGTTGCGCGACTCCGATTGAAAATGAATGCGATCGCGGTCCGCGACTAGTGCTTATATATCTTCTAACATCGGGGCGCACGTCGCGCTCGCACTATCGGAGTGATGCTCACCTGCGATCTGCGATCAGCTCCACTTCGATCTCACCTGAAATCGAGTGCGAGCGCTGAAACTTACTTCCTTAAACTACCGACAATTTAATAATTACACTTAGAAAATTTAATTTTTTGTGATTTTATTACCGATCGCACAAGTGCACGAGTGCACAATTTCACTCCGACTAGCAATGACAATGGCAATCGCCGACGACGACACGAACCACAACCGATAAATACAGTTTTATTATTCAAGCCGAGCGCGCACCTCTCTTGAGTATACCTCAACGAATACACGCCGAAAATGCGCACTATGCTCGCGATAAAAGTCGCCAATTAACGCGCTCGCGGAATAATTACCGTCATTACCATATCGGCGTAGAAGAAACGCGCGCTAGTGAAATTTTCAAATGAATTCGTAATTATACAAAGCGTTTCCTTCGGCCGTTTCAATTATCTACTACTTGGCATTCAAATTCACATACCGCTAGAAAAGTCTCGAGGTGTTCAACACACGCCGTCGAACGTGGAACTGAAGTATAGGATTTCACGCTCTCGCCGGTTGCCATCCGAAAATGGGCAATTAAAAAAGGCGACCGAAGAAATCGTCCCCAAAAACAACTGTATACCGCGTGTGTGCAGCTAACGGTCGCGTTCGGTGGTGCGTTTGATCTAAATTTAGGCGAAGACTCCCTGTTTGTCCGACTGAGATGCAACCAGCTCACAACTCGAGACAACTACAACTAAAAGTTTAGTTGATGCTAACACTGGCAGCGTCGCACGTCGCACTGGATCATGTGAACGATAGAAACGAAGGGTGCCACTGTCACCCCATCGAAGATAATGAACATCTACAGCGAGTGAAAAATCTCACGGACAACACAGCGATTAAGATGTTCAAGATATCACAGCGGGGTTAAAACCTTCACCGAAATTGTTTGAAAAAACTCCATTTTGAAGTTAATTGGGGTGAAAATAGAGCCATGTTAAATTTAATTGTCCAAGTCGATCGGGTGACAAACTGTAGTAGATGCTTGAAGGGTTTCTTTCTTGTGGTCGTAATTAATTAACAAGATGCGGGTATATCTGGAGTATGCGTATGCGTAGTAAATTACAGTAGGGATTTTGACGTTCATAAATATCTTGCTCCCAAAACCCCGCTCGGTGCCAAGTTCAACATTTTTACAAAAATTACCTAAGTAAATATTTAAAGTTAATCCACCATAAAATGTTATCAGGCCAGCATGTGGCCTACAAGGTTTCATTAAGCACTCGTTAATGAGAGCAATTTACATTTACAATCGTACGACGAGCAATTATTTAATTTTCCGCGCATTCGCGTCGAGATGAAAAGATTCCATCGATTTCGGCTTTGCGTGTGGCATTGCATCACTTTGTGGGCTTTTCCTTCGTCAGCGCCACTGACGCAATTTGAAAATAGAAAGTGTTCGGTATTTTTTCCTCGAAAAATCCAAGCTTTCTTTTTCCACGGTTTTCGCAAATGGCGCACGTTGCCCAACGCGCGTATGCATGCGAATTGGAATTTGTCGTGGCGCTGCGATGCAAAAGAACAGCATTGCTGAGATTTTTCGCCGCGAAAACACACTCGACGCGGAAACTCATTTACGACCGCATGTATGCGCGCAGCGATTTCGAGGGCATGAAGTAAAATTTTAATGCGGGTATTTACATTGTAAAGCGCGTACTCACGTCGTTAAACGTGTCAATACGCATCCTGCAGACGGCACTCACGTCGGTGCGTTGTTAATTTCTTAATTGATGCTTATCTCGTTGATGGGCCCAGTTAGCTCTTAATCCGATCGCTGCTGTGCGAGATAACTTTATCTTCCACTAGTGTTGTTTTTTTGAGATTCTTTTAAAACAATGTTATATTGTTATAGTCTTAATCTTTATTTTGCGAGGAAAAGCGGTTTTTTATATGTTCAAATGTATTTTATGCTAAAATTTAGTTTATTTTTGCTGAAACTGTTATTTTTCACAATTAGAGTTCAAAAACTTTCAAAAATTTGCACGAAATATTGTTTTTCTCAATATAGTTTAACTAATTATAGCTTTACTTATGTCAATAATGCGATAGTAATTATTTACGTGCCTAGACATTAAAATTGTCTTTTTAATGCACTCGTCATTTCAAGACATAATCATTTAATATATATTCTTTATTAATTATAATGATTAGCGCATTTTTGTTGTGAATGTGGGAATCCAACAATACACATTTGAATTTTTCTAAACAGTATCGGCTGATGATGAGAACAATCGATCAGAAGTCCCCATTGATAAAGTGATAGGATTATGTTCTGATTACCGCACGAGTAGTAAGCATGTGATGCTTGGAGATAATGCTTATGTTTGCGATTTCGTGGATTCCAATCGGTACTTATCACGCTGCTTTCATGATTATAAACAGTGATTAAATTATTTCAGCATTAATGGTACACCGGGTGTAATTCACACTTGTGCCGAACACCGCCGTTACTGTTAGAAATCGTTTCTATTCAACAAAACAACAACTTAAAGCACTGTTATCACGATGATTCAGGCATTTTTCGTATCGACATTCTCCGTGGCTGTGCAAAATAAAAAAAAACGGAAAACGCGTTTTCAAAAAGTGAATTCGATGCGACGTACCTACGTGTTTGGACATTGTATCGGCTGAACAATGTGCATTAACAAGGACACGACATTGCTCGAAAATTGCACTCATTTCAAGAATTGGTTTAATGTTCATTTGCACATAAAATGCCTATTTTTAACATTAAAAACACATGAAAATTAAGTCATTGCATTGCGGTGCATTGTATTGTAAATATTCACAAGCTATGTAGAAGTGTTTGTACTTTGTACATCCGATTGGAAGTAGATAACGGATTTTAAGGAGTTATTATATACAAAAATTTAATCAATAAGAGCTATTCATTCCGAACAAGATTACTGGAAAGCTACAGTTTTTGATAGGCACTTCAATCGGAAAGCGCCAGATGCCTACGATTGTTTTTTATGATGGTTTTTGGTTATCTTTATTGTGAAATTTATTTATTTGGAAGGAAAACTATAAAACATTGAAAATTGATTAGTTTTTTTTGTAATACAATTTGATTCAGCAATAACCGCTTGCTATAAAGATATTCGCTTTATAGTTGCCCGATGCGGAGCTGAAATTTTGCAATAAAATTTGTAATTCATACCCATCGACGTTTGAGGACCGCGCGCAGGTGGAAATGCCTCAATGACGCGCGCGTCGCGCTGTTTGCATTACAATTAGCCATCGCCGACCTGATAAATCGCGAAGCAAATGACACTGAAGCACTTAGGCAGGTAATAACAATAACAATGCAGCCGGTGTGGCACGAGTCGGCTGTGTTCAATGATATAAATATGAAAAAGGAAAACCGCCGGCGACGAATTTGATTTGCGCCGATGAAAATATTTCAGTAATAGGGCCAAGGATGGCTGGTGTGACCGGCTTAGGAAATTGGATTTCTTGCCCGCATGATTTGCGTGTCAATTACGTCAACATCATCGGTGTACTCTTCCTTGTTTTGTGTAGATATTAGGAAAACGACAAATTCTCGGATTTGCGCTTCAATGTCGCGACATGCACGTGAATATTTTCGGGTAAAAAACCCAGCGTTGAAGATGACACGTGCTTTATGTCTGCCGTTAATGTAATGTAATGCAATAATCATTGTAACACGTAACGAACATGCTTGGAAATTCGTAATAAATTTCAGGTCACGTTTACTTGCGCAGATATGTCTTGTTTTTTTTTCGTTTTGTGTTTATAGTTTATTACGTTCTAAAAAGATTAGAAAACAATTGTCTCACGTGTACACGTGTAAAGTACCTAAAAATTATTTTACTTCCTTACGTTTTGACGCAAAATGACAGGAAAATTGTGATTTTCACATAAAAACGAAATGTGTTCTTATGATGTCATTTAGCGGACATTTGGCAGTGTTAAACAAAACAATTTGCTTTGACTGTTAGCGCTGGATATCTAGACAATGAGCCGCGATGCACGTCATCGGCAATCACTCATTTGTAGGTAATGAGACGAGTATTAAACAATGATCGTTGACATGCATTCAAATGTTCGAAGGAAAGCAGCGCGAAGTGTGTAACAGGTCTACGATTCGTGGTATTTTAGCCAGGCTGGTCTGGCGGCGATGGCCCCGAGAGTGAAATATCATATAATCGCGACGATATCGCACGCGAAAATAGACGCGACATTCTTCGGGCACTTTGTGTCAATTAGCAACATTTTTTCGTCAATTTGTCGCCGGCGTATCGGTGTAAGGTGTTGTCGGCACGTTATTCATAGCCTTAGTTGGTCAAAATCGAGCTGGGTGTTTGCGAATAAACAAAACTCTGACACCACACGTAAAATATGTCAAGTGTTTGCTATTTGTAACTTCGAACAAAACTGGTGAAATGAAATCGCGTTGAAAATCCTGATTGTGTTGGGGAATCTTTTATATTGGGAATTAGCGACGGTGTTAAACTTGGGTACATTACTTGGGTCAACACTAGGCGCAAATGTCATGATCAATGGAATCTTTGTTAAATCAACGATTTCATCATATTCGCATAATATACTAGAAATAAGGAAGAAAATCTCGAACAAATATTGCAAAGAAAGTTGGTTACTTCACACATTTCTCGGAAATGCGCTTATCAGAGCTGTAAATGTTGCAATATTGATGAGAGTCGATAATTAAATGACTATTTATCAACTTTTACTTATTACTTTATTGTTACAAAGTGTCTAGATTTATTTGCGTAGTATTTAGTTTCACGTTATAAGACGGTAAAAATCTTTTTTTACTTCAATTTATGCGCAAATCAGTATTTTAGTATTTTTTTTGTTTTGTTGCTTCTTTGAGGATAGTAATTCTCTTTTTTGATGTGAGACACTTTTCTCCAACATGCATAAAATTGCATTTGTTCATTTTTTTCTTAATCAAATCAGGCAAAAAACTTTGAATAAAGAATACAAATAACGTTATTTAAAACATTTCTCAGCATTAAGTGTTGTAATATTATTGAAAGTTGATAATTAAATGACCATTTATCAACTTTTACTTATTACTTTATTGTTACAAAGTCTCTAGATTTATTTGCGTAGTAACCAAAGCTAGTTTCATCCTTTAAGATGGAAAAAATCACTTTTTTACTTCAATTTATTCGCAAGTCAGTATTTTAACATTTTCCTTATCCTGTTGTGTTTCTTTGAGGATAATATACTCTTAGGTAATACTCTGATTTGATGCTGAATTCCCCAACATGCATTGAATTGCATTTATTCATTTTTTTTCACAATCAAATCCGGCAGAAAACTTTGAACAAAGAAAACAAAAAAGTTATTTAAAATATTTATCGGCATTACACGTTGCAATATTAACGTGAGTTGATAATTAAATAGCAAATTATCAACTTTACCTCGCGATTTTAACGTTAAACAGACGTGATTTTATAGATTTTAATAGAGTACCACAACATTGTTTGCAGTTGCGTAATTTTAAAGATATTAGGATACATTTCAATTGCAGTAATGAGTCCTAATAGAACATAAATTGCATAATATTAAAATCCACTTCAATTATTTATTAAAATTCTGCATTAATGTAATAATGCAATAATGATCCGATAAAATTCTTTGGTACTCGCCCGATAAGATTACATTTGATGAAAATAACATGTTTATACCAATCGGGTGTAAACACGAAATTCAAATAAAAACACCGCTTATCAGCTTCTTATTAGAATTAAGTAGATATTAAGTATGACCAGGTGGAGAGCAATTAATATCCTTGTTCTTTAAAAAACAATTTTAATTAATTTGACACATTTACGTGTTTGTATTTTTCTTTGATATTATTAACTATTTGACAAGTATTAACTATTTTTTTACTATTTTTATTTTATATTTAATTTGTTTTATGTTACAGCTGAATGCAGATTTCCAAGGCGAAACGTATTAGCGGTAAGTTTATTTTTTCGATATCGAATGTTTTGCTGTTTTATAATCGCGCCAACAATAAACGATTTCCACGTTTTGCAACCAGCAAAACAAATATAGTAACTCAATCAATCGTAGAAACGCGCGATGCAATTTTGTTTCAACTAATTAATTAAATTTCAACACAACTTGCAACTTGCAAATTTGCAAAGCGTTGATAACGCGCCGCTATCGCAATTGATGATAAGACAGTCAATCAATTGCTGCTTGGGTGATTTAAATAAAAAATCGATTCAATCCTCAAGAGGTTGATTAAAATCACAAATCTCCAAACTTTCACACTGTGTCGAAATTGAAGTTTTTTTCAGATAGTGATAACAGTTTGACGATTTCATTGTCATTTTTCTATTTGATTAATTACTCAGCAATAACGATCGGCGCGATAAGTGACTCACCTTTTGAACCGGCTGCTTTCCATTGTGATTTCGAAGATTGCGGTAGAAGGTGCGTGCGTTCATTGGGCCCGGACATTTGATTCATTTTCTTGTTTGCGACGATGTCAAAAAACGGCACTCGGCACATCTAACTCTTCATGCGTTTGGTGGGTGTTGAGCAGTTCTAGACTCGCCGCCGGACGCTAATCAGCTCGTGCTAATGACACAGAGCGCACACGCATGGTAACAGATCAGACCGGGACGCGTTCGTATCTAGCTCTGGTTTATTTTATTTTTTTATATATCGAAATCGGAGGTTCATACGCGTTGATTGTAGCGTTTCTTACTCGAAGCAGGCGGTAACTGAACGATTCGCTCAGTTGGTAAATAGAAAATATTGTTGATTGCGACGGCACATGGCGAAGTGTAAACAAAAATCCGATCGACGATCCGAAAATCTTATCACACATCAGCGCATTACATTACATTGCATCAACATTACACATACATTCAATAAATGCGTGATGAAAAGAATTTATTCCGTATTATTTTGACTGGTTTTCATACAATAGTTATTGTTGCTTGAATACTGAATCACTACGCGATATTAAACGCTGGTAGCAGTTAATATCGGGTTTTATGATTGATGGGCGTTCACCCAGATATTTATTCGGTTTTTTTGGTCGAACTTTCCTGGTAACCACTTCACTAGGCTCCGCAAGGATGAATTCCACTCGCATTCTGCCCATGTTGATGCGTCTCTTCAATTCGCCCTCATAATGCATTCGTAAATTGTGCAGACGTTCCTTGCCTGCTCTTAATTTATCTCTTTTAGACTGGTTGAGTTTTTCAAGGTCCTCGATCGCTTGCATAGCGTTTTCCATGTCGATCAACAGACGGTCTTTAGTCAACAGACCATTTTCGTCCTTTAAGCGTTGTGTTTCAAGCCGGTAGAAATCTCTTTCCTGCTTCAATTGATTCATTTGTTCACGAATCACTGTTTTCGCTTTTTCTTTCTCATGCAGCGTTTCTTTGAGAATCGTAATATTCTGTTCGGATGCCGAACACTTTTCTCGAACATGCGCCAATGATTGTATTGCATTCGTGCACTTTTTTCGCAAGCGCATCAATTCGTCATCACGCTCTTCGATTTTATCCAGGTTGCTTTGATTCTCGATTTTCATTTGCTCAAATTCTATAAGAGTATAGTTTTCGCCAATTTTGTCCATGGCTTTAATTTCGTTGTTTTTATACGTGACTGCATTACGAATCGTGATGTGCAGCAATCGCAGGTCTCGCAATTCATCAGATTTCGTAATCTGCGCGCTGATTAATCGATCAATGGTCTTCTCGGAGATCTCTTTGCCTGTTTTTGAGCTGATTAAACCCACGCCGATTTCAATCTCGTGGTTCAACAAGTTCTGAAACGCAGTTTCAGCTCGGTTGCATTGTTTTTCTTTGACATCACGTAATAAAGTGACTTCTGTAGTTAATTCCCTTTTTTGGACAACATCAATTTCTTGAAGCGATGCGTAGTTATCCAATTTCTTACCGTATTTTATAATCGCCTCGTCTGGATGTGGTGCTTCTTCAAGAACATGATCCATTTTTCTCTTCTTGAAATAATCAGCCATTTTCTTATGCAGAAAATTATTGAGGCGTTTCACAGCTCCGTATTCCACCATAGCATCCATGAATTTCTCAAAATAGGGCATTCTATCCAACATGGTTGGAGTGGACTCTTCAGTAACCTCAGTTTCTTCTTTAGCTTCCTCATGATCAACCTCCAGGACAAAATCAAAAGATTCTGTTTTTCTTGCTAGGAGAGTGTCAGAGTTTGCACTGTAGGTATCATCGGCGGTGGGATCATACTGATAATCCACCAACATGCCTAGATCAAGGTCTAGATCAAGGTCCAGGCCAAGATCAAGCCCCATGTTGAAACCGTCGTCGGTTTGTGGATAGCGTTCCGGAGGTGGTTTCGGAGGAGCCGCGCTGATGTCCAGAAAAATATCGCTGCGCTTATCAGACGCGACCTGTGGTGTAGGTCCGGTTTCATTAGTCATCTCGGGGGCGGTGGTGGTCCCATGAGTAGAGGGATCCTCATCCGGTGGCGGTACGTAGGTATCAGTTGGAAGAGATGTGATATCAGCATAGGCTGTATTGGAGCGTACTTTGGTTGTGGTAGGGTCAAGGGTAGTGACATTGGTAGGTGTTGTTTCGTAGGTGAACTGTGCTGTTGGTGTACGTTCGGATGAATCCATGGTTTAAAATTTGTGGAATATTGTAATATTTTGTAAAATTGTGTAAAAATGCTGTGTATAGGTATGACTTTTAATATGGGGAATAATAATAATATTGTTTACCATAGCAACCATCAGATAATTTGATTTTTTCGAATTAAATTTAAAGCTTTTGATGTTTTTATAAAGATCACACGCTAGGCCAACTCCACATGGCATTTGATTATTTCGACAATGCAACAACTTGCTGCTCGCTTCCCGTATAGTTGGGTTTAGTGCACCCCTCGATGGGCGATGCGCTCGAGTTGAAAACCACCTATTTAGCGATTGCACAATGCATCGTGCGCCTCAAGCACCCCTTTAAATACCATCGGCTATTCAGTTGTTTGGTGGTTGTAGTCCGAGTTTGTATGATTGTGCGAATGTGTGAATTGCCAAAGGAGGGTACACGAGGGTGGAGAGCGGGCGCCGCTTGTCGGAGATGTCAATGTTATGGGTACTTATGCCGAGAGCGTGGCTTATCAATTAGTTACCACACTGACGAGATGGTGAGCGTGCGCCGATACGAGCGTCGTGTGCTGGATAAATTATAGGGAAGCGCGAAATGCGCGATTTATTAGGGTGTATGTTTGCATGGCGGTATTTATCGCGGGCAATTTATTGTTTGCCAAAACAAGCATTGATTATGCTATGATTTGCTATGAAGAATAAGAAAAGATATCATTTTTTCGATGATTTTTCTGTTCTTTTTGTTTATTTCCGCAAATATTTAAGTAATTATTCGCTAAATTGATATTTTATCACTGTAGCAATGTCTTCGAAGTGCTTTAATTGTCTGAAAATTAATATTTTTGGTTTTAATCAATTTATCGCAAATTTTACGAATAAATGTTTTAAATAACTAAAAAAGTCAATAATAGAATGGTAAACTAATAAAATTAATAGCCTGTTAAATTCATGGGAAATGCAAATCCCATCAACACTTATGATAATCTAGTTGCAATGCCTCTTGTGGTACCAGACCTAATCTCTTTCGGGGTACCCCAGCTATGGGGTGCGCACCGCGTGATCTCGTATCACACACTTGATTAACTCGCCGTGGTTCGGCCGTGATTTATTGTATTCGTGTGTTTGCGATGTAGCATCCGCCGGTCGCCCCCATGTGAACATTTCCGCGATGGGTGCTCGAGTGCAAAGTTGTGGGTATTTATGTGGTTATTTGCTTTGCGCGAGTGGCGCAATGGGACCGGCGCTGATACTATGAAGTGGTTGCAGTGACCGTGACAAATCAATTACAAACAGACTGCATGGGTACCAACAATATAAACAAACATATACCGAATTATATTTATAGAAAAGAAAAAGATTTTTATGGGATTGTTTATCGGATTTATTCGTGAAATTTGAGAAAATTTATTTTAAGTGAAAATTCAGAAGTTTTTCACAATTATTCTAATTTAAAGCAAAAAATTTGTTTAAATTTAATCATTATTGATTTGAAATTGAATAATTTTTAAATATTTATGACTTAATTATTTATAATTATTCATATTATTTCCATTTGCATAATTGCCGATCAAAAATCCATACTCGAATGTTTGGATACAAATCTCACGCTGTTCGGTGCCGCGCAATAAGGTATAATTCGCTTCCAAACAATTGCCCCCGGGCATCCCTTTCCGCTACGCCCGCCCCGGCTTATTGGGGTGTATGATGCTGTGGAAATTAGGGTGGCCGGAACAAACGCAAGGCCGCGACGACGCGCGGCATACGCCGGCTTTCTCACATGCCGCGTGCCGCGGCGCTTAACTACAGGACCTCGGCGACAAATCACCGCCCAAACCGCGCGTCCTTTCCGGGGCCGCCGGGGTGGTTTGCAAATCGTGTTTGACATGTGTAAGTGGCGGGCGTTCGAACACGTGCCCGTCACGCACAGGCTCAGAGACAATTTCAACAACTATCTGCGCGTATAACTGACGCATTATCCAACAGATCTGTTATATTTTAAATAAGTCAGCAATAATTTTAGCAATAGCTAATAATAATAATAAAATTATATAAATATTCAATAGATTTCTTCTCGTAATCATAGTCATTGTCATTGTCAACGTCTGGAAAATATTGACTTTCTCTCGGCCCCCGCTGTGTTTTCGGCTGATTTTCACGTTTCGGAGTTTTTCCACTCGTGGCGTCTGCATTTGATGTCCTGTCAGTTGCAAACCCACCTATTCTGCAAAATCCATTAACTCATCCCGCACTTTCTTTGTACTACTACTCCAGACTCCCTCTGGAGTCGACCAATGAGCACATACGCTTCTGGCAACCCCTAGCCGATTGGTTACTGCACACGGTATGAACCCTCCCCTTGCTATTGTACACCAGGATCAATTCGAGTTTGGTCCTGCGTGCTGCATCCTCCTGCCGACTTTTTCATCTCTGGTCGTGGGCGCGCATATAAAGCCAAATCCCCGGGGTCTTATCAAATCATTTCCTGTTTGGTCGTCGTAATTGAATCTTCGTAATCATATTAATATTAACGTGATAGTAAAAAAAGTTAAAAATGAGTCGTCACAATTCGCAACTTCCTGATTCTTCGTCATCTCCGCCAATAAAGTAGGTTTATCTTTAATTTTCTTCTTTTTAAATAAAAATTGTTGTGGTTTACGTGGTTTATAGTCTTCAATATGGATACAACGCCCAGGATGACCTCTCCGAAGAAGAATTATCCGAATTACCAAGTTGTGCGTTTGCATCTCGTGCTTCTAGCAGCACAAACTCACTGCAACATCACTATTTGTCAAATATGCATCATTCGAATGGTATTTCGCTTTTTTTTTACTAAATTACTAAATTTCAAAATGAAAATGATTTGTGTTGTGTCAATGTAGAACCGCATCAAGTCGGCGGCTCGTCTTTGACGGGCGGCGGCGGCGGTAATGGCGGCGATTACTATTCCACCTCACCGTATCGTGTCCAACGTCATGCCGCCAACATCCGCGAGAGGAAACGCATGCTGAGGTCTGCTATAGGACCCACCGGGTACTCTTTAAACAAGACTTTCACTTTAATGTTTTTACTTTTTGAGTTTCGCTTGGTTTTTTCGCTTCCTCTGAAATTTTTCGATGTTTATTTGATTTTTTTCATCAATTATTAGATTATCTAGCTTAGCGTTGTCGATTTTTTTTCATATTTATATTTGTGTGGGATGATTTTTGGATAATATTTGTATTGTTGGTTTTTGTACTGTTTGGTTTCTCATCCTGTGGTGAACTTTGTGATGCTAATTTCGAGTGGTGATTGTGCAGCAGCATAAACTCGGCTTTCGACGAATTACGAATGCATGTACCGACATTCCCGTACGAGAAACGCCTCAGCAAAATCGACACTCTTCGCCTCGCCATTGCATACATAGCACTCCTTCGCGAGGTCCTCACGGCTGATTGTGATCCTCTCACTTACGTTGAAAGGTGTCTACGTGGTGAAATCAAGGCTGAGCGTGCCAACTGGAATACAAGTGGTAAAAATTTCATTCGCCGAATTATACTCAATCGTAACATAATCGTATTTGGTGGTGATTTGTGGCAAACAGATTTGACTGCGCGTCTATCGTGGATCAATTGGGAAAATCTGGGCGTGAACCCGAATCGACGCAGCGCGCTCACTTCCCTAGCGCTTTCTTCAGACAATCTTCACTAGAAATCATCCTAATGTGTAAATATGTACAGATAAACATCGACATAATTTAATAATTTAATGGTGCAATAATGCCGTGAACTTATGGATAAATTAAATTTCGAATTGAATAAGAATAATTAACGTGGTGGTTATTGATCCAAAAAGTCCATACAGCAAACTCCCGTCTATTTTGAACATCCCCAATGCGTTGAATTCTAACTTCTGGTGAAAATTGTGTAGGATCAGTGAAGAAATTTCCTAAAAATCATAAAATATAATCAAATAAACATGATAACTCTTTACATTTTACATTGTGTGATACATCTTGGCAATATCCTCGGTTTTCTTTCACGAATTCTTCAAATTTGTTCAAATTCTGTGTGAAATCATCGTTTGTATCATCCACCAAGGTACAGGGCAGTATAATCTCAACTAGTCCCGTGAAATAAAACAAATCCAACAGTATTAAAATATAAATTTCATCAATCACAGCGTTTTCCGCCGCTGTTTGATCATTGTCCTCGCGCTGAATCCACAGACACACGGCGAATGTCCAGCAGATCATTTGCAGGGACAGTATCGGTATGGTAATCAGCACGTAGAATGCAAAAACGTGATTGATTCGTTTGCCTTTTTGCAATAGCTCGGCGTATTCCAGCGCGCATTTCCGCATCGACGCGCTTGTCACTCGCTCGTTCCGATTCAACTTGCGCAGATTGTAGTGGAAATCTTCGACGAGAAAGAAGCGCGAGAAACGTGTTACCTTCAGGCGTGCAATCAGCCGTGTCATGTTTTCCATCTGTTGTAGAACACAGGCTGACCATAGGAAACTCGTCAGGTTGAATATGGATAATGTTATTGCATACAGAGTAACTTCACAGGAAAAGTTAAAAATCGCTGTGGAGTCCTTTAAATAAGGTTTAGCATTCAGGACTTTAAGAATTACATAGAAAAGCAAAAAATTGATACCGCATCCTGTAAATATCCGTAGAATATTTTTACTTGTCTTTGAAAATTTCGCGTTTTTGAAAGTATCAGTTAAACTCTCGTGTCGATAAACCATTAATGAAAACCCAGTCCATATTATAGTAATCATCAGCGGGATATCCATAATACCAAGAAATATCATGATTGTTTTGTGAATAGTGCCTTTCATGTTATTCTCATTCAAAATACTATTTTCACGTTCAATTGGTGTGAATCTCACAAAAATATACAAAATAATATAAAAAATTGCAAAAGATATAAAAACACTTTGATAAATTCTTAGTATCTTCTTGTTAGCTATCATTTTGTGCACTGTTGCTACAATCAGAGCTACAAACTGATTGTACTAAATATAATTGAAATGAAAATCGAATGCTCTTTGTGTATCATGCATGAATAATTAATTTTTTCAATCTGTTACTGCAAGCAATCAGTAATCAATTGGATTGTACTGCGATAAAATCTTTTATTCAATCAGAAATCATAACATACATAATACTATTGAAAAGAAACATTTCTACAAATCAGCGTTTAAAATCTCATCGAAAAAACTTTCTTTGATTCGTTCCAGAGCAGGTTTTGCATTTCTACCCAACATTCCCTCCTGGGTATACTCAGGTTCCAGGCAGAGTATCTTCACGGCTTCTTCTAATTTCTCAGCTGCTTCGTTTAATTTCCGTTTGAGTTCTTCCTTTGTAATCACTGCGTTTTTGTATAAATTCTTCGCGATGAGAATTAGCGGCGCGTGCAGTTCATACAAGATTAAACCTCTTGTTCGTGTATATCCCGGTTCAATAACATCTAAATTCTCTAAGATCTGCATGCATAGCTCAACTTTTCTTTCAAGAAGTAAATCCGGCAGGTCTTCGATGATGTATCCGTCTAGTTTTCCATACATTTGTGCTAAAGATAGCCTCAGCATTGTATGGTAAGCATTTCGCGGATGCATCACACTTCTGTATTTCCGATAGAGTGTTTCTCTTGCTTCGATTGCTTCAGCTGGCTCTTCGACGTTCGCATCCACATTATCCAACTCCATTTGGATAGCTTCATATACCCTTCTGACTGCTGTCGCTTTGGTACGGAAGTCACAGTGGGTGCACTTCCATTCCGCTTCGAAATTCAACGGCTCCGTGGAGATTAACACGCCATTGTCGCATTTGGAACATTTTAGAGTACCTAGATGAGTGCCAAGTTCAGTAGCGTCTTTGCATCGCAAGCAATCGCAGAGGAAGTATTTTGATTCTTCCAGATAAGCGCGTCGGACCAGTGTGGGAAGGATGGTGTATGCGTAGCTAGAATACAACTCTTGGTCTTTTTTTAGCGGCACACTTGTACGGCACTGAACTTTCAGATCTTGAAAAATTGTATGTGTTGTATTGGCCACGCAGTTATGAGAGAGTATTGCAAGATTCGGGTATAAACAGCGAATGGAATAACCGCCCGTAGAAGGATGCGCTTCAAAAGAGTTGACGTCCAAGATTCCACAAACTCTGTGTATTAACTCTTCAGAGAAACGGGTCAGTTTGCAAGGACCACGAAGATATTCCACCACGTTGTTCTGATTGAACGCCCAGATTGGTTTCGATTTGCGAATTTCACAGTGTGATTGCATACAGGCTACTTCACTATCCCAACGTTGTTTGTTTGCTTCCATTGCCAATAATACTCTGAAATTTTTTATGTTTAAAGTGTGTTTATTAGCATTATGGATTGATATAATTACCTTAAAGGGGTGATACATTCAAACTGTAAGCAAATATCGGTGGGATCCGCCATTGTCTGAAACTTAGCACCGGATTCAGCGAAAACTTTGCATTCGTTGTTTGCATGTGTTGCATTTTCTTGGCACTGGGCGTTGCACACAGGCCAACTGCATTTGCTACAGAGATAGCTGCAATCCACCGGGAGGTAACATCCCAGGCACATTGGCGGATGCCCTAATAGAAAATTTCATTATTCTCCGATGTTTTTTTACTCGCTTGTCTTTAATTTACCTGATTTTGGACCATATGCGAATGGTTCCTCCTCAAAAACAACATCGCCAGCTTGTAGGTCCTTTGACGCAGTAGCGTACCGCCCCACTTTGTCGTTCTTTAAAACTTGGAGGCAATTTTCCGGCATAATTACAACGTTTTGTCGACGAGCGTCTCAAATTTCTCCCGCACTATTTATGAATACTTATTACACTATTTTTGGAGCAATCCAGTTCGAACTGGAGTGAAACAAACCTTCAAAAAGCGGTGTCGGTTGTCTTGAATCAGTTAGGATTAGAAATGTTTGTAATTCGTGGTGCTGGCCGTTTTATAACGTCCGTCGGCGCGTTCCACTGCCGATTGCGTTAAAAATAGCCGATGCGTTGTCTAAATATACAGCAGAAACATTTCGATAATTCGAGAAGATGCTCGAAGCCACTTTGATCGCCAGCATTTTTATGCACCCGGAGACCTTCGAGAAAATTTCTAGTTCACATACGATAGACACAAATAACAAAAAAATAGAGAAAGGCGTTAGAAAATGTGGGTTTACTGATTGCTTTATTGGTGATTTCGTAAAAGTGTTCATCGTTCTTTAGCTTAATACAACCGGGCTAAGACTGCGATGCTCTTTCAGACAATCGATGCTACAAAAACGGTTTGAGGAGTACTCGAAGGGTACCTTTCCGCTCATGTCGCAGCCGCAATAGAAGCATCTTGAAATCACGTGCCCTTTTGCATCCAGAATTCGCCGCTCAGCAGCTAGGGCACGCTTCTCCCGATCGGACAACATCGCGAATCTCTCCCGCTCGTCCTGTTCGCCCTGCTCCGCTAATCGGACACGTTTGTTGTCCTTATTTCGTTCGCGTTTCGCGCGTTTCAACTCACGCATTTTCTGTCGTTTCGCTTCGATCTGTTCGTCAGACAATGTCTTCACCAGCGGTATCTGGGCTTTCGCGTAGTTAAACATACTCGGATTCTCTTTCGCAAAATTTTTAAAGACTTCTCTGGTTGCACTGTCTTGGGTCATGGTATAAGGCGTTTTATTTGCCGAGTTTTTCGCGCACACATCAGCACCGTGTTCTAATAAAATTTCCACAAAGCGTGTCTTTTTAGCCTCCGCGCAAAGATGTAAGGGTGTGCTACCAGAGTGGTTTATTTTCATTGCTATAATTTCTGGTTGTTGTAGCAGGAAGTTCTCAAACGCGGTATCGTTGTTAATCGTCATGATTTGCTTGAATGAAGCACGCATATCGTTTTCAAGACGTTGGCGCGCTTTATCCTCCGCTATCCTCGCTTGGTGATCTAAACGCGTTTTGGATGGTGTTTTATTTTTCTTAGTTACACGTGTATTTGTGAAAGACAACGCGGAGTCGCCAAAATCTTCCAAGGTGTTTGCTAGATTGAGGGCTTCCATTGACTCATATATATCAGCCTCATCATCCGGTAACGCTTTGCGTTGAGACTCTTGCGGTGGGCCTTCCAGATGCACTGGATCTGCATCCATCGGGCAAGGTAAAGGACGCTCCGTACCTTCACGAGATTTAGCGCGGTTAATCGATCGACTTTTGGATCTGTTACGTCTATTCACGACCTTTTCATTGGCAGCTTCAGTTTCAGTGGGAATGGCTTCAATGGATTCTGAATACGAATGATACAACAAAATATAAAATCATAAGTTTGCATATTAATTGTTTTCCTGACTTACCATAAATCGTAATGCCTGACAACAGATCGTGCACGCGTTTGACTTCTTTGAATGTAGCACGTCTTGTAGGGAAAGGAATGACTCTGAGTCTCTCATCGCTTCTTTTTAAGATAGGATTCTTCCCGCCGAATAATACGCTTTTATTAAATGGACCAGGTGCACGGAATGGAATAATTGCGCATTTTGCCAGCTCGTCTTTCCACGCGTCCAGAATCTCAGTAACGTGCTGTATCATGGCTTGCTCGTTGTACCTGCGTAATGATGCACCAGCGCTCTTCGGCGCCGAAGAGCCACCTTTATTGTCTCTGGCGCTTTGTGAACCACCTTGTCCTGCACGCACAGTATAACAGTGGATAGTCTTGTGTAAAATCGGCACACTACCATCAAATATCGCCCCGGCAAAATGCCCGCCACCTAACATCAGAACACACCACTTGGTATTCTTTAAACTAACCAAAGATTGTCTCAAATCGATGTCCCGCTTTTTATCCGCCAGCAGACATCGGTACATGAGGATGGCCTGACCCTTATTGCAAGTTACATACACGCGACCCTGATTTTGAAGCAAATACGTCGACGACTTGCGTTCTTGTATAGATTCCTCCGATTCAGACCCGGAAATGCTAGATACCTCTATGGATATAAACAAACAAAATAAATATCTGCAACACTTTTTGTATTATGAGTGAAACCACCTTCTTTCTCTTCGAACTCGGTTTCGGTTACTGGCGATTGTCCGTTAATGTTCCTATGAAGGTTGTACCGATGCCAGTCCAATTTGTAGTGATTGCGTTGTTTCTCGATGCTTTCAAACTGAACTTTGCATATGGAGCAACTGCACTGTGTCCGTTGGGTACCACTGCCGCTGGCCACTGCATCTTCAACTGGATTGCGCACATCAGTAATTAAGTTTTCATTGCATGATGCGTCCTCGAGGTATTCCACAATGCGTGGGTCGGACTCTGCTAGCTCTTGGAAAACTTTGTCGAACACCTTGCCCACATCCATGGCGGATGGTTATAGGAGATTGAACACTTTACACTGAAACAAAATCGGAAATTACTCGCTGTTTTATACTCTACCCCTCCATTATTACATGCTTTTATATCCGCGCACGCTCAATATTAATAATAATCGAAAATTTCGGTTAGTCAAAAATATTTATTTCAAAAATTTAGTACAAATGCCAAATTTTTCATTCCTATATACAGTTTTTTTTTTATCATATATACTAGTTATTATCATCATTTACTTAATAATATGAATGAAAACAGTATAGCAATGTTGTGCAATACTGGCCACTTAAAACTAGACACAATAAATTAGTCACTCTTTCATAAAATCTCCTTAATATAAAATATATGTCAGTAACCTAGATTAATTTAATCCTAGGTTGAGAATTCTATATGCATGCCAGATGCATACATGTAATATGTGACCATTCCACCTATGAGCAATGCAAAGATATAACTCAGGTGGAATGCATGTCCAGAGGCTTTCCTAAAATATGAATTTAATTAATTAAAATATCTCTGAGTGAATATCCAGAAATAGTTTGATTTATACTTGAATTTTTGTGGTGAAAGTGGTGATGGTGGATGTACACCAGGTACATCTGAGTCCAAGTAGACAGTCACCCAGGTGAGGTAGGTTGTCAGCAAGCCACAGACAACTGGCAGCCAGTAGCTGCTGTATTTCACACTGTTGCGATAGACATGCTTGAACATAAGCTGACCATCATCAGCCAATTGGTCAACTTGTGTCAGCTTTGTCTCAATGACCTGGTGCCATAGAGTGTTTCCTGGAGAAATTCATCAGATACACATGAAAGTATGCATCTCAGAGAGTTATAGAAGTGTTATGTGAACACTTACCGTATGTGTGCAGAAGTTTTGCAACGATAACACTACACGAAACGGCAATGCCGTAGAGCGCCCAACGTTTTTCGGTTAGAAAAACGCGCGGTGGTGATGACATTGTGATGCGTGGCGTAATTAGGCGATTTTTTTTAAAGAAAGGTAATTGCGAGGCTTACCTTAAAATTTCGCGCCGGCGACGGAATGAGCCAGGAAAAGTTCGACTTGGAATGCCACAAAAAGCATACGATGTTTGACGTCTTCCTGTTTGACGTAATGGGGCAAAATGGCTGCCTGAGGGAATATATTAAAAACAAAACATTAGGCGAATATATTTAGTAGGGATGAATGAATTCATTTTCAATATAAAATGTTTAATTATTATTATGTATTAGTTATAGTTTATACCTGCAGAAGTGTAGCATATGTTAAACTTTCGATTAGTGTATAAAAGGTTGCATACGTTGAAGCAGCAATATTGCACAACTTTCGCCAATTTTGATGTATTACTGTGTAATAACTAACAAAATCAATCAATGAACAAATGAAAAAAAGTCATCTGTCAAAATATAAAAATGAGCGTTTGCTGATTAATATCACGTATTTCCTTAGTTGAATTGTGTAATTCTACTGATTCGGCGCACAAATATAGAGAATTGCGCAAGAATTACTAGACTTTTTTTCATTTTGTGTGCGATTTCATTAAGTGTGGATGGGGTAATAATGTCTGATATCGATGTAAATGATATGTGATAAGTAGATACACACTTATATTGTTTTCCTGGAAATTAGTGATGATTTCGGATTCTTTTCTTGTTGTTTTATGTGTGCGTTTTTGCACCGACGATGTTACTGACCAAAAATGATTTGAAAGAATGATGTTTGACATTAGAACAAAAATGGGTAAGTTACTGGGTAATGACAAAAAACAACGAAAGAATATGTAATTTATATAAATGATCGTGTCAAAACGTAAAAATGAAGAAATATCTCTTCCCGATTGATATTTCTGTATTTTTTTTCTTAGAGTGAGTAGTTGTATTAACCAGTATTAAGTCATCGCGCGTATATGAAAAATTTTGCAGAAATTGGCTTATGTATTTAATATTATGTTCATTTTATGCGTTTGTGAGTGTGCGATTATACCTGAATACAAAGGGGTTGATGCGTGGTATTTTGAAAGACACTTACACTATTTTCTTGCAAATTTTTGCTCAATATTTCCGTGATTTCGATGAATTTTAGTGCCGACGATGTTACGGATCGAAAATGATACTAATGTATGTTATTTGACAGAAACGCTGTTATTATGCTTGAAACAAAAGCAATCATGGCCTGCTTGGATCTAAAATAGTTTCAAAGTGCATTGTTGAATGTTTGTAAATTTGGAGATTGCTGTGGAATGATAGAAAACAAAAAAAAGCGCAATTGAAAAATATTGATGTGTCAAAATTAAAAAATCAAATCTTATTAATATCTTTTACTGATTTTACAAGGAATTTACAAAGAAAAATGTCAAATTTGATTGACTGGTTATATGTGTATTGTATATGAGGCTTGAATACTGGCGAAAATTAATTGCAGTGCGTTTGAATTATGCAGTAAAGATAACAGATAAATGAGCACTTACTCTGATTTGCTCCAATTCCGTGGTGTTTACTCTTTTTATGTTGATTCTTTAATGAATAAAACACATTTTCGTTCCGGCGATGTTACTGACCAAAAATGATTGGAATGTTATGTTATTTGACAAAAAAACAAAAGTCAGAGCAATCTAGATTTTGAAATTTATTCATACGTCATCAAAACGTAAACATGCAAAAATTTTTAATTACTGCAAATTTGTATCGTGCAAAAAGTTAAAAGACACTTACACTGATTTACTGCAGAGCTGCGATGGTCACTGTGGATTTTCTATGGACAGGATGAATATTTCGTGCCGGCGAAGTGTCGAGTCAAAAATGATACTAATGTATGTTGTTTAACAAACTTTGTTATAATATTTGAAACAAAAGCAATCATGGTTTGCTCTGATCAAAAAAAAATAATTTCAAAAACAGTTTCAAGCGTAGTTCTAAAATGATTTCATAGATGGCGATGCGATGCACATATCCACATTAAATAAAATTTATTTGACACAGTGTTAGAAAATAAGCAGATATCAACATTCAGGCCAAATTTATTACATTGAATTTCCAGTAATAAAGTTAATTTACCAGCCGGATATTTAAAATGTATCATGAAACAAAAAATAATGCGAATATTTTGTTTATGTTACGTCAATCAACAAACGACAGTTATGATTCTTACATTTTAGTTTTTACAATGTGTTTATGACTGTTCTACATCTTTAAGCAGTTATATTTTTAAATAATTGATTATAAAATTTTCAGTTGCAGGCATCGTTTTATGATACTTATACAACCAAATGTACACCACCACACTGTGAATCGATGTCTCTGGGATTCCGTTTCTGCCGAATGCAGCGGCGGATTGAGTCGACCTTGGTCCCCGCAATCCCCACTGCCCACTCTTGCGTCGTTCGCTGGCTGTCGCTGTTCGATCGCTTGCGCTGTTTTGCTAAGGCCGAGCGCGTTCAGTTGTGGAGCGCAGGTGTGATCCGTTCTCCGTGTGCGCGCTATGGCATTCCGTCGGTTATGACGGATGTCAGACCAATTTCTCGCCGCATTTGCATCAACGCAACACGCCTGTAACCCCTTCGTGCAGTGGGCAAATCTCGACGAACATTAACGACGTGCGTGGAAAGTGTGTGGCCGCGCTGTCGAGTTTTCTCCGAACAGACGAATAACGCAAACGGGCGTAGCGTTCGCGATGGCGCGCCCTGGGAACGCCGTTGCTTCGAGGCCGCTGCTGCTGGTCGTCGGCGTCTTGTGCTTGTTCTCAGAGGTAAGTCCATTCTTATAAATCTTGAATTATTAAACTACAACAGCGAGTTATTCGCACTTGCAAAATGTCGTTGATGTCAACGCGCGCCGCCATGTTTCTTTCGTTTTTGCACGATCATATGATATTCCTCGCAATTCTTACGACCTACGGGTTTGATTCTGATTAAACGCTGTGAATTGGAGTCGTGTTTGCTGATTGTGCAGCGAATCGAGGTTGGCGTGTGTAGAAAGTTTTTGTTTTTATTAAATACACGCGTGCTATTAATGCAGCAGGGCATTACAGTGATGTGCGAATGTGCATTTCAAGAACAAAAAACGGGCTGATTCCTCGACCCGTGAAATAAAACACGAAAATAGCCTATTTTTACTCGGCACTCGCAAACTCATGTGGGCCGTGAATATTTCGAGCAGTGAACGTAAACAAATATTGCGTGGAATAGCATTCGCGAAATCAATGACAGAGCTTCATCCGAGAATGTTTTGTGGATCATAGATTATTGTTTATAACAATTTACACATGATTGAAGATCCATACTAAAATGTTAAACGTAGTTTCACAGTTTTGAGCTATATTTTAACGATAAATAGTCTCAAATGTGCAAATATTGCTATTTTTAACTTGTCAATTAATTATTCTGATGTTTACTTGTGTCAGTGTGCGAATGGCACATTATTTTCTTGAATTTTTCATTATATAAGCCAACATTTGCGTTTTGAGCAATTGAAATCACTGCTTCCTCACTTTTCCTGGCATATCATCATTAATAATTATGTTCAGCGTCATTTGTCCTCAAAAATAACAAATATAGGTCGATTAGAATTTCGCAGATTGTTTATAGATAATTCTGCCACAGCGAATAGATAAAATCTGTTGCCACAATGTATCATAGATAATTTTGTTTTGTTTGGTTTTTTTGGTGCATTACAACGAAATCAAACCAGTAATAGAACTATTGTTACGGAAGTTCGATGATTTATATTGATTGTGATATGCTAATACCTTATATTTCAACCACAAACACGTATTTTATGACGCACTGATAATTTCTTTAGCGTTTTTTCCAGAAACAGAATTAACTTGGGAGAATTTGGTTAAATTCGTTTGTAGTTTCGTGCGGTCGTTTACCTGTTCGCTTGTTCCAGTTACCCGAAGTATTCTGGCATTTAAACCGAACTTTATTTCGTGAGCTTCAAGGAGTAATTACTCAATTTACCAAAAGTGCACAACAACGACAAAAAACGCACTAAATACTAGCTCATTATGTTGGTGTATCGAGGATATCAACAAATTTATTCATGTTTTCGTTGTTTTGCGCACATTTTTATCACTACAATTTGGCGCAGTATTTTTTACGACAGTATCATTAACGATAAGCAATATTCTAGCATTTTATCATCGAATATATGATCTAAAACTTTGTACTTTTTTGTGTGGGTACCATACATACATGATTTAGCTTTGTCATCGTTTTTCTGTTATCAATTTATTAGTAGCGGCACATGGCATGAAAAGAAATCGTTTAATTATGAAAATTCGTCCTGTCTTTTTTCTCTTCTATGGTATTTTCTCCACGGTGTCGTGTTCGATGTTTGTTTGCTAGCGATGACAGCCTAGATGATGGAGGTGTCGAAATTATTCAATTTCACAGAACTGTGTTTTTGTTTGCTTTGATAGCTTATCTTCTACAATAACGGAATTTTATCTGAATCGTAGGATTTTCAGCCAAACACAGCGAAACATCTCTTAACGTTTCCTTTTTATGACTGCGTATGTGGGTATTTCTATCATTCCGGTTATTCACACTTCCGGTGGTGCAAGTGCGATCGAATTCGTACGCCGTTCGATGCACATTAGACATTTATAGACGTGATAACGCATTGGCCAGTCCTTGACTTCGAAATAGCTCCCGAACGGCGCATTAATAATAGTTCGGCTTGGCGCCCACCGAACCAACAAACTAACTCATGTTCATGAACACACAGCACTTACTCGAATGTGTTTTGGTACACTTACAGATTCTGACGTCCGCATGCATAATTCGCGCCTGCTTCAACTCGCGTTCAATTCCATCGATCTCAGTCGAAATCGACGCTTGAACTTGTTGTCGCTTGATATAATTGTTTACATCGCAAGCTGCCCTATCTCCGTACTATTTGCTGTTTAAAGTTTCAATTAGTCATAGGCGTACATTGTTTGCGTTCAATTTTATGGAAACGCTATCAGGATGTAATGCAAATCATGAGAAATATACATGTACGTCATTGCGACCGTGTTTGCGTTTCAAGTAGGACTCGAAAACAACTTGAAATTTATGAAATGAAGACTACTTCTAGTTTTTCTAGCACAATATGTATTCCCCTATCCGCTTGCACAGCAGTTTTATGAGTTCGCTCCCTCTGGGGATTCTTTTGACCCACATATGAATTATTAAATGAGTTTTGTCTCGTGTCGCCTGCGTCTTGCGGTCTCCTGTCTGTCGAATGCTCCCTCCACAGCTCTAATTCGAAAAAAGCTCGGCGTAAATCCTTGTTACCGATTTGTTTGGCTTCGCTTTCGTGTTTGAACTTCGTTTTTCTCGGCGTTTTGGCGTCGCCGCATAACATCAACATTTTTACAGTGTATTTACTTGTATTTTTAGGCTTTCTAGTCGTTACGTCTCTTAGATACTTTCCTTATTGCATTATCGTCGCGGTTGTAATACTCCACTATTCTGGTTTACAATTCACGTGCGCTCTTCCAATTCTATGTGTAATGCAATCAATTTGCAGAAATATGGATATCACGTTTCGCGTCAGCTGCGACTGCATAAAATATGCATTTTTTACGTCAGTGTAAAACTGCGAAACAAATAATATTTAGACTAGCTGCATCCAACGTCAGCGAGTTTGGCTCTAAAATTAGACATAATATTCAGCTAGTACATTTAATTTTGGGACGATTAACTAATGCTTCTATTAATTGCATCCTCGACACTTTTATTGCGCAGTTATTTTATGATTCGCTCAGCTTTCATCTGCTTTAATCATATTTACTCTGTTTAGTTGATGTCTAATCAAATTAGCTCGTGTGCAGAAGGTTTTTTTGGCTGCATTACATCGAAATCATCGTATCGCCGGGCTTATAACTTGATTTTGTCGTCGTCGGTTGAATTTGTTTGGTATAACTAGTTTTTTTTTCTATCAGATTAGGTGATAGTCATTTTATATCAACTTTTTTTCCGTGTTGGCTGGAATAACACATTACGAACGTCGCAAAAAAGGTTTTATAGGCGACTATAAAGCGAATTCCATAATTTTCAAACCTGTATGACACAATTTTATTAGAATTTTATTGGAAATGAGTAGCATACTTCTGGAAATTTTTAATTTTATTCACTTCACTTCCTAGGTTGTCAAATTTTAAATTATATTTTTTTGTTGCTAGATGTGTTAAAACAGAAGCAGTTTTACTTTCATACATGGCAACTACTGACTCATGTGTCCACACAATCGATTCATTCATCAAATGATTCACTCTTCGAGGGTTGAACCCGAGTATTCTTTACGTGCTCGTAAATGTTTTTGACTTGGTCATGTTGTAGCTCTGCGCTGACCACAAGGTCGTTGCGAAACGCTCAACGACGCAACACATTAGCATCAGCATGAAAATTAATGCGACGTTACAAGTTGTTTTGACAAACTGCTAACTTGCTCACATGCGGCCAATACGCACCGCAAATTTTATACAGCACGCAATCCACGCGCCTACGGGTGTAATTGCACAGCTGCATCGTTTGTCTGCCACTGCAATTGCAGGTTGCAAAACTCGCCGGCGATAAAAAAACGAAATTGCATTGACTCACGGCGACGCGCGAGGTTGCCGGCGAACCTCCAAAATCACACACGTTCAACTTTTTCCTCTCGCAGCGTGTGCAGTACATAGGTACATAACATTGAACTCAATCCGAGTAAAATGTTTCGGACTTTAGTTGATGACTTCACCTTGATTTTATTAAATACGTTCATTAGTTTTAAAAGGGTTGTTTAGGTGTACACGACAATCGTGTCGTTTTTAATTGCGTTTCTCACATTCCGGCTGGCGACTAAAAGCGTTGCATGATTCGTGGGCACATGTGAAACGCTCCGATGGGACCGAAATCAAAATCAATTAACATCAATTTAACCTTTGTGTTCGCGTTTGCTTACGTTGTGTCGGCCAGCGCCACTAATAACTTATAAATGCGCTCAGAAACTCGATAACTCGAGGAATACTTAACTTCATCCACTGAGTGTTTTACAAACTAGTAGCGATCGTGTTTTAAGTGGTTTGACAATTGTTTTACAGCGTTGATACGCTGGTAACTTGCGGTGGATCGATGACGACGAGTGTTGAGTTATCGGGGCAAACGTGTTCGAACCTTTAACGGCCAGTAATGAACTTTGATTTGATTCGATTTTCGAGTCAATGCTACAAAGTTGTGTGCGTTGGCGTGATGTCAGTCACTGGGTGACACTTTCTCAGGGTTGCCAGCAACGCATGCCTCTGTTTTCTTATATGATTATTATTTAAAGTAATCATTTATTGCTTGCTTAATGGCAGTGCGAACTCTGCTTCTCATGGACGTACACGCAATCGCAATCGTGACGATTGTGAAACAATAGTCGACTTGAGAGATAAAGGCATACGCTTATCAGCGTTATTAGTCAGAAATTGACAGTATTTCATTCATTAGTTTGTTCGTTATTCGATTTCTCGCGAGTCTAGAACATTGAAAACAAATATGTGTGCTTTGCCATCGAAACAAATACTTTGTTTGAGTTTGATAAGGGTCGATTGCGATTACACACTTTACGATATCAAAGCGTAAAAATAAATTTATTATTATTGTCGTCAGGTGTTCGCACCGTCGATTTCGTCAGTCGAATGTTACTGAATAGTATGTAAGTGTTGAGCAGTTAGTAACGTTTTATTTGATTTTTTTTCGTATTTTTGTAACATTACTCCACGTTGAAATTGAGACTTCTGTATATCGACTAATTGCCCCACGTATTTCAAGGATACGTCGTAAATGTCGGCGTCGCGCCTGATGACAGGGTATTATGCGCAGCAATGGCGCATTGTAACCAGGAAATGAGGGCGACACGCGCGCCCTTCGTCTATGGCCCTATGCCAATGCGAAACGACGTGAACTTTTGTCGTGTTTTTATGACTGGCGCCAGACGCCGGAAACTTTACAGTTAATGATTGTGCAGGGAAAATTTCACTTGCAAATTTCACGTTCAGCTACCTGCATAGTTCTTTTTCCTACAGATCACAATCTTTTGACCGTTTGGTCTAAAAACTTTTCGAAATTTTATCAAATTCAAGCACTTCCGAAACATAACGAACATGAGTTGATAATACGATTGCAAAAAGACAAGCTTTTGACATTGATATAGTTTCATGCATGCGGATTAATAAAGTAATGACTCATAAATGAATGAAGGTAATTACTCAGGATCACGAAGAACAAGGAAGAAAACAGCAGTAGTGTTGTGGGAGGCGCTCGTAATTGTATTGATCATGCATGCTAAACAACTAACTAAGTTTAAATGTATTAAAGAGGCTTTCAGAAGTATTAATGATGCATTGTTTTTTGTTGCACGAGCTGGAACTTTTTTTGCACAGCGATACCTCAACCACAACGCGGCCAACTCAACAACCGGAAGCATTGGCTATATTTTTGATAAAATTGCAATGTACAGACGGAAATTTGTTAATGATTTGTAATGCGTATTATTCATGTTTGCAAACAATTGTCATGTGATTTAATATCTACTCATGTTCATCATTCGCGAGTCGTAAAAAATAAGTTGCTGCATAAAAATAAACATTTGCAAGTCATGCGATTATGGTACTAGATTCCATTAGCATGTTTTTCTCAAATGATTGTTTATTCGAAATCCAATCAACTAATACTAATGATTTCTTCAAAAATCTATTAAGTATTAAATTGTGGATCTTATTATGTGTGAATTTGACTTTGAATAGGTTTGTAGCAAAAGTTACACAGCACTTTTTACGTAGCACAAGTTCAATTGTTTATAACTTTTTGTGCAATACTCTTATCGACGTAATGTTTTCGCAGTTATGTGCAGAATTTAAATTAAAATGTTTTCTTAAACGAATATTAACTATAGCAACAATTGTTTTGAAGTTACTTAAATGTTTAACTATTATTTTTGCACCGTGTTGGGAATTGGTGCTATTGTTGCTAGAATGACGTTTTAGTTGATTGCTTTAGTTTGCCCGGCCCCTCTACTCAAATAAATTCTCTCGATAAAATCTGGAATCCATAGATTTCCCGGACTTCGACTGATATCGCGTGAGTTCAGGTTGTTCTATGGAAACTTACTTAATTGAACGTGTTTCCCATTTGGGGCGCGTTAGGACCTCCAGCCTGATTTTAGTGTCAAACTCAGCGACACAAATGTCACTAATTCGAGATAACAATCAGCGCCATAAACTCACACACGAATTATTTGTGACAAGTCGAAATGACTGCATTACCTTGAACTGCAAAAAGTGTTTCGAGCAGTTTTCACGCTCTAAATTTTCCATGTGACCAACATTTACATATTTAATCATTCGTGTATGGTATGGACTCTGTTCCTAGCACTAAAAAAAACAACACGAATAAATGTAATATTCACAAGTAGTGCGATTATTATTTATTACCGCCTGAAAGTATTACTAAATAATTTCGATATCGGCCCCCCAAGTTTCGTTGAATATATAATTAGAATGCGTGTTGAAAATATAAGATACGTGAGAACAAAGGGACGACGTAATTGTTTTAAATTATTGATTCTTCAGGCATATGATGGTGACCTCCTTATTCAACTCAAAAGTAAAACTGCGTTTGTCACGTTTCATGTGTGACGCACTTTCAACACGCAAACATGCAACACTAATGCGCAATATTTGTGCAGCGTGTAGGAATTTTATGTGAATATTCGTGATGTATTAAGAAATGTAAATCCTGATGGACACTGGACATCTAATATGTCTGCGGTAGAATAACAATAACAACAAACTCATAAGTAGGTAAAGCGAGTATGTACGTGTTGTGAAGAATTTCTGCGCATGACGTTTTCGTAATGTATTATGTTACATATCGCAAGAGACACAAACAACAACACGTTATGTAGGTATTTTGCGCAGTATCGCGTGAAATTACATAAGGATTGAAATTTCTTTCCTAGGCATGGAATTATTTATAGATATTTGCTAGAAAGTCTGGAAAATTGTCTTCAATTTGATACTATTCTGTGGTAATTGCAAGATAGCCGAGTTATCTAAAACGACAGTTATTACTGTTATTATTAACTCATTGCCGTCTGCAGCAATTTATTCAAGAATGCAGTAAAAGACTGCGTATACACGAATAATGAAGTATTTTGAGATTGCGATCATTTTCTCGACGGTTACTCGTCCTTGAGTGAAATGCGTCTGCACATTTCCAGCATTTCTATTTTCAGCTGCTCTGAGAAAAACCTCCATTATAATACTGATTAATCATCGTTAGTCGTATTTAGCTGGGGGTTTGGAGTAGAAATTCTTTACTTAGACTTACTCATGATCAAATTAGATTAAAATTAGTTGAGATTATGTTAACTTAAGTAAAGGTAAATTAAATTGAGTTGTCCAAGGTGGACACTGGAGTTGCAGCGGTAGGGGTTGTAAACTTAACAATTTCGTTCGCCCTCGAAATGCACATTGCGTCTTATATCAATTTATTCTCATATTTTATAACTCAATGCAATTTTTTATCCTCCATGTTTGTCTTTAGGTCCTCACACAACAGAATAACACCGGTCATTGCATCTGGTACGGCCAGTGTAATAAAGGAGCTGACGGCAAAACCCAAAATTGTGTTTACAACGGCACCGCCAAGACACTAGACGCTGCTGGAGTAAAACTCTTAGAAAAATGGTGTCCACATCTCGCCGCAGAGAGCCACGACGTATGCTGCGATACAGCGCAGCTCGTCACCATGGACCAGAGCATCAATATGGCGGCGAGTTTCCTCAATCGCTGCCCATCCTGTATCACCAACCTGGTATCTCACTTTTGCCACATTACCTGTGGCCGCAACCAGTCGGAGTTTCTTGACGTGGTCTCCACTGAGAAGAACGATAAGGGTCAGGAATACATCACAGAGATGGACTTCTACGTTCATAATGATTACGTGGAGGGCACGTACAAGTCATGTAAACAGGTGAGCGTGCCCAGTACAGGACAATTGGCTATGGACTTGATGTGCGGCACTTGGGGCGCAATCAAGTGCACCGCCATGCGATGGATGGATTTCTTGGGCTCGACGAAGGGTAATCCATTCGTGCCTTTCCAAATCAACTACATCAATTCATCGCAATCAGAGGGACAATACGAACCGTTGAATCCACGAGTAGTACCCTGCAATCAAGGAATCAATGTAAGTCAATATTAATGTGATTCAATAAACGAAATTAATAATTGATTTCTGTGCGGGTATAGGAAAATACATTGCCATGCACATGTGTGGATTGTGAAGAGTCCTGCCCAGCGCCGCCACCACGCCCGGCACCGAATGGTCCATTCATAATCTTTGGATCTGATGGCTACGCTGTTATCATGTCCATCGTGTTTGTTTTGGGCTCGATTTTATTCCTCTTCGTCACGTTCGTTTGCAATCGTTGCACATCAGCTGGTATGTACCTACATAAAAACACAATGAAAACAAACACATACGCCGGAAACACTTCAACCAGATTTAAACACAGATTAATTAAACACCGAGGAATGCCTATCACCTGACGAACCTAACGAGTGGTGGGGTTTTGGTGGTTGTATTACCCAGGGGACGGAATTAAACATCGCGTTTGATCATTGAGATTGGCGTGATCGATAAATCCGACACCTACTAATTTGCATTCGGTAGCACATCTTGGTGTTGAACTAATCAGAGTTAATTTATTTATTTATTAAATATAACAACACGCCACTCCCCTGATGGTGCGTGATAAGCGACGAAAAACACGAACAAATGTGGTCGCATTGGTCGCATCACTCGCTTGATTTTAATTTATTTTTTGGTTTTTGGTTGTTTGCAGCTTCAGATTATTCAGATTATTATTTGACCAATACGTATGATGTTGAACTTTACGATGAAGATATCGGAAACGCACAAGGTAGACTCTCCAGCAAGTGATAACTGCTACTAGCGCAATTAGACATTTGTATAAAGTATCTAAACTAAACTAGCTGAAAAAAAACAAACTCAAATGCAGTGCGCAAGCATATATACTTCTACGTTCACAGGGTCGCTTTGTGTTGTGTGTTTCTTTCTTATTTTATTCAATTTGTTCTTCAAACTACGAACAATCTCTCTTTTTGGTTTTTATTTATGTCTGTTTTGCACAATTGCAATCGGGAAGAGCAAATCTCACAAGATTCTATTTATTGGTCGAAAGTTTCTGTACATATTGACTTATTAGTTGCAAAACTACCTCATACTACAGCCAAATAGTAACAATAACATCATGACAACAAATAGATAGCAAAAAACACTTACCCACAGCACAATAATTAATTTCACTAACCAACATTTTGCGCAATTTGGTAATCTACTAACAGTCTAACTGATACTAATGGGTATGCATCACTTTCGGTGTTGTAAAATACACACTAGATGCAATTTTATGTGTTTTGATCAGCAATGATCGCATAACGCTTTGTTACACTTAGAATCGAAGTTTTGATCGTGTTTGATTGACTCTAAATGGTGTTGGGGTGGTTTGCAGTGGCGGGATTAATCCGTGATCGCAGTAGACGACTGGACCATCATGCATCATCTCGTTCCGCACACGGCGACAGTGAGGATAGCCCATTACAACAATCGAAAAGATCTAGTATGTGATCTTTGTATGCCCTCTTTCGAAACTCCTTTGAACTAATCCTCGTGCAAATAAACCAAGAAATACTTGTTGTCCAACTTCCTCCGTCGTACTAACTCCAAAGGCATAGTATACGTATAGTGGCCAGCTAGTATGTAGGCAGTAGTTTTGTGATAAAGCTCGCCGAGCTTGTTATGTTTGTGTTTGAGCTGCTTTAAACACTAACAACTGTATGTTTCAATGTGAATTGATTTATCCTTCCTATAGTGAATTTATACGCTTCTTTCTGTTATGTGTGTGGACTTTTTGTAATTTTGATTTGATTATAGGTGTCACTTCAGAGGTAGAACACGAGATGGATAACCGCTCGATCGACAAAGCGGTTGGCATTGAATATGAGTCATCTTTCATTGAAAAGCTTGGTGCTACGACGGATTCCTGCCTGCAGAAGTTCTTCGAGGCTTGGGGCACGTACTGTGCCGCCAGACCGTGGTTTGTGCTTTTCATCGGATGCTGTCTTTTCGTTGGCTTAGGCCACGGTGTGAAGTATCTGAAGGTGACCACGGATCCTGTGGAGTTGTGGGCATCCCCTACGTCTCGAAGTAGAGTCGAAAAGGAATTTTTTGATGCACACTTTGAACCTTTCTACCGGAACGAACAATTGATCATTAAATCAAACAAACCCCCGATCTTCCACAACAATTCCGATGGCGGTATACTGTTTGGTCCTGCATTCGATGAGGAGTTCCTAAAGGAAATCTTCAGTCTGCAAGAAAGGATCAAACAGTTGGGAGCGGGCACTGACCATTCTCTGGAAAAGATCTGTTATGCTCCGTTGCGTAATCCCGGGGACAAGTTGGAGGTAGAACAATGCGCCGTGATGAGCGTATGGGGCTATTTCCAAGATGATATGGATACGTTTGAAGAAACTAGTGAAAATGGCGGCTTTATCGAGAATTACTTAGATCATATAATGATTTGCACGCAAAATCCATTCAATCCTAACTGTTTGGGTAGCTACGGTGGACCAGTGGTGCCGGCGATTGCATTTGGTGGCTTCTTGGGCCAGAATGAATTTCCAACATCGAGCTCCCACTACTCCAACGCCACCGCTATTATCCTGACTTTCGTAGTGTCCAACCAACACAATAAGACCAAACTTGCGCCGGCCATGGAATGGGAAAAGGAACTGGTTGCTTTCATGCTTAACTACACTGCTAATGAGAAGCCAGAATACATGGACATTGCTTTCACTACCGAGCGCTCAATTGAAGACGAGTTAGATCGTGAGAGTCAGTCTGATGTTGCTACGATTTTAATCTCCTACGTGATCATGTTTGCCTACATTGCTGTTTCTTTGGGACACTTGGGTAATAAATTCAGCCGCTTGTTAATTGACAGTAAAATTACACTCGGTTTGGGCGGCGTCGTCATCGTGCTTGCTTCTGTTGTGAGCTCGGTGGGTCTCTTTGGTTTTATTGGAGTCCCAGCTACACTGATCATCATTGAAGTTATTCCATTCTTGGTGCTGGCTGTCGGTGTGGATAATATCTTCATTTTGGTGCAGACCCACCAACGAGAACGCCGTATGGAGAATGAGTCAATAGCCGAACACATTGGTAGAGTGTTGGGCCAAGTTGGTCCCTCAATGCTGCTGACGAGTGTGTCAGAAAGTTGCTGCTTCTTTTTGGGAAGTCTCAGTGACATGCCAGCTGTGCGCGCGTTTGCTTTGTATGCTGGTATGGCATTGCTCATCGATTTCCTACTGCAGATTACCTGTTTCGTTAGTTTACTGGCGTGGGATACTGCTAGACAGGAAGGTAATCGATTGGACATTTGCTGTTGGATCACTGGAAAGAAGGATTCGGATACCAGGCAGCACAATGATGGTTTGCTGTATAGTTTCTTTAAGGAAATCTATGTGCCCTTGCTGATGAATCGCTACGTCAGAGCATTTGTGATGGTAGTATTTTTCGGATGGCTGTGTTCGTCAATTGCAGTTGTGCCTCACATTGAAATTGGTCTGGATCAAGAGCTATCCATGCCCGAAGACAGTTTTGTGTTAAAATACTTCAAGTTCTTGAAGGATTACCTAAGCATTGGGCCGCCGATGTATTTTGTCGTCAAGGGTGGATTAAACTATAGCACTCCCGCACATCAGAATATGATATGTGGTGGTCTTGCCTGTGATTCAGATTCTCTCTTCGGTCAAATTTACGGCGCATCTAAACTACCTCGAGAGACTTATGTGGCACAGAGTAGTAGCAGTTGGTTGGATGATTACTTCGATTGGTCGAACATTGATCGCTGTTGTAGATACAACAAAACAACAGGCGGTTTTTGTCAGCATAGCGACGACAGTTGCGATTTTTGCGCTATTGATACTAAGACAAAATATAAGCGTCCGACATCCAGCGCTTTCCGCCACTACATTTCCTTCTTTCTTGATGACAACCCGGACGAAGATTGTGCAAAGGGAGGTCATGGTGCATATAAGCAAGCTGTGAACCTCATCGGTCGACCGCACGTAGTCGACGCCGATGTAGGTGCTTCTTATTTCATGACCTATCATACCCTCTTGAAGACCTCGGAGGATTACTATGAAAGCATGCGTGCCGCACGCGTGATTAGCGCGAATATCACAAACACGCTGAACGCAAAGCTGCGTAACATGGGCGAACGGAACGCTAGCGTGGAGGTGTTCCCGTACAGCGTGTTCTACGTTTTCTACGAGCAATACCTCACCATGTGGCCCGATACGTTACAGAGTATGGGCATCAGTCTGACAGCCATCTTTGTCGTTACGTTCCTTCTCATGGGACTTGATATTTTCTCGTCTATCGTTGTCGTCATTACGATCGCCATGATTGTCGTCAATCTGGGAGGTCTCATGTATTGGTGGCATATCACCTTGAATGCGGTATCTTTGGTGAACCTAGTCATGGCGGTGGGCATCAGCGTCGAATTTTGCAGCCATCTTGTGCACAGTTTCGCGATGTCTATAGAGACCACGCGCACTATGCGCGCTGCAGATTGTCTCACACGAATGGGCTCATCGGTCTTCTCAGGCATCACGCTGACGAAATTCGGCGGCATTGTCGTGTTGGGCTTTGCGAAGAGTCAAATTTTCCAAGTGTTTTACTTCAGAATGTATTTAGGTATGTAAATATTTAGTGTTTCATATCATGTGTCATCAATATTTGGTTCAATTTCAGGTATTGTATTGTTTGGAGCTGCGCACGGCTTAATTTTCCTGCCCGTTCTTCTAAGTTACATAGGTGAGTTTCGAAAACAAATGGTTTTCCTGGCAATTTTGTTTGTGAGCGTCTTGGTTGTCCTGTTCAGTTGCCGTGAACTTAGCGAAACAGCGCATAGTTGAAGATTGTCAAGACTGAAGCACGCATGTTTACATACTCTATCTTTAATTTTACATACTTTGTAGCGATCGTACCATTAGTCAAACTAATGCATGTGGTTACTGAGTCGACTAACGTTCTTGTCTTTTACGAAACGACGTGCAGCGCGTTGCGATTACTAACAAACTGCTTCCTATCAGTAAACTACACAAGATAGCAAATAATTGTAAAATCATTAATTAACATTGGCGGAGCGATCGGTACTGCACAATTAACATGTAAATAATGATAATTAGCTTTCGTACTAAGACAAAAATGCGGTCTAAGAACGCGGCTGGAATAAAATTAAATATCTGAGACGGCATTTTTTATCATTTTGGGGTGGTATAATCTGTAGACTTTGCATTCATATCTGCATGATGACAAACGTATTGTGTGCAGGTTCTCCAATGAACAGGGAGAAATTGGCCAAGCATAGGATTTATTCGGAACGATTCCAGGAAACATCGTTAAACAGAGTAAGAAAATCAAACCAATCTACTAATTACTAAATGTCATCCCTTTCTTCATCATTACGCGTGTTACTTAATTGATTTACTATTGTTTGCGAAATTTTTCTTGGTGGTGAATTTAATTTGGGAACATTCTTTAAACTCTTTACCCGCCGCTGCGCTGCATTCAATTTCCTCGTCCATAATTCATGCACAATTTTGGCTTCTCACCTGCACTTCTTAATTCTACAATTTAGATAAAGGATAGTTTATGTATTCATTTGTTGATGCTCCTGTTGCGCTCTTGACACCCTGTTTATGCGTTGATTGCTATTATAGGCGTGATGTCGCATCGACATCGATATCGACGGACGCGACACCGCCAGCAGACTCGCCACGGCCTGGAGGAGTCTGACTCACCTCTTCTGTCGCCCTCGACCTCCACCAGCGCCCACTACGACAGTATAGTGTCCGTCAACTCGTAATCACCTCGTGCGGCCAACACCTCTTCAACTAAAATCGTCTCCTCATTAGTTTTATTTAAGGCAAACAAACAGAAACGTCCAAGTAACTTACGAATTGTGATAAATAACAGCTGCATTGTCGTGCATTTTGGGCGTGCGTACAGGATTATTCGTAAAGTGCGGTGGGACATTGTAATAATTGCGCACTTGTTTGTAATAATTCTGCGGTAGCAACTGCTGCTTGTATATATCAAACATTTTAAAATGCACGCAACGTTAAATGGATAGGCTTACGCAAAGTTCGATAGGAAATGTGGAGTCAGTTTGCGGATTTATTATTTGTCGTCAAATTCAACAGTATATTTATTTCTAGTACATCGTAATATGTGTTTCTAACATTATTTATTCAGTGGATCGTTGTACTCGTTCGTTCAAGCTGATGTGAGTCTTAATTAACATTTGTAATTCAGAATTTTGTTAAGTATTATTGAGTTAATCACACAGCACAATGAATGCAAAAAAGACTTTGTGTTTTGATATAGGTTCCGATGCAATGTTGCAATTGTTAGTTTAGATTTTAGACTGATTGGATGTATTAAGCTTCCTCGGAATATCATCAAAAGGGGAAAGGGAGGTTTGTTAATCAAGTAAGTCATTGTGAATTAAAGATGAAGATGTTTACGCATTATAAATAGGTATATTGAATAATCACACAGGGTGTCTTATTAGAAGATTATTTTAAAGAGAATTTAAAACTAATTAAGGTAAATCTAATATAATTTCACGCCGATTTTCTACGAAATTTCGAACGTAAGAGAGGAATAATGATCTATTTTACACAAATAATTTCAGAAAAATGAAAATGGTCAAATATTTGAATTAAGTATTGTTTTATAACATTCCATAGAGTTGTTGATTTTAATAAATAGTCTCTAAACTGGCGAAGTTTAGCTGCCTATTTTGTACACTGAAAGGTAAAAAGTTGCATAATCGATAAGTCACTATTTGATTAAGAATATTGGAAAACAAACTGAACTAAATCTTAAGTAGTGCTCATTGTATCATGAAAGAAATATCTGTATTGTATGTAAATGCAAAATAAATGCTTTTATATAAATCATTCAAAAATTTACTTAATTTCCCTATTTTTTAAAGTTTCTTTGTAAAAAACGGATCTTTCCCACATGCTGTATTGTATTAATGTAATTGTATTACATTTTATCAATTAATATCGGCATAAATATCTGTTATCCCAGAAATTTCTTTTGCCTGCAATTGAGACATACGAAACAGAAATATTCATTTTATATTGTAGAAAATGCGCGTCCAATGTTTGTTTATTTTTTGAGAACTTACACCGCACTGGAATTCAACCGGTTTGTTCTTATTTCTTATTCGTTGTTGATTAACATACGATGTAGTGTATAGTTTTGTGCTATATACGCGACCGTGTGATGGCGCTGCGTGTATCGTTTGCACACGTTGCAGAAATAAAATTAGTATAGGATTTAACTGTGTAACGCGTATTATATTCGGCGTTCTTAGTGATTAGATTTGTTTGTTGTGTCTCACTAATGATTTATCGCGTATAAAATATTTGCGGAACGCAAATGTATTGTATTTTTCGTGATAGAAGTGTGCCGTCGGACCACCGCACGAACCATGCTGATTTTGGATATTCATCCGCCTCGCTCGTTTACGGTGGAAGTTCCTCGGCGCAGATTACTACCCAGTAAGTATGCTCAACTACATTGATCGTCGTGTGTGTGCGCCAAGTTTTTATTTCTTATCTTCTTCAATGCCGTTTGTTTGATAGCGCAAGAGTTTTATAAGCAGTGGTGATGGCGCCGATTTTGACATTTTCGTAAACTTGCTTTGGAAATTGCATTATCTCGGGAACCGTTGACGACATTTCAATGCCGAGTGCAAATTTAGAGAGTGAAAGAGTTGATTTAAGCTTTTGCCGATTTCGGAATTCACGGGCAATGTGTCTGATAACCGCCACCAAAAATCGTCAAGTCTTGTCATTTTCGTAAATTTACCCTAGAAATTGCGCATTAATTCGGAACCGTTTTCGCCTTTTTAATACCGTTGGCATTTTAATAGTACAAGAATTGTAAACATTAAATGCATTTCAGATTTGTTTGGTGTTCATCTCTACCTGCTTATCGGGGTTTGTGTATAAACAACTTTTTATCGCCTTGAACCAGCTCCATGCTACGCTCGCGCTACAAATGTTCGCACGTTTTAGTCAGTTCTTACGTGCACGCGGCTTGGCACCTTTCATTCTTTCATTTTAATTAAATAAATTCAATTACATTTTATTAATAAAAATTGCTTTAAATTTCGGCACAATAGATGTGTTTAGTGTTTTTCAAACGATGACTTGTGCGTGAAATTATAATAAAACTTATATCATCATTTGTGCGTTAGTGATCCGTTGGCTATTGGATTTTTTCGTTGATGAATATTGGAATTGGAAATATGTATACAATTTTAGATTGCACTTGCAATGCAAGACCATTACCCGACGGAACGGACTAAATAAGTGTGTATCATGGTGCGAGGACTTACACCCGCGTTCTTTCTGTTTCAGTACTTTCTATGATTACCGGCTACATTGGTAAGTTTGCAAATATTCCAAAACATTTCTATCTTTAATTGTATCTAACGAGAGTACCATAATAACTCAAAATTGTCGCATGCCCTCGGATGCGTTGTTAGTCTCTCTACAGAACATCGGTTTCTTTGTATTTTTAATTCTGAGATCGCATTGACAATTAAATATTGGATGTGCGATGCCGTCGGTCGGCACTTTGCCTGTTTGAAGTGTATATGAAGAACGCGTTGCAAAGAAATTCTTAATTATGCAGTAAAATTTTATAATGGTGTTCTATTTGTATATTTATTTTGATTGAAAACATAATGTGGAAAACACCCTGCATCTCGTGAACTAGTTGCCTTGTTTGCAGTTTCTCACCGTCATATTAAAACTCAAGAGATCCTATACAGGATGCATATTTTTCCAACCCTCCAACCACTCCGGAAGTACCCTAAAATGTCCATTCAAAATGGGCATTTTCGAAAAATTTGAAAACATAGTGTAGAAATCACCCTGTACCTCGTGAAATAATTGACTTTTTGAAGTTTCTCACCGCTATATGAGAGTTAAAGAGTCCCTCTACCCGATGTATACTTTTTCAACCCGCTAGCCCCTTTGGAAGTACCCTAAAATGTCATTTAAAATTAGTGTTTTCCACAAATTTTGAAAACACCCTGTATCTCGTAAATTAATTGATTTTCTTGAAATTTCTCCAAGTCATATTAGAGTTAGAGAGTTTACTACACGATTCATTTCTTTTCAACCCTCTAACCCTTCCGGAAGTGCCCTAAAATGCCCCTGAAAAATAGCTATTTTTGTGCCATACATTTCATTTTCTGCTTAAAAAATAGTGTAAAAATCGTGTTTATATGTAGTTATTTTCGATCGAATAGCAGGGTTGAACGTCTTTCCTGAGGTTTTCTGTTATTTTCTTTTTAAACATCGCATTTTCATTTTACCACACCCTGTATATTTATTTATTTTATTTATTTTTCTGGATCCAAACAAAACTTGACTAAATTTCTTGTTTCTATTGAACTTTTAAATATTGTTATTTTCCATTTGTTACACCCTGTATATTAATTTTTGTTGATTTTGTAATTAGAGTTGTGAACGGTTTTACATTCTTTTATTTAATTTGTAAATAAGGAAATGTCAAAACAGATTGTGATTTGTATTATTTGTGTGTAGAAGGAGTCTTCTACCATAATATGCAATTTTATGGTTGCTTTTTTTAGTTTCAACCTTCTACAAGTGTTCTAAAAATGTTGGCTTAGATAACAGTTTCTAAAGGCCATGTTAAAGTTTAGGAGACGCTCCATATGTTATTTGACAATATGTACTGCATACAAAAGTGGAAACACGTGGATACATTAATTTGATTATAATAGTCTAAGTTGTGCGACTAGTATCTGTCGCATTCCTAGATGGCACTAGAAGGCACTTAAAATCATAAACTCGAGTTATACGGCTTATTTTTATATTTATCGACAAATGCGGGCACGAGAATAGTTTTGTATACAATGCTGTTATCTGCGATTCGGTGTAAACAACTTTTTTATTGCATGTGCCTCACGCCCTGTCTTCTAACGCCGCATCACCTTGCTGTATGCAGCGAAATCTAGTTTAGTTTATATCACAGGTAATGTGCCTGTTGCAAATTCGCGCACAGGGTCGCGTGCCATCGACGCGCCGCCGGATTGCGCATCTACTGCAATTCGCGACCAAGGTCGCGTAGCATCGACACGCTGGCTTTGCGCATCTATTGCTTTTACCTGACGGGTTTAGGCAGCAGGCACAGGGTCTTATTGTGAACTGTCGCATCCTTGCGTGCGCAGTTTCGGATTGCAGCTGGTTTCGTGCCGGTTTCTGGCGTGTCCAGACGTAGGTATATCGCGCAACGCGTTTCGTTTTATCTTACTTCTATTTTCAAAGTTTGCATTGTATTCGGTCACCAGTCGATTTAGTCGAAATATGCATCTGCAGTGTTTTCTTAACAATATTAGCCCAGTCATTTGGTAGTTTTGCTTGGAAAATAGTGCGGGATTGTTGAAAATTGGTATTCATATAGATTTCGAGGTGCTCTTTACGAATTTCAACTTTGCCACCTCGTATCTTGTTCGCTCGAGCCACCATCTTGGAAAAATGGTGTCAAAAAACAGTTTTTTGACCATATCTCCTTTCCGACTCATTTTACGATAAATATATCTATATTCAAATTTCCTATAATTTATGTAAGAACCTTTTTCTAGTAAAATTAATAGTTTTAGCGTATGGGCGCCGCAAAATCTACTTCAACATTAATTTTTGCCAAAAACTCATTTCCACACCACCATGAGGTAGAGTACGTGGCGCGTTTGTTTTTTTATCGTGGTATCCCCAGTAGGCCTAATCCACACGCACTATTCCAAAATTTAATGGATTGTCTTCCGATACGCTCTTCGCGATAGACCAAGTGTTCTGCGTTAATTGTCTTCAGGACCGATCGAAATATCACAAGTAAAAATTTCTTCCATACTATCCGTGATGGGATTATCGTTTTCAATGCAATCTTGGTTCTTGAGTTCATCGTACGTGTGCTCAAAAACGGTAATCGTTTCTTCCTCTTCATCGCTATCTTGTGATGGAACTTGCGAATTATCACAGGTACCACTGCAATTTGTTCAGATAACGGAGCACTTCATTCCAGTCTTTCTGCAGCCGCAGGCTTTCTGACATCCCTTTTTGCATTTGCAAGATATTAGTTTTAACAATGTTTCGGGAGCTGGGGGCTCAAGTGTGGTGACAGGAATTAGCCCATTCTTGTTTCTTTTCCATCCCCATTGTTCTGCATTTAGTTCATTCCCATACTACTACTTAACTTGGTGATAAGTTCTGAACGAATGTTGTCGGACTGCGGCTTCAGTTGGTGGTAGCGATGCAATATTAAATTTATTTTTGTATGCTGATTTTGTGAAGCTGGCATATCTATAGATGTTTGAAGACATATTTTGCATAGTTTTCACATCACTGTAACTGTATAATTTAAGAAGGAAGAATTCGCCAGCTGTAGCAATGATCTCTGTACCAGCCTTTGGGTTTTTGAATACCTGGATAACTTCGTTTAAATCTGGATTTTTGCGGAGTACATTAATACATTTTAATTTTCCTTGATGAAAGAGTGCAGATGTTGTATCACAGCCACAAAAAGCATGTAAGAATAATATGTGATCTGCCGCTGTTTGATCGATCATGCTTTTGGTTGAATAGATTTGTTGCAAAATTTTTCCTTTTTCTGGTTTTAGCAAATATATGTTTGAACACATTGATAGTGAATAAGAAGATCTACATCTTCGCCGATAACATGCACGAATTGTGATACTGTGCATTGGCTGCGACCAAATCATAAACACGCTCGAGGCATTCAACAATCGCTTTACCCATCATTACGTGCTCTAGGACGTTCTGAAATAGTGTTTTTCATCGATAATTTATGTACGCTATACACAATATTTCGATCACTCAAATGCGTCCGT